ACTTTCTTATATACCACACTTATGATTATATGGTAGGCAGTTCTTGGATCTGCCCTTGGCACTGTTGACGTCCATGAGCGAAGGTAACCACTTACCATCAGGTGGGCCGTATGCTCATCTTCGTACATAGGCAATTAAAAGAAATAATTCACCTATTCACTTATTTTTGAGGTCTTACAAATGATCTAATAATTAGCTATAAATTGTGCTAATCATGCACTGAAATTACAGATCAATATGATTTAGGTACCGTAGTTTTCTGAGTCATTAGTTTAAGGTTGCCATGTTATTTTTATTGCAACAGAAGACACACTTTCTAAGTCCTAATTCTTAATTCAGAGGGATGACCCAGTCCTGAGTCTGAATATCTTATTAATCTTTCCGTATATTATGCAGGATTGAAATAATATGCAATCTCTTCGAACATCTACTACTACCCACCATTCTTTTATAATGACATTATTCTCAATTGGTCTATTTTCCAATCTAGCTCCCTAGTGACTAACTCTTCCCTTAAGTATGTACTTACATAACATCTTATTTAGTGTGATACAACGAAACGCGGTTAGTTCTATGAGGTCTTGACAGTACATAGATATTTATGGAATTATTAATATTAGATATATAATATAATAGATATTTAAGTGTATTATTAATATTAGAATATTTTTATTGATTCTTATCCCAATATTATCTATTGCAAAAAATCTACCAAATAATTTAAAGTTCCAGATTTTAATGCTTTTTTGATGCGTCGTAATTGTATTCTCTATGAGTACCTATTTCACTAAATACCGGGTTCCGTACGGGTGTTTGTTTTTCATTTGAAGAGTTAATCAGATTTGATTTATTTTTTAATATCCTAACAAATCACGATGATTAATCAACAAACACAAAAATGTTGTTATTTCCCTGATGTTATCAAAAAAACTGAAATCGAAACAGATAAGTGAAATTTTATCTTAGACGAATAATAAATTCACTATCGGTGGAGTACTATCGCACCGTTTAATCCAGTTTAAAAAGCATTTTATGTGTTTTATCGAAGTAATTAATTTCATGTCACCCCCTAGTTTCATTATAACAACGTAACCTCACTTAAAAGCGCTCTTTTCATTGACCGACACGATAACGACAACGATTCAACGATTTATCATTTACTAGATAAACAATATAAATCCCACTACAGTTTCACGCAGTTTCGTTATTACATACATTACGGACAAACATTTAAATCATTTTTAAGGTATGAAAAATAATGGTAAACTAATTAGAAACAACAACAACAAAAAATTAAAAAACAATATTTTTGTTTTTAGGTATAATTAGTATTGTTATTTACGAAATAGCTACTATCCACAGCTTTCCAATAGTTATAATTAATATTTAGTGGCGTATCCCTTATTTTCAATAACAGCACTGCAACGACGTGGCATTGATCCAGTCAATTTCATACATTTTTCAAGGGGGACTGAATTCCTTGCTTCAACAAATGCTTCATAAAGATCGTTTTGACTAGTTTTACGTTTGTTTGAGACTTTCTTTTCAACAATATACCAGAGATTTTCTATCGGGCTTAAATCCGGACTATTTGCTGGCCAGTCTCAAAACGGATATACGCTGTTCGCTAAGGAAACATTTAACGCTATTGGGTCTGTGCGTTTAGGATCATATCATGCTGAAAGATCCAAGTTACAGGCAAATCATCGTCCGAGTAGGGAATCATTGTATGCTGTAAAATATTTTTGTATTGCCATTGATCCATTGTACCTACCTTCAGTCTTCCGGAAAAAAACTTTTTACTGGTGGTAGGACCTCTTGTGAGTCCGCACGGGTAGGTACCACCACCCTGCCTATTTCTGAAAGGTGGGGCAGCCGTTGTAACTATACTGAGACCTTAGAACTTATATCTCAAGGTGGGTGGCGCATTTACGTTGTAAATGTCTATTGGCTCCAGTAACCACTTAACACCAAGTGGGCTGTGAGCTCGTTCACCAATCTAACAATTAAAAAAAAGCACTCCCAAACTTTAATGTTTCCACCACAGTGCTTGACTATACTTATTGTGTATTTATAATTGAAAGCATTGTTTACAGGACGTCTAACATAGCGCTTTCCATCGGAATTTACCATATTCATTTTTGTTTCATCTGAAAATAACACTTTTTTTCATTCTCTTACCGTCCAATTAACATATTTTTTGCGAATTATATTCGCTTCTCTCTGTGTTGCTTGGTAAGAAGCGGTACCTTTCGAGAGGTTCTTCTAAAAAATTTAGCTACCACTAATCTTCGGCGTATCAGTCTTAAAGAGATGTTTCTCTGGTCATCAGGCGAAAAAACTTAATTTTTAATCTGGTTGGAGCCTTTAATTGGATATTTTTTAGCAACACGAATGATTAGCGTATCATCTCTGGGAGAGGTTTTTCTTGGCCGATCCTTTCTAAAAATATTCTCAACGAGTCCATGTGTTTTAACGATGAATTGCATAAAAACTAGACAAAGAACAGTTTAAATGCTCAGCTATTTCTTCTAACGAGTATTTGCCGAGTTGACGCGTTGACAACCTTTACTTTTGCCCTCTTTGAACAAAATAAAATTCAGATTAAATTTCGAATTGCCACCAAAATAATAGAAAAAGCCAAGAAAGAAATGTTATTCTCCAATTTCAAAAAAAGAACAAGCTATGGATGCTTTTTTTTAAATGTTTCAAATTAGGTGTCCAAGCGGCCAGTAACAGAAAATCCTCGTACATGTTGTCTTATTTAAAAGTTCGATATGTTTTATATTTTAAGCATTTAATGAGTTTTTTATTTGAGTATCTATTAAGTATTGCATGATTATTAATTATTTAATGTGCTATACATGTACATTTACAAGTACATTTTTATGAATATTTGTACGTTGAAGTTATACTTTGTTTATTCATAAGAATTGTTTCTAATTATAAGACCACCACTGTAGGTATATGTATGAATGTGTGTGTATATGCATATTTCAATCTATAGGTACACCGCGTGTAATTTGTCTCCTAATGATTCTTGTCCACCTAATGGTTGTCCGGAAGAGGTCGCTCTTAGCGATAAGAGCGCCAATTGTACTTATTGTTTTTAACGTTTCGCTTTTTTTATTTTATATTTGTATACAATAAAGCGTGATCTCTCTCTCTCTCTCTCTCTCTCATTTTCGTTCAAGAATCCTATCGCTGTCTGAAGAATAAAGTAATTTAACTGCTACCCAATAAATTAAATTTAATACCGCTACCTTGTAGTTCCTTCTCAGATTTAATTATCCGTGCTTTTTTCCCCTACCTAAGCTGATGGTCTAGAGAGATCATGTCAGCGTCACCGGGCTAGTAAGTGAGCTCACGGGGCTCAAACCTGACAATGTTGCTAACACGAACCCTAGCAAGAGCCGTGCTTCGCAGAATCTACCACCGGATCGGAAACGCGACCCACTGAGAAGATCCGGCGAGAAACTCAGTGGACTGTGTCTGGGTTAATTTACTCGCCGAGCCCTTCGTCGCAAGCGACGGGTTCGAAGAGAACGATGACCAGTGCTTGGGGTACCTAAAAGCACCGTTAGTGGATCGTCGACTGTTTACCATTTGGTCCGCAGGATCGGCAATGGCAATTACCTACCGGCTGCCACGATGAGAGGGTTCTCGTGTCGTGCCGCTTTATCGAAATGGCGTATTGATGCCGACTGTAGATACTTACTGTATCCGTGCTTAATTCACAACAACAACAACACCTAGTTTCTTTTTATCAATTTTCAATCTTCATCTGATCTGATATATCTAATTCTGCCGTCAACCACTATCCGATTAAAAATATCGCATTTATTATCGTAATCGAAAGCGGACAAAAAAATGATTTATAGCTTGAACACCATAAGAACTGAAACATGGTAAGAATAAAAACATGATTTCTGGTTTTTTGTAATTCATATTACATTTATTTACATTTACATTAATAAAATGCCTTTTGTTACAAAACAATCATTAATTTGACAGCTCTAATAGTTACCTACAAGTTTTTTTATCAGGGACGCTCGAACTTTGACAAGGATGAAATATAATCTCAGAAAAATGGTGATCATTTCTACTTTTGAGACTTTTTTATTGGCTTTTTTGGAGGATCCCGAGAAGTTACGTCAGCAGCTTTGTTTCATTTTCCCACATTTTTGCACATTCACAGATACTAAACAGATAATAAGCCACTGCTATTACACATTTAAACCTGAAGAAACACTAAATAGACAAAATAAAACAAATAACACTCCTCGCGTTCCCCCCCAAAAGTCCAGCAAGAACATTCATTGCCCGTGTAGGCAGACGTGCATACGGCCCACCTGATGGCGAGTGATTACCGTCGCCCATGGACTTCAGAAATGCCAGGGGCAGATGATATAGATCTCACAAAAATATGGCTCCAACAGGAGGGCGTACGGCACGGAAAACATAAAATTTATTGGATGAGAAATTTAAAGGCTTCGTCATCTCGCGTGATGGCGAGATCAATTGGCCACCGAGATCGTGTGATTTAATATCGCTCTACTACTTTCTGTGGGTCTACGTGAAATCTCAACCATATCGTGAAATGGAGCCCCGTTTAAGGCTGCCTGTCCACAGAATCAAAATCATAAGATTGCAAAATGATTTTTTTGCAATCTTATTGGTTAATAATTCTCCGTTTCTCCACTCTGCTGCCTCGCTCCACTCCGGTGGACAAGCAGCCTAAGCGGAAGGTGTCATTCAAAATTGGTCCACTAGGATACACCTTAACCCATAGACACAGCCCACTTAGTTTCTCGCCGGATCTTCTCAGGGGGTCGCGTTTCCGATCCGGTGGTAGATTCTGCGAAGCACTGCTCTTGCTAAGCTCAGTGTTAGCAACACTCCGGTTTGAGCCCCGTGAGCTCACCTACACACGTTAGGGTGAAGCCGAAATAGCCTCTCAAGGCTATCAGCATAGGTAGGGAAAAAAAGGATACACCACCTACAGCGGAGTCGCAGCGGACATTTATTTGGCTGAAATTATATTCCATACATAATGTTATCGAATATGTACCCTTTAAATAAAAATAAAAATTGTGGCAATATCACTAAAACAGTTTTTTTTTAAGTTAGGCACTCTTAATGAAAACCTTGTAAATAGCTTGTTGTTAAGACTATTATCACTCAAATATTCTAATTTAACGGCATATCTTCAGTTTCTTTTTTAATTTCTGCCAATTTGTCTTGAAAATAGTGTTTTCTGTGCATAAGTGCCAAACGTGGTTGTCTTATTCCGAAATTTTCGTTACCTAATTTGCTATATTTTTTTTCACCTTCTTTACCCATTAATTCTCTAAGAGCCTGGTTTCTTTTCAATATTTTGTCATAAAACACTAAACCGCTTTCAATAAATTCGGGTCCAAGTTCGCATAGCTTCTTATCAACTTCTGTTTCATAATAAACTTCAGTCATATCTTTCAGTAGAAAATACATTCCTGCACTGAACAAACCTACTATTGTATACAAAGTACTTCTGAGACTGACTGGTCTAGCGTATAAATTAAGCTTCCTATTCAAAAAACTACACAAGTTATAGGCAAAAAATACACAACCGAATGGATATACAGACTCATAAATCATTTTGTAATTATGTGTCATTAAAATTTCTCTGCATATTGCAAATTTCTTCACATTTTCTGGCAAAATCAAAGCATCTGCCAACTTCTTGCCAACTTCAGAAGACCAATCGACTGCTTTTTGATTTACCTGAAAAAATTACACAGACTTACACATTGTTTCAGACAGCAACAAACATAGGTTTGCATTACTCTTACATGAAACTTGTAAAAGGACTGCATTATTCAATTATCATATTATTATAGTATTAATGTTGGTCTATTGATCATGAAAATTATTAAGGATGTTCGTGTTATGTAGCACATTTTAAAGACAATAATCAAATACTACATTTGATTTAGATTAAAATTGTAAAAATTTAACATATTTATACTTCCATTTACACATTCCACAGACTTGCATGAAAAATTAATTCAGTATGTTTACTTCCGGGGATTGTAATGGCTAAGTAGTAAAAAATTCCTAGTAGTCCTTTAACTTCCTCTGATTATTGTGGGGCCCCCAGATTATAAATTCACCTATTTCATTTAGATTAAGTAGCACCAATTTTTTTATTTACTTAGAATTAATTTAGATTAAAAAACCAGAGTTAGTTTTCTGTATTTAATGTTAAATTTCATATAAATTAGGATCGTGTTTCATAAGGATACATTATTGCCAATTGGATATTCTTAACAAAATATGTGGCACGTTGTGAACTTGCATACCATTTTCCACAAGCAATTATTACACAACACTGTTAGAAAACATAAAAGTTATCAATGGATTGTCAAAAATCTAACAAAAAGGAAGGATTGAAAAACCGTCCCTAAGCTGTCTTACAAAATTATTGCATGAGTTTTATTTTTGTTTCACTTTTCAAGACTGGATACCCAACAGTGCAAATCAAATCATTGGAAGGTCAGAAACAACTATAAATTCATAATATCAGCACTGACTTGTATGGGTGAGTTTTTAAGATCCTCAATAGATTTGTATGTAAAATTTATTGGAATTCCCACAGCTACACCAAATCTTGAACAAGTAGTTCCTGAAACAGATTCATTGAATAACAAGAAATGATCCAAAACAACAAAAAAAACTGGGTCTGAGCTTGTCCACCTATCTTTTTATTGCTTAGATGGATGGACTAGCTCACGGCCCACCTGGTGTTTAGTGGTTACTGGAGCACATAGACGTCTACAACGTAAATGCTCCAATCATTCAAAAATATCAATCCTCATACAAATTCCCTCAGATATTCCATAAGACTGTAACTTTACAGTTTCTGTCAAGGTAGGTCAGCTTGTATTTGTAATTTTTTATTTTATACATTATGACATTACAAACATTAATATGTTAATTATATTGCTATTTTTATACGATTATCCATAGTTCAGTATTTCTTTGTGAGTTCCATTAGTGATGGAAACTTGTTTGGTTTTAGTTGTATTTAAGTTTAACTTTTTATATTTTTATAGGATAGTTTATATTTTATTTTATATTTTTAGTTTATTTCTCAAATAAATTATTCCACTCTAAACTGGAATGCTAGCTTTTGTGGTAAAATAGGCAAGACAGTGATATTTACATATGAGGGCTCCCATTACACTCCACCACCAGTAAACATTTAAACTAATTAATTCTATATTACCAAATAGACAATTGTAACAACTAATTTGGATTTGTAACATTCTTACTGACCCATACAAAAACATTATACCACTTAATAATAAAATTCCTCACCAGCATGAAATAAATCATAGCCATATGCACTAAAGGGAGATATGACTTTGCGGTGAATATCTGACATCTTCAAGATGTCCAAGCATTTCTCATAGCATTGTTCTAATTCATTGGACAATTCTACTGGTTTTCCATTACTGCAAAAAATCAAAATCATTTATGAATGAAATGTTTTTTTATTAAACAATTAAATTTTGGTAATGTATGAATATGATCTAGATTAAAATATTATTGTTATTTTTTAATGGTCGAAGTTACTATTAGGTACCTGTAATGTTGAACAAAATCTTTATATTTATGTAAAAATATAGTATTTGGTGTAAATCTTGCAGCTGTTAATGCAATCCCTGTCCCACTTATTACAGCAAAAGTGAATTTACGACCAGTTTCAGTTAGAAACCAATTTATGGGCCTTTTCATAGTCATGGTAATATGCAGATACTTATCGAGAACAATAAATGCATATAAAAGGACCACTGTACTCCTAATTGCAATTGCACATTAGCGAAGTAAATACTTAAAGAGGTCCTACTTTCATGTATCTCCAAACTCTTATAGGTTATGTTTTGGTAGGCAGTAGTAGTAGTTGCTTTATTTTTCCAATTGGAAAAGTAAAGGTATCGTACCATACAGCCCAATCTTTTATATATTTTTTATATGAACAATGATTTTGTGAAATGAAATGAAGTTGATTAATATGAAACATGGCAGGAAATGAAATGAGATGAAATGATATGGGATGAAATATAATCTCAGTAAAATGGTACTCATTTACTGAGACTTTTTCAGTGAACTTTTTGGAGGATATCGAGAAGTTACGTCCAGTGACTTTGTTTCATTTTCCCACATTTGTGCACTTTCACAGATACTAAACAGTTAATAAACCACCGTTATTACACATTTAAACCTGACGAAACACTAAATAGACAAAATAAAAGAAATCACACAACTTCACTCCTCGCGTTCCCGCCAAAAAGTAAAGCATTATCTTATTTTTTAAAGAATTTTATGACCTGGTAACTAAGACTTTTAAGTCATGTCTTATTTTAATATATATTCTTATTTTTATGAGAAATGATAATATGGAGTGAAATGAAATGAAATGAAGATGATTAATTTGAGACATTAATCAACTGGGATGAAATAAAATGAAATGAGATGAAATGAAATATAATCTCAGTAAAATGGTGCCCATTTACTAAAATTTTTTGAGTGGACTTTTTGGAGGATCCCGAGAAGTTACGTTCAGCGGCTTTGTTTCATTTTCCCACATTTGTGCACTTTCACAGATATTAAACAGTTAATAATCCACCGTTATTACACATTTAAACCTGAAGAAACATTAAATAGACAAAATAAAACAAATCACACAGCTTCACCCCTCGCGCTCCCGCCAAAAAGTCAGCATTATCTTAAATTATTACCTACCATAGATTACAAGTACACTTAATATTTACCTACCCTTTATAATCCTTAATAAATTTTTGGAGTTTACTCCTTTAGAATCGATTTACATATATAGGCCCGGGGTATGAAAATTATGGGGACCAAAATCGTACTAGCATGTCACACGAAATGCGTTATGCGCCTGATTGGCTCCTGATTGCGTGATGCGTGCGCGCGCCAATCAGGAGCCAACGCGCGGCCGCGTTATCGCAGGTGACGCCGGGCTGCTGCGCCGGCAGTCCGCCACAAAGCCTCGTACTGATCGCGCGTTTCTCTCATTATTGTATTTTCATATATTTGTTAGTCGTTTGTTTTGTGTCTCGTTAATTTGTTAATAATCTGTAGTGTATCGTGTTGTCGTAATATAGAACTATTTCTCGTATTGTTTCGTTTAATTTTTTATATCCAGTAAACTCCAGTCGTGCGTCGGAGCGGACACACACACTTTTTTTTTTCCTACCTAAGCTGGTACCCTAGAGCGGCTATTCCAGCGTAACCGTAACTAGTAGGTGAGCTCACGGGGCTCAAACCTGACGACGATGCTAACACGAACCCTAGCAAGAGTCGTGCTTCGCAGAATCTACCACCGGATCGGAAACGCGACCCACTGAGAAGATCCGGCGAGAAACTCAGTGGGCTGTGTCTGAGAGTTAATTTACTCGTCGAGCCCTTCGTGGCAAGTGACGGGTTCGACGAGAACGGTAACCGGTGCTTGAAGTACCTAGAAGCACCGTTAGTGGATCGGGAGGATCCGAGATGACGTGTTTTGGGTGACGTCGACTGCTTTCCATTCTGTCCGCAGGATCGGGAGTGTAGTTACCGGCGGCCACGATGAGAGGGTTCTCGTGTCGTGCCGCTTTATCGAAGTGGCGCATCGACGCCGACTGCATATACTTACTGGTGGACTCTAAGTCCAGGTCGTCATGGAGCGCCGCCTCTGGGTGCCCACCTCGTGATCGGAGGCGTCCGCGTCGGGGTCGGGGTGACCGGTCTTCGGTACCTCGGCCTCGAACTGGATGGTCGGTGGAACTTCCGCGCTCACTTTGAGAAGTTGGGCCCTCGACTGATGGCGACGGCCGGCTCTTTGAGCCGGCTGCTTCCAAACGTCGGGGGTCCCGATCAGGTGGCGCGCCGCCTCTACATGGGGGTGGTGCGGTCGATACGTGGCACTATACGAGAGCGCCGTATAGTGCCACGCCCTGACCCGCAAGAACGTCGCGGCGCTGCGACGTCCGCAGCGCGCGATCGCGGTCAGGGCGATCCGAGGATACCGCACCGTCTCCTTCGAGGCAGCGTGTTTGCTCGCCGGGGCGCCACCCTGGGACCTGGAGGCGGAGGCGCTCACTGCCGATTACCGGTGGCGTAGCGACCTTCGCTCTAGGGGGGAAGGGCGCCCCGGCGAAGGAGTAGTTCGAGCGCGGAGGCTTCAATCTCGGCGGTCCGTGCTGGAGGCGTGGTCTCGCCGCTTGGCGGACCCATCGGCCGGCCTCCGTACCGTCGAGGCGGTCCGCCCGGTTCTCGCGGACTGGGTGGGCCGCGACCGCGGATGCCTCACCTTCCGGCTGACGTAGATGCTTACCGGCCACGGATGCTTCGGCCGGTACTTGCAAAAGATAGCCGGAAGGGAACCGACGGCGCAGTGCCACCACTGCGCGGACCGCGACGAGGATGACACAGCGGAACATACATTGGCGCGTTGCTCTGGATTCGACGAGCAACGCGCCGCCCTCGTCGCGGTCATAGGAGAGGACCTCTCGCTGCCGCGCGTCGTGGCTACGATGCTCGGCAGCGACGCGTCCTGGAAGGCGATCCTCGACTTCTGCGAGTCCACCATCTCGCAGAAGGAGGTGGCGGAGCGAGAGAGGGAGAGCTCTTCCCTTTCCGCACCGATCCGTCGCCGTCGAGCCGGGGGCCGGAGGCGGGAATACGCCCGTACGTCCCGGCCCCTGTAGGTAGCGGCCTCCCCCCGGTGAAGGTCAAGGGGCGACCTGAGGGGGTGAGGCCGCGCGGCGCGCTACCAGCACTCTAGCGTGCTGCCGTGGAGTGAATAGAGCGACCGGTCGACGGTGTATCGCGTCCCGACCCGGCAGGCTGGTTCTGTTCCAGCGGGGTATTCCGGGACACCAACGGCACCGTCTGGGCGGCCCGACGGGCTGCCGTACCGAGACGGCCGACGTTTCAGAGCCTTCGATTCGCCTCGAAGGCTCCGTCGGCTGGGCGTCCTTGGGGTGAGCCGCGCCGTCTGGTTGTAGTGTTGACCGCGGTAGACCGTTGAGTCTCACATACCCCGCGCGCCCCTTTTGCGCGGGGACCTCGTAGGAGGATCGGCCATCTACCGGAAAAAAAAAAAAAAAAAAAGGTCGTCATGGAGGTCGACGTTCCTGACGAACCATGGGGCTCCGACGGCTATCCTGCAAAAACGGGATTGGATAATTTGAAATGATTTTAGGTGAGTGCGGGCTGCGTGAGCGAACACTACACTTGCATAGATCATGACGGGGCGTATGCAAGTTTTGTAGAGTGTCACCTTATTTCTAAGGGACATTTTACTTCGCCTGCATATCATCGGGTAGACGTCCTAGAATGAAGGCGGCACGATCGCGTACCGTCTTAATATGGAGGCGGAATGTCATCCTTCTGTCGAGGGTGACGCCTAAATATTTGACCTTTGGGGCCCACGGTATGGGCTGGTCGAACATCGTGATTGGGCGAATGGCGGAGGCGGAGGTGTCGGGAGAGGGATGCTCAACGTGGTGTTCGGAAAGCGACCCCTTTTGAAGAGCACCGCTGTGCTTTTCGTGGGGTTGATGTCGATGCGCCACTTCCATGGTGGTAGCTGCGGTCTGAAGTCGCCGATGAAGCAACGCCTTCTTCCTACACGAGTAGTAGATGGCGGTGTCATCGGCGAAGAGCGCCAGATGGGTCTCCGGAGACCGGGGTATATCATTTATATACAAACTGAATAGTAACGGGGAGAGGGCGGAGCCTTGCGGGACTGCGGCTGTGACGTGACGGGGGCGGGATCGCGTTCCCTCGACTCGATATCGGAACGAACGGTTCGACAAGTAGTCTCGTATGATGAGCACGAGTCTGTCTGGCACTCCCATGTTATACAGTTTGTATATCAAACCTAATTAATAAATAACCTATCCAAACTTTATAAAACTGGCATCCCCACCTTTTCCACAGTAGTATAGTAGTAGTCATAGATTATACACTTAATATTTGAGTAATAGCACTGAAGGGCCCAGGGAATTAAGCACACTTTTTTATTTTCGGATTTTTTTATTTTTTATTATTTGTTCGTCGTTTGTTCGTTAATGTTCGAATGTTGTTTGTTCGTCTTTTATTTTTTTTGCTTATTAGATATAAAATAATTAATAATTGGGAATTTAATTGTTTTTATGATCGAACAATCACCAATAGTCATCGAACAAACGATAATTGATCAAAATTAATTAATCTGAGCGATAAAAATAAAGATATCTAGTAAAGGAGGCCAACTTAATGTGATCATTTGTTTAATTAATTATAAATAAATAAACGAACAAACATTTTTTACATTCGAACATTAATGAACAAATGACGAACAAATAATTAAAAATTAAAAAATCCGAAAATAAAAAAGGGGGCTAAATTCACTGAGCCGCACTGAAGTATGAAACCTGGTCTATGAGTAATAGTGGCAAATGCTCAAACTGTGCGAGCCTCATTAAAAAACGAAAAAAAAATATGTTTACAAAATATTGTTCTGGGTGAAGTAGACACAAATGAAATAACGTAAAGTATTCGTGGACTACAAATATAATTCAGTCATTAAATAAAACATGGATTTAATACTAAGCGAATTAAGCAACCTCTTCTTACAACATTTAGATGAAGGTTGGGTGCAAGCGGTTTATTCTTCAGAGTTTTTAGACTTTGGAGAATTACCTCCGGAATATGAAATTACCCTAGACAACAACAGCCTATCCGTAATTCTAACAAACATAATGAAAAGTTGTGATGCTTGGTTAAATTTAGAATTTTTATCACATGAAGAGAAATCTTGGGCAGCTCTGTCTCATCAGGTACCTTATAAAAAGCTGTTGGCCCTCATAGGATACTATATTGATTTAGGTATAAAAAATGTTGCAAATAAAGAGAAGCGAAACAATGCCTTAATGGCATCTTTACTTTACTACAAATTATTATCAATACCTGGATACAAAGCCTATCACATATACCATTCACAAATTTTTGTGTTGTCATTAGCATGTCTTGGATTCCCAAAAGCTATGTGTGACAACGAATATAATTTTTTAAATGCGAAAGAGTTGACAAGAGAAGTTAACTCGGTAATTGATGGCTTAAAACAATTTGTCATGGTTCTGAAAATTGTGATAGAGCAATTACAACTAAATCCAAGTGATATGAACTTTGAAGATATTCTCAGCAACATGATTGACATTATTGGATGTGCTATAGTAAATAAATTAAATGTGGGTAAGTTCTTAATTTTGAATAATCCATAGATTGCAAAAAAATAGTTTCTATGAGTATAACAATAGCCATCATCATAATCAATAGATAATAATAAATAAGAGATAACTTAATCTCTGGTTTTAAAGTGAATCTTAACATCCGAATTGTGATTCTTGTGGATTACAGTGACTGCTATTTGGACCCTGAACCCTCCTACCTACCTTAAAAAAGTTAAAGGAATTAAAGTAAAAGCTATTGCTACAGTTTCCTGTCTATAATTTCATGTTTACATTTTCAGACAAAATTGAACTTGGTAAAGTTTCCAGTGTTATTTATGAAATGATAGATATTCTGCTATGTGATGTCAATAGAGAACCAAACCCAGCAGCCATCCGGTTGCTGTTCAAATGTTTACTTCCAAAATTTATTTCTGCCTCTACAGATTATCGTAGTGTAAATGTAAGTACCAAAGATTGTAAAAAAGACTAATAGAAATCTATTTTCTGATCATAATTATTAATATACTGCATTATTATATTACTGACTGATTTCTAATGTAAATCACTGTTAATCACTGAAAATATATGACAAACCATTTTGTAAATTTAAATAGGCTTCCTAGTTTCTGTGGTAATAAGAGACTGCAAAGTGAACATTGCCATCCAGTTTGAGATGTAGTTAAATATTTAAATTGCATTAACTAACAGATTTATTTTACCCAGAAACATATATGTAATCACAAACAATATACACTTAGGATGGTGGAACTTTCCCATGGGGTTTGTAATACCTTTACCAGCAGAAAATGTTGGCAGGCAAATGGTATGAAAGCCAGTATAATAAACCTATATTGTGGTTCATCTGTTAGTCCCTCTCCTTTTATGAAACCAACAGAAAGAGATAGGATGGTGCTATTTTTGGCCCTACACTATGCAAAATATTTACAAAAAAATGGATTCCTTTCAGATCCCCATAACAATTATTCCTAAATTATTAACTAATAGTACTTTTAAAGTGACATGTTAGTTATTTTGTTATAAATGTAGTTTAGTGAAACTAAAATCTGTTGAAAGAAAATATTTAGCCATTTACATCCTACTTTAATACATTGATTCTCAACATTTTATGAGTTTCGTACAAGATTTGTAGTTCAGCAACAAATATGTTACAGAATTCCAAAAAATATTTTACCACTTTTCAAATTACCTTACCTCTCTTTTCAGAACATAGTCAGAGCATCTTATGTAACATATTCAGGGTTATTATTAAGTAAATATGGAAAAGCAGCTCTACCTGGATACAGTGTACTTTTACAACATCTCTGCTATACATTAGATGGCTTGGTTTGTATTTTAATTATTCTTAGTTTTTGCATAAATAACACAATTGTAAACTTTAAAAATAAAATGAAGTCTTTAACTATGTATGAAATTACTATTTAATATACAGAAGTATATCCATTTTATATACATATTTTCTTTATCAATCGTAATATGCATTCATGGTATCGATGTATCCCTGTGTGGTGATAATTTTTCAATGCCCTTCTTAGAGAAGTTAAGGATCCAACAAATGCATGCCTTTGCAGAGTTTGTTGACTGCCTCTTGGTTATTTAATTTTTCCTGCTGACAAGTTATACAAACCTAGAAAAAAAAATTGAAGTGCTCGACACAAGGTGTGGTGCATACTGTGGAGGACAAAAAACTTTCAGCCTTAGCTCTTGTAGCTTAGAGACATTCTGTTGTGCCGCTTGAGGTCGAGCATCGTCATGCAGTGTCATGTAGTAGTGGGGACTAGCGATTAACTAAGGCTGGTGCGAGATTCGTAAAGCATCTCTGTAATTGGGTCCAATTCCTCACAGTACACATCTGCAGTAATGCTAGTGCCTTCTGGTAAGAAGCTATGATGAATTATACCATCACTAGATCACCAACCAGTGTCCATGACTTTTAGGGGTAAGTTTTCATTTGGGGCATTGCCTAGGGGTTGAACCCGGGTCAAACCAACATGATGACCACTTATAATTATCCAAAATAATCCACTTTTTTTCGCCAGTGGCGATGGGGTTCAAAATCCCTTCGTTTCTTTCTGTTAAGCAAAGCATACCAAGTATTTTTACCTTGTATTATTTTTTATGTAAACCTACACAACAATAATAATTGACCTTTGACAATAATTGACAATAGTTCTAGGTACCTTTTAGGTTCAAAATGTTCAACAGTGCAAATCGAGGGGTCAAAGGCTATTTGGCTTAAGCGACATTTCGCTTGACACGCGACATTTATCTATGTAATTAAAACTCCGATTTATTTGGTATTAGCATAAAAAATTTGATGTTCTTAATTGAACTTCAATTAGGTACGTTTACCTCATTCAAATAGTCCAAGTTTTTTGTAGTGATATTTTTTCGTAATTTTAAATGGTTCTCCTGGAAAAGTTGCAAAAATGTCGCTTAAACCAAATAATAGCCTTTCACCCCCGAAATATATTTTTTATTTCGAACTTGATTTGAATTTAAATAATTTTATCATAATTTATTTTTCTGGCCTTTGTTATTCAGGAGCGTGCAGAAGTGCGAAACTCCCGCGTTTCACTTATAGTAGGGTTGATGAGTCTTCTTCCAAAAAAATCTCACAGAAAAACAGTAAAATGGGTCCTTAAACTCTCTACAACCTCCAAAGTGGCACATAGACAAATTGCCATGGTAAGTTTAGTTAAAGTTTTAATTAAGTTAAAAGTCAACATAGGATATATTATATATGTTTAATATTTCGTTATTAAGTTCACTTATATCTGATAAATTATATTTGTACAATTCTCGAACCATTTTAAGAAACCACGCGCGCTCCAATTTTAATTTTTGAGGGAAGAAAGTGAAATTTCTTGGAATCGTAAAGCCCATTTTTTTCGAGGGTTATACGAGGGTTACATCCCGTAGAATTTCTCCACTTTCAACAATAGTTTTGATTTCTTCTCCTGTGTTATCTAAATAAATATATATTCTAAGTTCTTTACTATACAACTAAAGGCTTCAAACTATTAATTGCGTAAAACTTTACAGGAAATTTTGTCAAATTTGTTAAGCAGTGATCTTGAAGAATCTAAACCAGAAAATGAAGACTCTTCAAAAAACAACCAGCCCAATGGTACACTATGAATTGAATACTGAACTAACTCATTTATTTACCAAAGAGCATTACATAAACACATCCTGCAATTATTATACTTACTATAAAATAAATATGCTTAATAGCGATTTTTTTTAAATTTCGGCATGCACTGCCAATCTCGGCTGAACGCAATTATTTACATGTGACGTCATTTGGGGTCACAATATACGACAGGCGAATCAAAATCATACGGTAAAATAACGATTACTCATATATAAAAGGTAAAAATGATATTAAGAGATATTTAATGACCATTTTAATTTAATTAACATCTCTTAAAACTGCTTTGGATTATTCCTTTTTTGGTTCCAAATTCTTTGATTACTACAAGATACAACAAGTTGTCTTTCTACACGAGCATGTAAGTGAAGTGAATAAGGGTAACTTGTAGATACTGGCTCGGCGAGCAACTAATTGTGACATTCATTATTATTTGTTAATTGAATAAAAATTAATTACATATTAGTATGTATCTTTGTTAAAAATTAGTGGCAAAGTTTGACTTTGAAATACAAGCTAAAACATTTAATGTTTAGACCTTTTTTATCTCTACATAATTTACTATGTTTTATAGTACTGAAAATACTGATATACCTAAATCATTTTAAAAGTAAATAAAAACACCTTTTAGTTTCACACCCGTTGGAACAGATGAAATTCTTGCGTAGTTGACATAAGTCGCTGCTATTTATTTAATCATTATTTTAGGTCAAGGTAACGAGAATGCGCACGATAACATAGAAAATGTAGCAGATAATGATGAAAATCAAGTAATTCATGAGAATGGAGCTCGTCCAGAAGATACTGTTACTACTGAAGATGAGAGTAGCCAAGACACATTCATGGAGATTGTATGCTGTATTTGTTACTAAAAAGTTTATCGAGAGTATCGAATTCAATAATTAAAAAGGGTGCGTGTACTTATGTACGCGCGTAAGAAGTTATACTTTATTTTTATTAATTTTTTTTTTATTTTTATTTAAATTATAAAATAAATTAAAATATATAAAATAAATTAAATTTAAATTATAATATAAAATTTAATCAATTTGAAAAAAAAACGATTAAACAACATCCTCAAACACGCATATTGGACATCCCTTTTCTTGACGTCGTATAAATTCGGTAATTCTCGGTACGGTTCGGAAAGTTCACCTGCGGCTATATTCAGACTCGCCAAGTTACGTCGGTCGTATTGTAATGAGCGATTTAGTGGGCAACTTCATTCTGTTAATTTTGTGTCACGGTGCGCGCGCATTGTAAAATTTTACTCTCATCAATTTTTCATAACGCGCCTAAAGAAGTATAACTTCAATAATAATACTGCCTTTGATTTTCATGGATCGTAAACATAAAACTTTCTACTCCAATCTTACACTTATGACACCGGCGCCGAACATCTAAAAAAGGTAGCGCTCGTTCTAATAATCGAAGGTAGCTACTACCATTATCGTTGACACCTCAAATATTAAGATCAATTTTATGTATTACATTATTGTTTTTTTGTTTTTGATATTTAAAAAAAAGGAACTGTATAAAAATTATATAAAGCTATAGAATCAATAGCAATTAGTAAAGAAATGATGCGTACGAGAATTATTTACGAAGCCCACATTAACAGAATGTGTTTATTTATTGATAAATAATTTTAAGTACCTATTATTGCTACACAATCTTTACAATAAAAAATTATAAACTGCAATATATAACTGACAAATCACACGCTAAAAATACACTGATATATTTTGCCAAACGCGCCAAAAGATAACTGACCATAATTTAACAGAGAAGTTTGTTGGCGCAATACATTTTCAAATACTTTTATGGTTATAATATTAATATTGCAAATATAATTAGGTCATGTTAATCATTAGATTAACACGGGATTATTAAAATATAGATCGTCATGTAACTTTATTTATTGTTTTTATGTTAGGGTATTCTGCGACGAACACACCCTTCAAACTGAAACGCATTACTGCTTCACGGCAGAAATAGGCAGTGTGGTGGCTGTGGACTGTAGATCCATAGGTCGCTGGTTCACATCCGGCTCGAAGGACCAATGTGTAGAACGTGGACTGTATTTTAGTGCTAGCTTCAATAAAAACTCGAATCAGAGCAAATAATTTTTATTTTTTAATGTACAATACGTGCACGTACGACCAGAACTTTACTTATTAGAGTGTTCCCACATTTAAAAACAATCATATAAAATCTTATGTTTAGGATTGCCCTAAACCGTACCTACCCGTGCGGACTCACATGATGTCCTACCACCAGTAATCCAGTAATGTAATATTCTTACAATTCCTCCAACTGTTTATTTCACAGCCAGATCAAGAAGTGATAGAAGAAGACATGGCAGGTCTACTCCGGCAGCGTTCGCACACCGTGCGTCACTCCGAACTCCTGCGAGCGATATACGAACGTTTGAATGACGTGTCGAGCACGCTGCGCGCCCGAGCTTTTAGTATAATTACTGAGTGCGTTACCCACGAAAGACAACATGTGAGAGACGCCGTCAAGGTAATTATGTTTTTCGATTAACTTTATGCATATTCCTTCAATAAGAATTTCTCTTGAACATAAGTATATTCGTGTATAAAACAAATAGAAGAAACAAAGAGATTTGGTGAAAATTAAATTTCATGTCATCTTGGTTAAAGATATGCTTAGGACACGGTCACTATCGCCCGCCATATGCGGCGAGTGTGGTATCCGTATCTGTAAGGAGGGATGTGTCGCACAGCGCCACGGTTTTGGTTTACAATAAAGAATACTCTCTCTCTCTCTCACACACCCTCTCACTCCCTCCCTCTCTCTCTCTCTCTTTCTCACACACACCCTCTCACTCCCTCCCTCTCTTTTATTACCTTGTACTATTGAAATTAACGAGTCGTCGGTGGCGCAGGAGGTGCAGGGCGCGCGCGGCGAGGCGTGCCGGCTGGTGGCGGCGGCGGCGCGCGGCGTGTGCGACGAGCGGGCCGCCGTGCGCCGCGCCGCGCTGTCGCTGCTGCAGCGCGTGCTGGCCGCGCACCACACCGCGCCCGTCGACGCAGATCTCGCGGTCCGTCTACTAAACCTCATCTTTTGGAACGAAGCACTTATAGAGGATGTAGAGAAGGAGTGCAGAATGCTAATTTTGTTTATAAATTATGCATTCATAATACATGACATCAATAAAAAAACATTACACACACTACTATGTATTTGACACACACACACACACATATATATATACTCTTGGCTTATTATATGGAGGGTAGAGGTAAGAAGAACCGTCTCTGTGTGTAAAAAGTGTCCGTTAAAATCTGCTAAATAAGGGTGGCGCTACAGCAGCAACCGAGTAAATTTAAAAAAAGGCGCTGAAAGTTACTAGTATAAGATAGAGAAATAAAAAAGGACGAAAGAACTGTAAGCACTACAAAATCACAAAAAGTATTTTATTTAAAGCTGATAAGAAAATGCAATCGATGTCTCCACGTTTTACCACAGCAATAATTTTAGGTAATATTGAGGAAATTAGTTTGGACTACGTAAACATGTCAGATCTTGTATATTACACTGTCACTAACTAGGTACTGTAGTCATTAAATATATTAAATTTTCTAACTCAGCATACTTCAATCAGTTAACAACTGCTCAATTCATATCATACCTTGTCCCTATGCTAGCGTCATTCTGGAGGATTTTTGAACTGTTATTTAGTGCTGAAAGTGGAACACTTTTTCAAGCTTCTCCCATATGAGACGGTTTTCCTTGCCTCTACCCTCCACAGTTTTTTGTCCAACTTTTGTTACTGCTTAGTCTGTGGTCAAATTGAGAATAGGCTAATACTGTTTATTTTTAATATTATTTGTTTATATTGTGGTCTTGACGAAATCTGTGAATACAGAAGTATAATAATCTTTGACAATAGAACCTTAATAAAACTTATTATTTCAATTAATTATAGTCGAATTTCAACTACTGCGGGATCGCTAGTAATATGTAACTATAATTGAGACCTTAGAACTTATATCTCAAGGTGGGTGGCGCATTTACGTTGTCGATGTCTATGGGCTCCAGTAACCACTTAACATCAGGTGGGCTGTGAGCTCGTCCACTTATCTAAGCAATAAATAATAAAAAATGTAAAACGCGATCATTTCTAGGAGAAAAATAATAATTGCAGAGTAGATAACCAAGCAAATGATTTTATTATTTATGTTTTAGATATTCTATTATTATATCAGCATGTTTTTAATCTAACAACTCTTACAGTAGCACCAATGCCAATTACCTGTTATAATAATATTTAAATGGTACATAAACTAAAAACAAAATTAAATATATTACATATAATTTAATAATCTATATATAGAAAAATGAATTGCTGTTCGTTAGTCTCGCTAAAACTCGAGAATGGCTGGAACGATTTGGCTAATTTTGGTCTTGAATTATTTGTGGAAGTCCAGAGAAGGTTTGAGAGGTAAATATGAAAATGCTCGGAATTAAATAAAAATAATAATTTTGTTTTATCTTTGATGTGACCCCCGTCGGACGGATTCCTTTTGTTTGTTTTAAGTTTATTTTATACAAAAGTTTGAGTCTTTTATTTATCGATTGAGGCACTACGAAGTCTGCCGGGTAGTCGACTTATAAAAGTAAAATAAAAAAAAAACACGAAGAAGTTAGAAATAACCTTAAAGTATCAACAGGTTTTGATCTAAAACCTATCGATACCCGGCCATGGAACATCTTAAATCGATCGACATCTGAAATATATAAAAGTAATGTTTTACGCTAATTGTTACTTTATATTGCAGCTTTTGGTAGGGCTGTGCCGCGACGCTAGCATCATCGTGAGGTCGGCGGCCATCGCGGCTCTCGGTGAGATGGTCACACAAATACCCACCGAGGCGGTATTCGACGCCTTCCTCGCGGGACCCATGCACCAGTTGTCAGATCCTGAAAATAAGGTTATTAAATTATTACAAAAAGAATAACAATAATATTGTATTTTGAATACCATGAATAATCAAAGATAGTTTGTAAGGCTTTATGGAACAATATAAAAACGTTAAATATTTTCAATAAACTTAATACATGTATAAAAATTATAAGACTATAAGAGCTGTACTCGTCCGCTTCGCTGGGCGTTTAAAATTAAGATTATTATTTCTCAACCCCACAAAGATTCTCATCATTAACGCCCCCGTAACTGGTATAGGGAGTCCAACACATATTAGCCTACCATTAAGTACATGTATATACCAAGGATACCAAGTTTCAAGTCAATCGGATGCATGTTTCAGTAGTTATAACGAAACATCCGTAAAAACCACTGTAGATTTATATATTAGTATAGAATTATAGATTAAATTAATATTTCACAAAAATCGCAGTTAGTTTGTAAAACGTAGTAAATGACATTTCAGATATTGAAAATCTAAAATCGATTGTCATTATATTACGATCAATCCTGCTTTTTTATTGTTTGTTCAATCAATTTATTTATTTGTTTAACTATTTATTTATTTCGTCATGAGTATATCGATTTAATTACAGGTGCAAGAGCAGGTCGTGACACAGATACAGCAACTGCTTACAGATCGCATTGACACGTTCGTGTCGAATCAATTCAGTTCGGTGCCTTGGATGTTCTTAGACGGGATAACGCGACACAATATGAGGAGGCATTTGCAGAAAGCCTGCACTTTACTCTCGAAAACATCTAACTGTATAAAGTAAGCGAAGAAGGAATATTTTTCCACTATCAAATCATAAAATTCGGAGTAATAATAGGTTGGCGAAAAAGTCTTTTCGCATTATAGTATGTATGAACTTGTAATAAAATCTCTTTGGCTATACTATTTGTATCTGGCTAGTTTTGGTATCAATAAAATTTTCAATTTAAAAAAAGATAATTCCAAATTCAAATTAGGAAAATGTGTATTTTTTATTTATTTTTCGTACTGTCAAGATGTGTGAATCGAATGAAGAAATTCGATACATTTTAAAATTTTACTTCAAAAAAGGTAAATGTGGAACGCAAGCCGCGAAAAAAATTTGCGATGTTTATGGACCTTGTGCAGTGTCTGTGAGAGTAGCACAAATTTGGTTTAAGCGTTTTCAATCCGGAAATTTTGATGTCAAAGATGCACGTCGCTCTGATCGCCGTATTACGGATAAAATGGATGCCATATTTGAAAAATTATTATTTGTTGTCGTATTGTCGCGGCGTTAGGACGCTTTGAAGTCGGGCGTTATAATTTTTTATAAATTTCATTTAGCATCCGAGTTAATGAATTAAAATACTGGATAATGCCCGAAAAATTTATAGAATACTCCTGCTTATACAATGCCACATCTGAATCACTCGACATCTTAATACTTTTAAATTTTCACATTGCTATCGAAAGGCACTATGATTTGGCGAATGCGTTTCGTCAAGGAGCGTTAGGCTCATCTAGTCAATTTATGTGACATGAAAAGAGCACGACGTTAAAACGCAGCGCTAGGTACGCGTTCTGTTTGACGAAACCTTAACGCTCTGACGCGCGCTAAGTACGCGTTCTGTTTGTCGAAGCCTTAACGCTCTGTCGCGCTGAGTACGCGTTCTGTTTGACGAAGCCTTAACGCTCTGACGCGCGCTAAGTACGCGTTCTGTTTGTCGAGGCCTTAACGCTCTGACGCGCGCTAAGTACGCGTTCTGTTTGACGAAGCCTTAACGCTTTGACGCGCGCTAGGTACGCGTTCTGTTTGACGAAACCTTAACGCTCTGACGCGCGCTAAGTACGCGTTCTGTTTGTCGAAGCCTTAACGCTCTGACGCGCGCTAAGTACGCGTTCTGTTTGTCGAAGCCTTAACGCTCTGACGCGCGCTAAGTACGCGTTCTGTTTGACGAAGCCTTAACGCTTTTACGCGCGCTAGGTACGCGTTCTGTTTGACGAAGCCTTTAGTTCTGTGTCCGTCGCCAGCCACCGCCTCGTGGACGTGGTGAGCACGCACCTGGGCGCGGCGGACGACCGGCGCGACCTGCAGTGCCTGGTGCTGCTGACCGGCGTGGCGCGGCTCGTGGACTACTCGGACATCGGGTTCGTGCTCGACTATTACTACAAACTTGCTGACGACACTGAGGTACACAATACGCTCGCTATATCGAGTTCCTTTTTCTCATCTCCTCTCTTACTTGTGTCACGTCGCTCTTTGATTTGTCCAAGTAATATATACTACAACATGAAGACCTATCGTTTGATAAAAATGACGAATTTCAAAGCATCATCAAATGTCATTTTTCGCCCGGTTACACTGATATGGTCTCAAGACCATCAGCTTAGGAAAAAAAAATCATTGGACTGATATCATTACATATTTATCAAATTTATCGATAAACTTCTAACCATATTTACGTAAATATTGAACGCACCAGACCCATCGCCCTTGGGTTTGAATTAGAATTTTCGCACCTACCACAAAAAAGGTATAGAAGTATAAAGGTAAAGATATTCAGAAATAGTAAAGTACTTCTCACCCAGTAAAAAAGGATATAGAGGTATAAAGGTAGAGATACTGAGAAGTAGTCAAGTACAGATAATTTTGAGCTTTATTTTGATTGCAATATGATTGAATAGCAATTGGATGCGTTGTTCAGGAGCGCGACGTGCGGCTGATGCCTCTCACAGTGGAGCTACTGTCGGTGTGGAGTCGGTTCGCGACCAACGAACAGCGGCACGCCCTGCGCGAGCACCTCGTGAGGCGGCTCGCCACGTCTGAAGACGAAAGTAAGCGTTTTCAATACTTCAAAGTACATTTTTTTCTTTATCACTTTTTTTTATTGCTTAGAGAGGGGACGAGCTCACAGCCCACCTGGTGTTAAGTGGTTACTGGAGCCCATAGACATCTACGACGTAAATGCGCCACCCACCTTGAGATATAATATGTTCTAAGGTCTCAAGTATAGTTACAACGGCTGCCCTACCCTTCAAACCGAAACGCATTCATGCTTCGGGGCAAAAATAGACAGGAAGGTGGTACCTACCCGCGCGATCTCACAAAAGGTCCTACCTAGTTAACTTTTTAGTTTTAATTTGATTAGTTTTGATCGGCGGTTGATCGGCTGTAAGGCGGCACGGATATGTACCACCACTCTGCCTATTTCTGCCGTGAAGCAGTAATGCGTTTCTCTGCAGACTGCTAAAACCCTGCAAACTGTGATACGTGAAGGCTTCGTTCAATGTTGGTCCAAATTGGGACATGAGCACGAAAGTCTTCATGTGTCAAACCGAAACCGACAATGGCTTTGCGAAAGAAATAACCGAGATGTTGCTTACCTACATTGGCCTACAATATGCCCTGTCACCGGTGATTATATCCGTGTTATGTACAGACAAGAAATTAATTTAGAAATATCGGTACCGACCTCTTTAAGGAACACTCGATGTGAATGAAACGAACGTTTTAGCAGTTAGGCCACGGACCCATTAAAATAACCATGGTTGGCGATTTGTTATAGCGTCCAGGATCCCCATCGCCACGTTAGCGGCGCAACTCGATCCTGAAAACCTTCAGTGGGCTACGGAAATGATGCAGCTTTGTAAGTTTATCCTGTATTAATTACAGTAAACGCTCTCTTCTATTATCATGAATAGCAGACGTTATTAATTACGTTATTAGCATTTAAAAAATCATTTTTAGGTTAAGGCGTAGTACGTCGATAGTACGAATAAATTACGACAAAAACAGTCATTTAAAAAAAAAAAACATATTATATAAAAAAAACTTTTCTATTACACGACTGCCAATAACTTTTGGTGCCGCAATTGGTTCTCACCCCTATATTCACATTTCATAAGTTCCCGATATTTCGGCGACGCCGCACGCGCCGCAAGTGATCACGGGTTGACTACCCGCCAAATAATAGTGTATATAATGTGATTCGTGGAAATTGGTGTTCGCTGATAATCCCCGGCGTTGTTTAAACGCGGAGAATGTTCGCTTTTGGAATTCGGGAAAAGAAAACGAAACACCAAACTAACTTGTTAAGGAGAGTTGTTCAGGGTGTCCCACAATTGGTATATCAATCCGAAATTTGGCTATAGCAATAACAGTGTAGATCACATTAAAAATGTATAAAAAAATCTAAGTTAAAAATGTATAAATCTAAATTATAATTTGCGTAATTACTGGTGGTATGACCCTCTTGCGAGTTTGCGCGGGTAGGTACTACCGCCAACCCGCCTATTTCTGCCTTAAAGCAGTAATGCGTTTCGGATTGAAGGGTGGAGCAGCCGTTGTAACTATACTGAGACCTTAGAACTTATATCTCAAGGTGGGTGGCGCATTTACGTTGTAGATGTGCATGGGCTTCAGTAACCACGTAACACCAGGTGGGCTGTGAGTTCGTCCACCTATCTAAGCAATAAAAAAGTCATGATTAGCAGTTTCATCCAAAAACTAATTAGTTAATTATTTCAACTCCTCGATGACAGCCCTGAATTCATAAAAAAAGTACCGTTGGGCCGTTCATTCTCATTCCGTTAAATGCGCCAGAAGGAAATAGATATCAACAAAATCCTTTTTCAAAACTCATTTAAATAAATGAATACGGAAAAAATGCAACTATATTCCTAGATGTAATAAGGCTCAAAAATGCAAACCAAATTTCACACGTATTACGGTAATGTTACTAAATTTCACTAATCTATATCTATACTAATATATACATATAAATCTACAGTGGTTTTTACGGATATTCCGTTATAACTACTGAACCATGCATCTGATTGACTTGAAACTTGGTATCCATGTAGAAAATATACATGTATTTAACAGATAGGCTAATATTTATATGAGTGTTGGACTCTCTACATTAGTTGCGGGGGCGTTAATGATGAGAATCTTTGTGGGGGTGAGAAAGAATAATGTTAATTTTAAATGCCCAGCGAAGCGGACGGGTACAGCTAGTGTTAATATAAATATTGTGTGGGCGTGTCCAGCGGAGCAGCGCGCGGCGAGCGGCGCCGACGTGCGGGAGTGGTTGCGCGCGGCGGACCTGGCGCTCGTGTCGCCCGCGCCGCCCGCCCCCTCGCTCATGCAGCTCTTCCTCGACGCACTCGCCAATCCCCCACCGGGTATGTTATTCAAAAGCTTTTCAAACTTTAATTTAGCGAGACCGATCATTTGTTGTTACGTTATAGGTGGAAACGGAGAACCGCCTTGCGATTAAGCTCACATATCTAAGCAGTTTATTATAATAGATTTAGGCATTTCGGTCTTCATTGTATTATCAGCTTTCCATTGGTTTTTCTAAAGATAACAGATCAGATATGTGATAGATCAGAGCAGTGAACAATTGATTGTTCTCATTCAAGTGCTAGACTCAATCAGTGTTTGTTGTATGCTTATTTCGACCTAATGTCTCAAGCTAGTCAATGATATTCATGTTGTTATGTTTGTTTCGACTTTATCTTCGCTTTTACAAACGAAGCATTCAGACGATTGTAAAAAATATATGATTGTAAAAAAAATTAAATAAACATCTTTCTCAGTTTTATTTTGAACCCGTTTTCGGTTAGCCCTTTAGTTAGTATGGTTGAAACTTTCTAATATATAATACTAACGACCCACCCTCGCTTCGCTTCGGAAACTAATTTATTAATGATTTCTCAGTGGAGAAATCGATAATAAATTCACTAAATAGTGATTTAATGGATGTTATTATACATATAAACTTTCATCTTCAATCACTCTATCTATTAAAAAAACCGCATCAAAATCCGTTGCGTAGTTTTAAAGATTTAAGCATACATAGGGATATAGGGACAGAGAAAGCGACTTTGTTTTATACTATGTAGTGACGTATCGTACGCAGAGTGGGACGGTGCAGAGATGGGTGCGTGCGTGGCGGGCGCGGGGCGGCTGTGCGTGCGCGCGCGTGGTGCCGCGTGCCGAGCCGCGCCGCGCTTCGCCGCGCTGCTGCGGGACTGCGCCGCACCCACCGCCGCCCGGCTCAACGCGCTGCTCGTGCTCACAGACATCTGTACCAGGTATTCTGTCAACGTCAAACTCGGAAATTGTTTTAACGTAATCGGAAACATTTTCAGCTCACCAGGTGTCGCGTCATTGATAAAAGGTTCCCATTATCGGTACATGTTTCTTGGTCGCCTCAATTACAAAATATTAAGATGCCAAAAAAAATTAATTATTGTAAAATTAAATATTAGTCATAACTAATGGTCGGAGTAGGTAGATTGATTTTATATACTTGCGTCAAGATATTATAATATGGACATGCCATTTTATCCATAATGTGCGGGAAGTACGTTATATTCTGATCTTATTTTCTCTGATATACGATGAAGAGCATGCCCCAAACATGTTACATGTTTCATTTCAGGTAAATATCAGCGTAGATTGATATTATTAATACGTTTTTCACCTTAAACACAGATTCATGCTAATTTCAAAATTCCGGAACAAATCTAAATATATAAAAATGAATTGCTGTTCGTTAGTCTCGTTAAAACTCGAGAAAGGCTGGACCGATTTGGCTAATTTTGGTCTTGAATTATTTGTGGAAGTCCAGAGAAGGTTTAAAAGGTAGATAAATATGAAAATGCTCGGAATTAAATTAAAATAACAATTTTGTTTTCCCTTTGATGTATGTATCTGGGGATACATCAAAGGATGGTCGGACGGATTCCTTTTGTTTGTTTTAAGTTTATTTTATACAAAAGTTTAGGTCTTTTATTTATCGATTGAGGCACTACTAAGTCTGCCGGGTCAGCTAGTATCATAATAAATATGAAGTTCCGTTATTTTGGAGGCATCTCCATATTATCCTCTACGTTTGACGTCAACGACCTTAAATCAATCTATCCGACCTCTGGTCATAACATAAACTAATAATATTTATTTTTTATTTTTCCTTAAGATGTAGTTGACAGTCTGCTTGCAATGGATTGACACTAATAATGATATAGGTGAGAGTCACTCCTAGTCTAAGAGTCACTAACGTACACATTGCGTGCGTCAGATACACGAGTATAGTGGAGCCGCTGCTGGAGTGCGTGTGCGGCTGCCTGTCGCGCGAGTCGCCGCCGGAGCTGCGCCGCGCCGCCGCACGCGCGCTCACGCGGCTGCTACTTGCGGGATTCCTACGACTGCGGACGCCCCTTTATTACAAGTAAGTGATATTTATTATATTTTAAATTTATAGAGAGAGAGAGTGTGTGAGAGAGCGAAAGAAATTATTCTTTATGGTACACAAAATGAATAAGCTATGAGAAACATTAAATACAAAAAAGTACAATGAGCGGTTATATCGCTAAGAGCGTTCTATTCCGGATAACCATCAGGTGGTCAAGAATCATTTGGAAACAAATTTTACGCGGTGTACCTATCGATAAAAAAATATATAGTACCCCGTACATACATACATATTTATAAATATACAAATATGAACAACGTAATAATAATTAATGTACATATGTAATTAGTTTTTATATCTATCTATATTATTATATAATAAATAAAAGTTAGTCTGTGACGATTTCACAACCGCTCTTATGCAAGTTGTGTTCACACGCAAAAAGGTAAATTCAATAATGTATTTATTCATTTTTCTATTTAAGTAGTTAAGTTTTCGATTTTATCCAAGTATGAAGCTAATAAATAAATAAAAAATACTTTTTTCCGTAATATACACAAGATCACAAGCTTTTGTTATTTTTTTATTCTGGAACTTGAAGCTTGCACGTTTTGTTTGGACGTTTAAGTTTGAAACAGAACATAGGATAACGAGATTTTTGTTATGTGGTATTAATACGCAACCCGGAAACAGTACTCTAAGGAATTTAAAATATTTTTTATGATATGTAAATAAAATAAATAAAATGCTCTCCTTTTTTGTCTTTAAATAAATGTGCATCCGTGTTTTACCCCAATTTTATGTAACTTGTATTTTTTTTTCTTCTATAAGATTACTTTTGATTTCTAGGTACTGTGCACTCCTGGCCGATGAAGATAATGACGTGAGAGAGCCCGCCGAGTACTACATGACCTGCTGCCTCACCACGGAAACGATATTTCATCACTTCGTCGACTGCGTGCTGTATTACAACAATGAGACGGGTAATCATACGAAATGTCAAAGGAACAAACAAAGCAATTTGTGGTCGAATCCACTATCGGTTGGGTATAGGTTGAAATCTATATAGACAAAAATGAATTGCTCTTCGTTAGTCTCGCTAAAACTCGAGAACGGCCGGACCGATTTGGCTGATTTTGGTCTTGAATTATTTGTGGAAGTCCAGAGAAGGCTAAAATGGTAGATAGATATGAAAATTATAAATAAAAAAGTGTGTGTGTCCGCTCCGACGCACGACTGGAGTTTACTGGATATAAAAAATTAAACGAAACAATACGAGAAATAGTTCTATATTACGACAACACGATACACTACAGATTATTAACAAATTAACGAGACACAAAACAAACGACTAACAAATATATGAATATATGAAAATACAATAATGAGAGAAACGCGCGATCAGTACGAGGCTTTGTGGCGGACTGCCGGCGCAGCAGCCCGGCGTCACCTGCAATAACGCGGCCGCGCGTTGGCTCCTGATTGGCGCGCGCACGCATCACGCAATCAGGAGCCAATCAGGCGCATAACGCATTTCGTGTGACATGCTAGTACGATTTTGATTNTTAGAAAGCTTGGCATTTCAATTAAACGCCTTAAAAAAACCCTTGCGTGCTACCAATATAAAAGAAAAAATTATCGCTTCTCAAGATGAATAAACGTCCTGCAAATCAAGTAACTCGCACTCAGAGCTCCGCACGTTTCACCGTGAAGAGCGTACACTCGATGCGAGTCATTCGATTCGATTTTTGAAACTCGCACTAAGCCTACAGAAGTATAATAATCTTTGACAATAGAACCTTATTAAAACTTATTATTTCAATTAATTATAGTCGAATTTCAACTACTGCGGGATCGCTAGTAATATGTAAAACGCGATCATTTCTAGGAGAAAAATAATAATTGCAGAGTAGATAACCAAGTAGATGATTTTATTATATATGTATTAGATATTCTATTATTATATCAGCATGTTTTAATCTAACAACTTTTACAGTAGCACCAATGCCAATTACCTGTTATAATAATATTTAAATGGTACATAAACTAAAAACAAAATTAAATATATTAAGTATAATTTAATAATTGATTTATTAAAGGTAAATTAAATTTAAAAAAACACGAAGAAGTTGGAAATAACCTTAAAGTATCAACAGGTTTTGATCTAAAACCGTTCTATCTATACCCGGCCATGGAATATCTTAAATCGATCGACATCTGAAATATACAAAAGTTAATGTTTTACGCTAATTGTTAGATTATATTGCAGCTTTTGGTAGGGCTGTGCCGCGACGCCAGCATCATCGTGAGGTCGGCGGCCATCGCGGCTCTCGGTGAGATGGTCACACAAATACCCACCGAGGCGGTGTTCGACGCCTTCCTCGCGGGACCCATGCACCAGTTGTCAGATCCTGAAAATAAGGTTATTAAATTATTACAAAAAGAATAACAATAATATTGTATTTTGAATACTATGAATAACCAAAGATAGTTTGTAAGGCTTTATGGAACAATATAAAAACGTTAAATATTTTCAATAAACTTAATACATGTATAAAAATTATAAGACTATAAGAGCTGTACTCGTCCGCTTCGCTGGGCGTTTAAAATTAAGATTATTATTTCTCAACCCCACAAAGATTCTCATCATTAACGCCCCCGTAACTGGTATAGGGAGTCCAACACATATTAGCCTACCATTAAGTACATGTATATACACGGATACCAAGTTTCAAGTCAATCGGATGCATGTTTCAGTAATTATAACGGAACATCCGTAAAAACCACTGTAGATTTATATATTAGTATAGAATTATAGATTAAATTAATATTTCACAAAAATCGTACTTAGTTTGTAAAACGTAGTAAATGACATTTCAGATATTGGAAATCTAAAATCGATTTTCATTATATTTCGATCAATCCTGCATTATACCTTTTTTATTGTTTGATCAATCGATCTATTTATTTGTTTAGCAATTTTTTTTTAGAATTGAATATATCGATTTAATTACAGGTGCAAGAGCAGGTCGTGACACAGATACAGCAACTGCTTACAGATCGCGTTGACACGTTCGTGTCGAATCAATTCAGTCCGGTGCCTTGGATGTTCTTAGACGGGATAACGCGACACAATATGAGGAGGCATTTGCAGAAAGCCTGCACTTTACTCTCGAAAACATCTAACTGTATAAAGTAAGTGAAGAATATTTTTCCACTATCAAATCATAAAATTCGGAGTAATACGGTTGGCGAAAAAGTCTTTTCGCATTATAGTATGTATGAACTTGTATTAAAATCTATTTGGCTATACTATTTGTATCTGGATGATTTTGGTATCATTAAAAGTTTAAATTTTAAAGAAGATAATTCCAAATTCAAATTAGGAAAATATGTGATTTTTACTTATTTTTCGTAATGTCAAGGTGAGTGAATCTAATGAAGAAATTCGATACATTTTAAAATTTTACTTCAAAAAAGATAAAAATGCAACGCAAGCCGCGAAAAAAATTACCTAGTGCAGTGTCTGTGAGAGTAGCACAAATTTGGTTTAAACGTTTTCAATCCGGAAATTTTGATGTCAAAGATGCACGTCGCTCTGATCGCCCTATTACGGATAAAATGGATGCCATATTTGAAAAATTATTATTTGTTGTCGTATTGTCGCGGCGTTAGGACGCTTTGAAGTCGGGCGTTATAATTTTTTATAAATTTCATTTAGCGTCCGAGTTAATGAATTAAAATACTGGATAATGCCCGAAAAATTGATAGAATACTCGTGCTTATACAATGCCACATCTGAATCACTCGACATCTTTTAAATTTTCACACTGCTATCGAAAGGCACTATGATTTGGCGAATGCGTTGCGTCAAGGAGCGTTAGGCTCATCTAGTCAATTTATGTAACATAAAAAGAGCGCGACGTTAAAACGCAGCGCTAAGTACGTGTTCTGTTTGACTAAGCCTTAACGCTTTGATGCGCGCTAGGTACGCGTTCTGTTTGACGAAGCCTTTAGTTCTGTGTCCGTCGCCAGCCACCGCCTCGTGGACGTGGTGAGCACGCACCTGGGCGCGGCGGACGACCGGCGCGACCTGCAGTGCCTGGTGCTGCTGACCGGCGTGGCGCGGCTCGTGGACTACTCGGACATCGGGTTCGTGCTCGACTATTACTACAAACTTGCTGACGACACTGAGGTACACAATACGCTCGCTATACCTGGTTCCTTTTTCTCATCTCCTTATCTCTGTTACTATGTCACTTTAATTTGTCCAAGTAATATGTACTACACATGAAGACCTATCGTTTGATAAAAGTGCGAATTTTTAAGCATCATCAAATGTCATTTCTCGCCCGTTTACGCTGATATGGTCTCAAGACCATCAGCTTAGGAAAAAAAAAATCATTTGATTGATATCATTACATATTTATCGAATTTATCGATAAACTTCTAACCATATTTACGTAAATATTGAACGCACCAGACCCATCGCCCTTGGGTTTGAATTAGAATTTTCGCACCTACCACAAAAAAGGTATAGAAGTATAAAGGTAAAGATATTCAGAAATAGTAAAGTACTTCTCACCCAGTAAAAAAGGATATAGAGGTATAAAGGTAGAGATACTGAGAAGTAGTCAAGTACAGATAATTTTGAGCTTTATTTTGATTGCAATATAGTAGCAATTGGATGCGTTATTCAGGAGCGCGACGTGCGGCTGATGCCTCTCACAGTGGAGCTACTGTCGGTGTGGAGTCGGTTCGCGAGCAACGAACAGCGGCACGCCCTGCGCGAGCACCTCGTGAGGCGGCTCGCCACGTCTGAAGACGAAAGTAAGCGTTTTCAATACTTCAAAGTAACGAACATTTTTTTCTTTATCACTTTTTTTATTGCTTAGAGGGGGGACGAGCTCACAGCCCACCTGGTGTTAAGTGGTTACTGGAGCCCATAGACATCTACGACGTAAATGCGCCACCCACCTTGAGATATAATATGTTCTAAGGTCTCAAGTATAGTTACAACGGCTGCCCTACCCTTCAAACCGAAACGCATTCATGCTGCGGGGCAAAAATAGACAGGAAGGTGGTACCTACCCGCGCAATCTCACAAAAGGTCCTACCTAGTTAACTTTTTAGTTTTAATTTGATTAGTTTTGATCGGTGGTTGATCGGCTGTAAGGCGGCACGGATATGTACCACCACTCTGCCTATTTCTGCCGTGAAGCAGTAATGCGTTTCTCTGCAGACTGCTAAAACCCTGCAAACTGTGATACGTGAAGGCTTCGTTCAATGTTGGTCCAAATTGGGACATGAGCACGAAAGTCTTCATGTGTCAAACCGAAACCGACAATGGCTTTGCGAAAGAAATAACCGAGATGTTACTCACCTACATTGGCCTACAATATGCCCTGTCACCGGTGATTATATCCGTGTTATGTACAGACAAGAAATTAATTTAGAAATATCGGTACCGACCTCTTTAAGGAACACTCGATGTGAATGAAACGAACGTTTTAGCAGTTAGGCCACGGACCCATTAAAATAACCATGGTTGGCGATTTGTTATAGCGTCCAGGATCCCCATCGCCACGTTGGCGGCGCAACTCGATCCTGAAAACCTTCAGTGGGCTACGGAAATGATGCAACTTTGTGAGTTTATCCCATATTAATTACAGTAAACGCTCTCTTCTATTATCATAAATAGCAGACGTTATTAATTACGTTATTAGCATTTAAAAAATCATTTTTAGGTTAAGGCGTAGTACGTCGATAGTACGAATAAATTACGACAACTACTGTCATATAAAAAAACTTTTCTATTACACGACTGCCAATAACTTTGGGTGCCGCAATTGGTTCTCACCCCTATATTCACATTTCATAAGCTCCCGATATTTCGGCGCCGCCGCAAGTGATCACGGGTTGACTACCCGCCAAATAATAAATCTACAGTGGTTTTTACGGATGTTCCGTTATAACTACTGAACTATGCATCCGATTGACTTGAAACTGGGTATCCATGTAGAAAATATATGTACTTAATGGATAGGCTAATATTTATATGAGTGTTGGACTCCCTACACTAGTTGCGGGGGCGTTAATGATGAGAATCTTTGTGGGGGTGAGAAATAATAATGTTAATTTTAAATTCCCAGCGAAGCGGATGGGTTTTTTTTATTGCTTAGATGAGTGGACGAGCTCACAGCCCACCTGGTGTTAAGTGGTTATTGGAGCGCATAGACATCTACGATGTAAATGCGCCACCCACCTTGAGATATAAGTTCTAAGGTCTCAGTATAGTTACAACGGCTGCTCCACCCTTCAAACCGAAACGCATTACTCTGCTTCATGGCAGAAATAGGTTGGGTGGTGGTACCTACCCGTGCGGACTCACAAGAGGACCAGTAAAACAGCTAGTATTAATATAAATATTGTGTGGGCGTGTCCAGCGGAGCAGCGCGCGGCGAGCGGCGCCGACGTGCGGGAGTGGTTGCGCGCGGCGGACCTGGCGCTCGTGTCGCCCGCGCCGCCCGCCCCCTCGCTCATGCAGCTCTTCCTCGACGCACTCGCCAATCCTCCGCCGGGTATGCTATTCAAAAGCTTTTCAAACTTTAATTTAGCAAGATCGATCATTTGTTGTTACGTTATAGGTTGAAACAGAGAACCGCCTTGCGATTATGCTCACAGATCTAACCAGTTTATTATAATAGATTTAGGCATTTCGATCTCCGTTGTATTATCAGCTTTCCATTGGTTTTTCTAAAGATAACAGATCAGAGATGATGACCAGTGAACAAGTGAAAAATTTAACAATTTTTTCACTGGTAGAGTCACCAGTGTTTGGTAACTCATGACGCGCTAAATGCATGCCTACTTCGAGCTGAGGCTATCTCAACCTAGAGGGTGATATTCATGTTGTTATATTAGTTATATAGACTGTCTTCGCTTTTACAAACGAAACATTCAGACAATTGTAAATAATATACTATTGTGAACAAAATTTAAATAAACACCTTTCTCAGTTTTATTTTGAAACCTTTTTCGGTTAGCCCTTTAGTTAGTATGGTTTAAACTTTCTAATATATAAGCGACCCGCCCTCGCTTCGCTTCGGAAACTGTAATTTATTATTGATTTCTCCAGTATTTAATGGATGTTATTACACATATAAACTTTCCTCTTCAGTCACTCTATCTATTAAAAAAACCGCATCAAAATCCGTTGCGTAGTTTTAAAGATTTAAGCATACGTAGGGATATAGGGACAGAGAAAGCGACTTTGTTTTATACTACGTAGTGACGTATCGTACGCAGAGTGGGACGGTGCAGAGATGGGTGCGTGCGTGGCGGGCGCGGGGCGGCTGTGCGTGCGCGCGCGTGGTGCCGCGTGCCGTGCCGCGCCGCGCTTCGCCGCGCTGCTGCGGGACTGCGCCGCGCCCACCGCCGCCCGGCTCAACGCGCTGCTCGTGCTCACCGACATCTGTACCAGGTATTCTGTCAACGTCAAACTCGGAAATTGTTTTAACGTAGTCGGAAACATTTTCAGCTCACCAGGTGTCGCGTCATTGATAAAAGCTTCCCATTATCGGTACATATTTCTTGGTCACCTCAATTACAAAATAGTAAAATGCCAAAAAAATTTAATTATTGTAATATTAAATATTAGTCATAACTAATGGTCGGAGTAGGTAGATTGATTTTATATACTTGCGTCAAGATATTATAATATGGACATGCCATTTTATCCATAATGCGCGGGAAGTACGTTATATTCTGATCTTATTTTCTCTGATATACGATGAAGAGCATGCCCCAAACATGTTACATGTTTAATTTCAGGTAAATATCAGCGTAGATTGATATTATTAATACGTTTTTCACCTTAAACACAGATTCATGCTAATTTCAAAATTCCAGAACAAATATCATAATAAATATGAAGTTCCGGTATTTTGGAAGCATCTCCATATTATCCTCTACGTTTGACGTCAACGACCTTAAATCAATCTACCTACTCCGACCTCTGGTCATAACATAAACTAATAATATTTATTTTTTTATTTTTCCTTAACACTAATCATCCCAACACTTACTGGTACCTATTTCTACCATAGCGGGTAGATAACGGTATACGATAAGTATTACTCAAAATAAACAAAATAAAACACACAGAAAATAGTATAACAACTGTAGATTAATTAGTAAGAAAAATCTGTGAAGTCAAATGTGCAAAAGCAATTAGATGATACGTACATTTTCAATGCAATAGTTCAAAATGGGTCATTTCACCCGTCACTGTATGTTTAGTGTTAATTCAGATGTAGTGGACAGTCTGCTTGCATTGGATTGACACTAGTAATGAAATAGGTGAGAGTCACTCCTAGTCTAAGAGTCAGTAACGTACACATTGCGTGCGTCAGATACACGAGTATAGTGGAGCCGCTGCTGGAGTGCGTGTGCGGCTGCCTGTCGCGCGAGTCGCCGCCGGAGCTGCGCCGCGCCGCCGCACGCGCGCTCACGCGGCTGCTACTTGCGGGATTCCTGCGACTGCGGACGCCCCTTTATTACAAGTACGTGATATTTATTATATTTTAAATTTATAGAGAGAGAGAGAGAGTGTGTGAGAGAGAGAAAGAAATTATTCTTTATGGTACACAAAATGAATAAGCTATGAGAAACATTAAATACAAAAAAGTACAATTAACGAAGCGTTCTATTCCGGATAACCATCAGGTGGTCAAGAATCATTTGGAAACAAATTTTACGCGGTGTACCTATCGATTGAAAAATATATAGTGCCCCGTACATACATACATACATATTTAAAAATATACAAATATGAACAACGTAATAATAATTAATGTACATATGTAATTAGTTTTTATATCTATCTATATTATTATTTAATAAATAAAAGTTAGTCTGTGACGATTTCACAACCGGTCTTATGCAAGTTGTGTTCACACGCAAAAAGGTAAATTCAATAATGTATTCATTTTTCTATTTAAGTTAAATGTTAATGTGTATAGATTTTATCCAGTTGTATGAAGCTAATAAATAAATAAAAAATACTTTTTTTCCGTAATATACACAAGATCAGAAGCTTTTGTTATTTTTTTATTCTGGAACTTGAAGCTTGCATGTTTTGTTTGTACGTTTAAGTTTGAAACAGAACATAGGATAACGAGATTTTTGTTATGTGGTATTAATACGCAACCCAGAAACAGTACTCTAAGGAATTTAAACTATTTTTTATGATATGTAAATAAAATAAATAAATTGCTCTCCCTTTTTATCTTTAATTATATGTGTATCCATGTTTTACCCCAATTTTATGTAACTTGTTTTTTTGAAGTGAAAACTTCTTTAGAATCGTTGTGATTTCAAACCGGATGCAACGGAAAAAACGACAGGTAAGAGACACAAATACAAAAATGTGTAGGATGAAGCCAGCAAAGAATGAGACAGAAATATACATACTATTTAATACAGCGCCATCTATGAGATTTTTTAATATAAACGTGTGTATGAAAGCTCTTGTAGTGAATTTTAATTTAGGATTATACGTGAAATTAAAATATCAATTCACAGAGGGCGCTACCTTACAATTATTTACTAATGACAAAAATTTTACATATACTTAAGACGTTTAGGATAATTGTATTTTAATTTTGGAAGGTTTCACTTGTACCACGTGTGAATTGCACACATTTTTTTTTTCTTCTATAAGATTACTTTTAATTTCTAGGTACTGTGCACTCCTGGCCGATGAAGATAATGACGTGAGAGAGCCCGCCGAGTACTACATGACCTGCTGCCTCACCACGGAAACGATATTTCATCACTTCGTCGACTGCGTGCTGTATTACAACAATGAGACGGGTAATCATACGAAATGTCAAAGGAACAAACAAAGCAATTTGTGGTCGAATCCACTATCGGTTGGGTATAGGTTGAAATCTATATAGACAAAAATGAATTGCTCTTCGATAGTCTCGCTAAAACTCGAGAACGGCCGGACCGATTTGGCTGATTTTGGTCTTGAATTATTTGTGGAAGTCCAGAGAAGGCTAAAATGGTAGATAGATATGAAAATTATAAATAAAAATAACAATTTTGTTTTCCCATTGACGTGTCCTCCGTCGGACGGATTCCTTTTGTTTGTTTTAAGTTTATTTTATACAAAAGTTTAGGTATTTTATTTATCGATTGAGGTACTACGAAGTCTGCCGGGTCGGCTAGTATCAAATAAAAATGAAATCCTAGTGGCCTAATAGATAAGAGGCCCGGAACATGCAGAAACTATTTTTTGTCATGAAAAACGTATTTACTATCAAATTTTCACGAATCATTACCACTGTGAAGGAATGACATCGTTTAGTGAAAATAAAACCCGCAGAAAATATAATTTGCGCAATTACTGGTCTTAGAGCTTTTTGTGAGCGCGCTCGGATGGGTATTACCGACCTGCCTAATTATGTCGCAAGGCGAGTAGCGGCATTTACTTTGTTGATGTCTATAGGCTCTGGTAAGCACTCAGCATCAGATTGGCCGTGAGCTTGTCTCTCATAAGCAATAACAAAAAATTAGGAAATAGTACCGTAGATACCTTTGGCAGTCTTAAAAAATTCAATCTACATAGTCAACGGAATCATTCCATGATATTCTGACGCGGTATTCTAACGACTGTGACCACTCATTATTACATGACCCCTAAACTCGTCTGCTTTCCAAAGTAAAAAACAAAACTTATAAACTAATCGAATCTATTAAATAGTTTGTCATCTTAGAAATTTGGAATAGGTATAATCTCACAGCATAATATATAAAGAAGGTAAGAAAAAAATTGATTTTTTTTAAACCACAACAATATTTTCTAGTACATATATTATATTCTTAAATTGGCACTTCGCAGTCGAGCGTTGATCGCGGTGCAGAATCATGCAGCCGATAATTTTAGTTAGCAGGCATTTAATGAGGCGCGTTGATTAGATACCACCATCTGCCCGTTTATACTCTCTACGTACGGGTTTGGTTCGTAGGAAAACCGTTACTACAATAGTCATAAAAACTGTGATCTCATGTCTCGAGGATAACCGTGGTTAGATAATATTGTGACTTAAAAATTGCATTAATTTGTCAAGGAACTCTCGACCTGGTTACTTACTGGTGGTAGGACCTCTTGTGAGTCCACACGGGTAGGCACCACCACCCTGCTTATTTCTGTTGTGAAGCAGTAATGCGTTTCGGTTTTAAAGGTGGGGCAGCCGTTGTAACTATACTGAGACCTTAGAGCTTATATTTCAAGGTGGGTGGCGCATTTACGTTGTATATGTCTATGGGCTCCAGTAACCACATAACACCAGGTGGGCTGTGAGCTCGTCCACCCATCTGAGCAATAAATAAAAAAAAGAACTCTCGACTTAGCTGGTGTAAATATAATATAAATATAAATATTTACTAACAATTACGCCACAGTAACTGGTCCCGTGATAAGTTCGTAAAGAACTTGTGTTACAGGTACCAGATAACGGAAATAAATGTAAGATTTTTATTATACACATACATATATTTAATATACATACATAACCCTGGAAAAGACATTTATATTGATCATACAAATATCTTCCCTTGGCGGGATTCGAACCCGCGACCCCCTTGTGTAGTGACCATGTCACTTACTACTACACCAGACGGCCGTTAAAGTTGAGTGGTTACTAGAAGTACGCTTTACTCACAGAGAAGATGTCGTTCGACGCCCGCCAGCTGATCTACGACGTGATGCTGCAGCGCATGTCGCTGGTGCAGCGGCTGAACGCGCAGTGCCGGCTGGCGCGCGAGGTGCTGCAGCACGCGGCCGACCTCACGGACGAGGGCGCGGGCGAGCTGCCCCCCGCGCTGCACGCCGCGCTGCTCGACACCATCACCGTGCTCTGCGGCCCGCGCATGAAGCTACCCAGTCAGTTGAGCGACCACTAGGGATGGCGATTCGAGATCGATTAATCGAAGAATCGATTTTTCGAGCAAAAAAAATCGATCGTTTTTTATAAAATGGATTTATATTTACATTGTAAATGCAAACTTGACAAAAATCGATCTTTTGGACCTCGACCATCCCTAGCGAGCACTTACCTTCACTAATTCACCACCATCACCTATTGCATATATTTTTTTGTTTGGTACACTTCATGTAAAACGTACGTACCATGTACGCGGCAACATACGTACCATCCGGCTATGGAATGACCTCCCCCCACGGGGCTTCACGAGCGCTATGACATGCCCTTCTTCAAAAGAGGCTTGTGGAGAGCATTAAGCGGTAGGCATCAGCTTGGCTCTACCCCTGGCATTGCTGAAGTCCATGGGTGACGGTAACCACTCACCATCAGGTGGGCCGTATGTTCATCTGCCTACGTAGGCAATAAAAAAAAATTACATTGGCAATGCCTAAAGCATTCTCTATCAGTCAACCAAAGGTAATGCAAAGTTAATAGGAGGTGCAATGAAATTTATATTAATTTACAAATACATACACAAAAATATACACACACCATATATATAATAGTTTATACAGTATTCAAAGTAATATATGTTGATTATGAAGTCTGAAATATCATTTTTCTATAAATCATGTATTTGTGTTTGGGTCATAAAACGAATAATACTCACACGCCCTAAACACAGTCTGATTTAAACGAGATTTAAAGCTAGATCTAACTTTGCCACAGTTACATTGTTTATCAAATAAAATCTAAAATTATTGATTGGCTACACTTATTTGCTTCTCCTGACTTCGATAACCACACCATAATTTATTTATTTTTTGTCAATTTACGTAAACATGACTGACCTTGTCCCAAAAAAATAATTGTTAATCCGGATGTAGAGTAAGTCCCACCATCCTATTTCTGCTGCAATGCAGTCATGTGTTGCAGTTTATAAACCCAAATTCCGTTATAATATAATACAATTGAGGTTTTGACCTCAGGTATCAATATAGCTGGTCATATTTAGATCAATGACCCTTGGTAACCAATGAGTGGTATTAGGTTTTTACACCAAGTGGTCCATAAGTTCGTTCGCACTTCTACACAATAATAATAATAATAATTTTTATAAGTTATAAAAATTATAAAGAAAATGAAACATTTTATGGTTAAAATGTGTGAAAGAAACATTTTATGGTAAAAAGGTGGAATTATCGTCATCGCTCCTTGATAAGTGTGCAAAATTTCAATAAAATCCGACGCTTGGAAGTCAGAATCGCTTTCGAAGATTCAGTTACATAACTAAGTCAAAACTGACAAAACCATGTTAAAAATTAAAACAAGCAGATGATGCTTATTCAATACTGCACGATTATTTCATAACATAAAATATTTTTTGTATAAAACTGTAATTCCGTTATACAGGGAAACCAATGGCCAATGGCGAACCTGCGGACATTGACGATCTCCAGGAGCGGGTCACGACTAATATTGTTTCACATGTAAGTAAATAAAATGTAACAAAATAACAAAGTAACTACCTTAAAACTCGTCTCGACATTAGCATTCCAGGTTCTGTTTCATAAGTGTCTGATTAGTCAACTTAGCTGATAGCCCCTCTGTTTGTGACGTGTTGTTGGATTCAAAAAAATGTTTAAGACTTCCTAAAATAGTCCATTAAATTTAAACTCTTTTCTAACTTATCGTCAAGTTTATTGAAAATAACTATTTTGAATTAATAGACGAATGTGATTTATTAATTGTATAAATGAGTGTAATTTCAAATTAAATGGTCCACTTTGTTGAATATAACAATGCAGAGTTAACTACCATTCAATTCAGTCTCCAGTTAATATATTATTAAAGCTTTTATAAAAAAAAGTGTAACAGTCCTACATACATACTTAGTACTTTACGCCTTTATTTCTTATCTTAAATATGGTGGTACTGTATGTTTGGGACGAGTGGGGACTATCAACACACCCTTATCTGCCGCGAAGTAATGAACACGTTTCAAATTTAAGGGCAAAATTTTTATAGTGTCCCACAAAAATAGTTTTCGCATCCTATAAAAAAATGTACACATACATGTATTTAATAATAAGATTTATATTTTTAGCTAACCGAGAACGAGAAGGTATTTTAAGAATATAAAATATATGTAGCATGCAACACGTAGATGTGATATAGCAACAATTTTCATAGTCATATTTGTGTCCGCCTGATTTGGCTACCTTGAACTTCGTACAGGTGCTTGAACGGGTCGAAACATATCGAGGGGGTTGGTTTAAGCAACATTTCGCTTAATGCGCAACATATGTCTTTGTAATTAAAGGTTCGTTTCATTTGTTATTAGTGTTACGCGCTGGGATTCGGGACAAATAAATGTTCCACCAAAGTACAACTTAAAACTGTGTTCAACACTTAGAACACTTCACAAGCACTTTAAAACTCTCAATTCGCTTCTTCCGCTTCGCTTCAGATGATCAGTCGCTGTTTCGCTTCGAGTTGTTCCGATTACTGACTGACTGCGTGCTATCTCTAAAATGCTTTTTTAGTCGATATCACATCCCTAGAATTATCGAGAATATTCCACACATCTCTAGTATTATGTTTCCGCTATCTAACAATAGATAGCGTTGTACTTCTCGAGCGTTCTAGGTGCTACTAGATTCTTCGATATTCGTTCGACTATTCGGCGATAGATGGCGTTACTCTTACCGGCGTAACATTAGCATTAACAATTCGATGTTTTTAATTGAACCTCAATTAAGTTTACTCTATTCAAATAGTTAAAGAAGTTTTTTTGTCATGATAATATTATTTCCAAATTTTAAACTTTAAATGGCTCTCTTGTAATTTTGCAAAGACGTCGCTTAAACCAAATAACCTCTCACCCCTCGATACAATTTTATAATTTTCTTCACCATTGACATGCGCGAAGTTCCGGTCAAGTCCACAATGCAATGTTTTCATTAAGTTGTATAATTTGAATCAATAATTTTAATTTGATTGTTTTAATTTTGAAGTCACATATTTATTATAAAGTTATCGATGTTTGTCTCATTTTAGTACTCACATAAACCGCCCTTAGTTTCAGTGAAGTAAAATTTTTTTTTTTTTTCATATACGTGCTTAAAAATTATTTTTGCTTAGGATTTTTCTAGGTTTTTTTTATTTTTTATTGCTTAGATGGCTGTAAGAGCTCACAGCCCACCTGATGTTAAGTGGTTGCTGGAGCTCATAGATATCTACGACGTAAATGCACAACCCACCTTGAGATATAAATTCTAAGGTCTCAAGTATAGTTACAACGGCTGCCCCACCCTTCAAACCGAAACGCATTACTGCTTCACGGCAGAAATAGGCAGGGTGGTGGTACTTACCCGCGGGGACTCACAAGTGGTGCTACCACCAGTAAAAAAGTAGTAGGTTAAATGTTGTTACACATTTTTACTACATAGTATTTTCCGATTTCCAGAAAATGAAACGCACCGTGGCGGAGGTGGTGGTGCCGGCGGTACTGCGTCTGTACTCGCGTCTGCAGCTGCGCGGTGGGCAACTGGCCGCCTATCTCGTCAAATTAGCTACGGATCTACTCAATGATTACAGGCATGAGGTACATATAATTTATTACTTTACCATGAAATTTCATAATTTCTGCCGTTTTCATCATTCGTACAATTCTCCGATATACTGGGACAGTATTATTTTTCGAAATTCAAGTTGTTTTTTTATTGCTTAGATGGGTGAACGAGCTCACAGCCCACCTGCTGTTAAGTGGTTACTGGAGCCCATAGACATCTACAACGTAAATGCGCCACCCACCTTGAGATATAAGTTCTAAGGTATCAGTATAGTTACAACGGCTGCCCCGCCCTTCAAACCGAAACGCATTACTGCTTCACAGCAGAAATAGGCAGGGTGGTGTTACCTACCCGCGCGGACGCACAAGTGGTTCTACCACCAGTAATTACGCAAATTATAATTTTGCGGTACTGAATAAATACCGAAATTAAAATATTTATTCACATTAAATCATTTTCTAGATCGAAGAACTAATTGAGAATGATGAAGAGTTGGTCGAACGAATAAATCAGTTTCAAGAGACAATAGGTATAGAGTCGTCGTTCGGCAATACACGGAACCTAGTGACGACATCTGCTCCTCCCGATCCGGAAACCCCCAGGGCTCCACGACGAAAGGCGCCCAGACAGTACAAAGGACCACCTAAGAAACGTGCATTGAAAATATGAACAATTTATTGTTACATAAAATTTTGTAGTTGTTAAACCATATATACAATAAAATAAATAAGTTGTCAAAAAGTGTTACTTACCTTTTGTTGGTTTATTATTAAACTTTTTCAAGATCAGTTTAAAAAAATACACAACAAGAAATCAAAAACAAAATTTTTATTTTCTTAAAAATAAGCATTTATATAATATAGATATGCAAAGGATAAAATTTAATAAATTAATATATACATTAACAAATAATTCACGTGTCCTTTTTCAGATTCAGCTTAGCTGCTAAGTCACTTTCTTTTTCTATCTTCATCTCCTTTGTAAATGTTTTTTTAAGAATCATCGCAATTGCTGCCTCTTCTGCAAATTATATAATTAATTTGTAAATATTTGAAAGCTGTCATTAAGATAATTAAAATCGTTTCAAATAAATGTCACTAAGATAATTAAGTGCACAACAACAAATGAAAGTAACAAATGAAAATCGAAGAAAATCGCCTTTAATACTGACCAGTAACTTGAATAGCTAACAGTTGATGCACGATGTGCCGGGCAGTTATTTTGAAAAGGTCGCGGCTGCTAATCCTTTTCTTTTTATAATATGGCATTAACAATTTAACAACCAGACTTGCCACATCTACTTTTTCTGCTTTGTTTGTGGATGGTTCGTTTGATTTCTTTTTGTGCTTCCATTTTTCTTTTCGTATATCTTTTTCTTTGTGTTGGAGTATTTCATCCTTTTTCTTTAATTTCTCGTTAACTTTAGCATTATCTTCCTGTTTCGAACTTAGAGTTTTCCGATGTTTGTGATCATGTTTATGGTGATGTTTATCTTTTTTAGGATGACGTTCTGGTGATATTGGTTTATTTTTCGTAGTACCATCATTCTGCTGCACGCCAGTACCGACTTCGCTTACGACAGGCTTAGGCGGCAAATCAGCAAATTGCTTTAACGATTCCAGCACCTTATCGGCTTCCTTGCTAAGCTTATATGCTTTAGATAGTTCAACGTCGTCTGTGTCCATGGGGCCTTCTACAAAATTTAATTCTTCACTTATGTTTTTATCTGTTGCCGACTCGTGTCGACTAAGCTCGACTGCTGTATCGTTACCGTCGTTGTCATTGACCAGAGAATCATTGGGCAAATCAATGACTAATTCCTTTTCGGATTCACTGTCTGAATTATAGTACAATGAGGGACCTTCTAATTTTACAACATTTTCAGCTTCCGTCTTAACGAGTATTGTGCTATCATTGTGATGATTATTTTCATGCTTATCAACGCCTTTCACTTCGTTTTGAATTGGTTTCTTAATATCATCTTTATGCCTACTTTCTTTTTTTGGAATATATTTAACCTTTCGACTTTCGTCTTTAGTGTTTTTTTTACTTTCACTGTGAGACTTCTTATGTTTACCAGATTTATGTTTGTCGCTATGTTTCGACTTTTTTGATTTTTTAAATTCTATATCACTTTCGTCAGAGTCCCCAAAAAGATCTTTGATTTTTCGTTTCGATCCCTTTTTACTTTCTGGTGATTGAATATTCCTGTCACGGTCCTCTGCGTATTGTTCAGATGATTCCGATTCATTTTGTATATTTTTGGAGGATACACCTTGCAGTGTTATATTAATAACTAGAGTCTTAGGTTTCACTTCTTCATCATCGGATGTTTGTTCACTGGTTTCGATTTCAGTAATCTTTAATGTTGTATCATTATGACTGTAAGACTTCTGATCTGTAGATTCTTCATTCAATTTCAATGTTGTATTGTTACAAATATTTAAACTATTTTCATCAATTACAAGACTATTTTCATTCTCACTTTCGCTTTCATCACCATTGGGAGATTTCTTGGATGTTTCTTTAAAGAAGGTTTTGAGTTTTGTTTGTGTGAGTGGGTCTTTTTTAAACGAATTAGCTTTTCTTTTTGTTTCTTTGTCGGCCTTAGAAAGAGGCCTTGCTTCGCTTTTAGACTCTACGTCTGCAAAATTTTAATGATTAATTATTAGATTGATTTTACTACATTATAAAAATAATTATTTATATCAATCTTACCATTTCTTAACTCTGATGCTTTTACAAAACCATCATAGATTTTACTTTCTTCTTTTTTGGATTTAGAGTCAAACTCTTTTAGCTGTGGGAAAATGCAATCCTGACAAGCCTTTACTGCTGAAATCTAAATAATATTATTATTAAATTTGTAATAAAATTAAATGTTAATAGAAATTTGCATGTTAAAAATAATTTACCATTTTAGACATAGCCCGTCTGTAGAGACTCACAACAGTATGACTAGAGAATGCTTCATATTCCATTTCTACAGCGCATTGCTCTATGTCATTTTTTGATAATGGTTTATTTGGTTCGTCAACACCTTTCATATTGGCGAGATTATTGCTAAGGACATCCGTGAGTATGATAAGGTAGCCTTCACGATTCGACAATGTTAAGCCATTAACCTAAAAAAATATTTCATTCATAAACGAATACAGTACGATTACAATTACGTAAATAGGAACACAAATTTAGAGTGAGATAGAAGTTTTGTTTTACAAAAAATGATATAGGAAATTATTACAAATTGAATTGAAAAATGAACCTTATGATTAGTAGAGTAGTAATGATAAACTTTTTAATTACCTTCGTGGCTGTACTTTCGGCTGCTCGGCATTTGGAATTTTTTGCAGATTCTGGGGTGTCGGTTATTTTTCTTTCTTCAACACGTTTTTTCCGTTCAGCAAATTCTTTTAAAATAAGGGATTTGGTCTCTTCTCCGACCCGTCGGTGACTACTTTCTCCATCAGACTCTTCACTATCATGACCGATGCCATAGTAAGACTGCGTTTCCCTAAAAAATATCAAACTATGCATTATGTACTAGAATTGTGATCGGTGTTGAATCCAACAGATCACCTCCGTAATTTAGTAAATCTATAAAAACAATTATATATAAACAGTCATAATCAAGCTCATGTGATTGAAATTATTCTATTAAATTAGAATAGTTCTGTACAGCAATGTCAAAACGAAAATGAGTTATATAGAACTTTTTTAATGTCTTTAAAGATAGACGACGCGGCCGATCTGAAGGTATATGCACCGTCGCTTGTATATGAAAACAATATCAGGTGCGGAGAACTTTTTTTAATTTTTTATTGCTTAGGTGGGTGGACGAGCTCACAGCCCACCTAGTGTGAAGTGGTTACTGGAGCCCATAGACATCTACGACGTAAATGCGCCACCTATCTTGAGATATATTCTAAGATCTCAGTATAGTTACAACGGCTGTCCCGCCCTTCAAACCGAATAGCTTTACTGCTTCACGGCAAAAATAGGCGGGGCGGTGGTACCTACCCGTGCGGACTCACAAGAAGTCCTACCACCAGTAGTCAAAGCTGATTTGAAGTTTGAAGAATGTCATGTCACACGCTAGAAGTGATACAAACATTTTCTGTCCGTATCGGCCGCCTCCGTAGAGATCGGGGTCGCTGTGGTCGGCGGGTGCGAAGCCGGCGGTGTGCAGCGAGGCGGAGAGCGCGCGGCGGGAGTGCTGTTCGAGCGCGCGCCGCACGCTGCGTCCGTCGCGGCACACGTCGCACCGCCCGCCGCACGCGGGACGCTCCTCGCCGAAGTACTCCGCGAACGTCAGGTGCCGGCATCTGCGGCAACATCATGCTCTTGGACTTTTTATTTTTATTGGTTAGGCTCCACGGCCCATCCGGTTTTAAGTAGTTAACATTTTTTTACTGGTCGTAGGACCTTGTGAGTCCGCGCGAGTACGTACCACCACCCTGCCTATTTCCGCCGTCAAGCAGTAATGCGTTTCGGTTTGAAGGGTGGGGCAGCCGTTTTAACTATACTTGAGACCTTAGAACTTATATCTCAAGGTACCCACCCTTGGTACCCACCCTTACGATTATTTTTATTTTTTATAAGTTTCACTTCTGCCATGTGTGACTTGCACACACACACATTTTTGTTTTATTGCTGAGATGGGTGGACGAGCTCATATCCCACCTAGTGTTAAGTGGTTACTGGAGCCTTGAGATATGGATGTCTAAGGCATTTAGTTTTTACAGTATAACGGCTGTAAAATCGAAACCCATTACTGCTTCACGGCAGAAATAGGCATGGTGGTGGTACTTACCCGTGCAGACTCACAAGATGTTCTACCACTAGTAATAGGCGTCCTACAACCCGTAATCCACCAGTACATCGCTCAAACTACAACTACTAACTTTAGAATTAAATAGTACAAGGAACAAATTTAAACATGCGATCTCCTTTTTTTTGTATGAAATTGCCGGCCACCACTTATTCCGGTGCACATTGGCTTTCCAGTAGGTCATTGTACCGCACTTAATCGATTCTGTTGTTGGAAACCCGCATCTAGACCCAACGAGAATGAGGTAGGGAGTGGAGATGCTGCACATGTTTATCGATTACACATTGATCCTACGGATATGGGTGTACTCGATCTTGTCTCGTATGTGTACATATTTCCGGTACCCGGAACACAAGACGATGACTGTTGACCGATCACAAGAGAAAGTTAGTTAATATTGAACATTTATTTATTTATTTGCACCCGCACTTTTTCCTAACACGCTTCATAAACTGTTGTTCCATAAAATCATTACGATCGTCTAATATTAGTCATTTAAAATATAAGTAGATTATTTAATATTAGTACCTAACAGAAACTATTTTGTTGTTGTTGTTTTAAAAGAAACTATTTCTAGAATGTTTTTATTGACGGCACTATAGCTGGTCAATAGGTCTGTTAACACAGAGCAAGAAATCATACAGAACTGTTTTTCTTTGCCTATTAATTTAGGAATAGTCACATTTAACTTTTAGAGATAATACTAGCAGACAAGACAACGGTTCAAGCACATCTATGTTATTTTTTTTTTAGAATCACTATAACCCAAGGGGCGCATATAGCTACGACTTCTACTTGTTAAACTGTTAAACACTACCAAGTCAGTATCAACTTACCTAACATCTTCACAATATTTAACCATTATTTCATAACTTTTGTAGGCGTTCTTGCAACGTTGCTTTTGTTCGGGTGTTTTAGCTCGGCCGATTTCATTTTTGAGCAAAAAGTCAACTGCGTTTCTTTCACTGCGACAGTAGTAGATACGACAAAATGCAGGTTTACCGTCGCGACCTGCTCTGCCGGATTCCTATATGAAATTAAATAATTATTATAAGAATCTATCACTGTACTATCCTAACAGTTAATGATATTAATTGTTAACTATACTCGAGACCTTAGAACTTATATCTCAAGGTGGGTGGCGCATTTACGCTGTGGATGTCAATGGGCTCCAGTAACCACTTAACACCAAGTGAGCTGTGAGATCGTCCACCTATAAAAGCAATAAATAAAAAAAATGTGTGCGTGTACTAGTGTACACACGTAAGAAGTGAAACTTGTTTATGGCCTTATTTTTCGAAAAATGATCTACATGCAACTTTCTAGAAATTGGTTAAATAAAGTTAAATTAGATAAAGTTTAAACAAAAGGATTTTATTATCATAGACATGAATACAAATAATACAATTATTTCACTTTACCTTTTTGCTACTAAGATTATTACAGCATTTCATTAATTGTAATAGAATTATTACTATCATTGTCATTGTCATTATATATTTTTGTAATTAATGGCTTATGGTAACTGAAATATGAAATATATGGTTTACATTCCACGAAATTTAGTGACCGAGTAAAAACTCCATCAATTGTAGTGCCAGATCTTGTTGTTGACGTTTGAGGACTGTTTTTCATGGATAAATTCAATTTATCTTTCAGAAATTCAACTAGCTTCAAAGAATTTTCCGATGCAAAATTTACATTAAAATCTCCACTTAAAATCATCGGTATTTTATAATTATTGTTACCGAGTAAAGAGGCACCTTCACTTGTGTACGGCAACAATGAATGGTGAAGAAAAAGATGGCGCGTAACGGAAAAATGTGACGCGTAACCGAAAAATGTGACGGTAAATTTTTTTCCAACGCCGATAAAGAAGTTTCACTTCAAAAAAAGTTATTTTTCAGTAGACTCATTATGTACTTTTCTTTTTCCTTTAAATCTACATGTAGGTACCATGAGCTCGAGGAACAAGAATTTTGAAAACAGATCCTACCTGATAATATGCGGCAACATTTTGCGAAACGCCCCAGTGAGCTACTGCTCTAACAGTGGCTTTATCCACTCCCATACCAAATGATAGTGTAGCGCACACACATGGACATACTCCCGACGACCAGGCTTCCTGCACTGCTATACGATCTGATGTCTTCAAACCTGCAATATTAATAAGTAGTTTCTAGTATACAACAGTATTTATTATTAATGAAATCGTGAAATTTTCATTATCTTACCACAAAACTGGGTCAACTGCAATTACGAGTAGGTAAGATAACAAACAAAGTTAACTATGTGAAAATATAAAAAGTTCATGTGTTCATATAATTATGCCAAAATGGGTATTTCAAAGTTTTAAAATTTTCAACTGTTTGTTTTTTTTTTAAACATATCTTGTTATTTTTGCAATTGCGAAAGATATGTTTTGGGAAGCAAAAACTAATTGTATTATAAAATTTTATGAATATCTATTTTTTCATGAAAAGTGAAACCATAAAATAACTAGATATTTCTTTGTAATAGATAAAATTGAGACCTCCATGATAGGCTAGAGACTGCAAGCCCCTTTTTGTTAGCATATTTGCCAAATCCTCAGTCTGCTCTCTTGTTCGACAATAAACAATTGCAGCATTTTTGTCTTTCTGTAACAAAATGAAAATATTAAATCTAAGCCTAGATTAACAAACAAGTTTATGCAAGCATAGTTCTTTCAGAGAGTTAACAAACAAAGATAAACAAGCCATGAGATGGAAATACTCAAATTGATGTTTGAGTATTTCGGCTGTTTTGGATTTATTAAGAGCATACGTATTGTTGAGGTATTAAGCTAGTCTCTATTACATAGTGTAAATGTAAATTAACTTGTGGTAGACTGAAAAATAGGAAAACCATTATAGAATACAAGCATGACGTCAACCTTTTGTGTGGTGTCTTTTTTTTTTATTGCTTAGATGGTTGGACGAGCTTACAGCCCACCTGATTTTAAGTGGTTACTGGAGCCCATAGACATCTACAATGTAAATGCACCACCCACCTTGAGATATAAGTTCTAAGGTCTCAGTATAGTTACAACGGCTACCCCACCCTTCAAACCGAAACGCATTACTGCTTCACTGCAGAAATAGGCGGGGTGGTGGTACCTACCCGAGCGGACTCATAAGAGGTCCTACCACCAGTAAAATATATAAAAGTCTATAATCTATGTAACACCAGGTGGGATGTGAGTGCCATCTTTTCATATAAATCTAAAAAACATTAACTACTATTCTATCCTTCAAACAGAAACAGGCTTGCCAACTAATTGTGGCTTCATGGTTGAAATTGTTATATTTTCGTACCAATTCATGCTGATACAAAGGTCTTGAACAATATTCTTTCAAAACTTGAATAAATCAAATATGTATTTTTGTTTACACACAAAAAAGATGATGTGTGCATTTGAAATGAACATAATACTTTCACTTACTTGTTTAACATTTTCATCTTCCTTTAAACTATTTTTTAAGAATTCCATTAAGTGCCCTATTTCATCTTCAATACAATTTTGATAAACCACATCATAAAATAGATTCTTTCTAAAACTAGGAGTCTTGTACTTTGCAACTGGTTGAAGCAATTTTAAATTTGATAAAATATCTTTTGCTACATCTGCACTTGCCGTTGCTGTTAGAGCCACCCATGGTATTGATTTATATTTTTCTCTTAATTCCCCAAGCTTTAGATAGTCTGGTCGGAAGTCATGTCCCCACTCGCTGACACAGTGAGCTTCATCAACAACTATATATGATACTTTTTTGTACTTGACAAGATGGTCTATGAGAGACTTGAAAGTGCCAGTAGCCGCCTGCTCAGGAGTAATGTAAAGAAACTTTGTATTCGGCTTCATACTATGCAAGTCATTTAGTACTCGCTCCTTATCTTTCACACTCATTTTGGAATTAATAGATTCAGCTGTTATTTTTAGCTTAGTCAAATGATCAATTTGATCCTTTATGAGTGCCAGAAGTGGTGAGAAAACAATAGCTAGCTTATTGTCTTGTAACATTGCAGGCAGTTGGAAACACAATGATTTTCCAGATCCTGTTGGCATGGATACATAAACATCATGCACACCTGCAAATAAAATTTTGTGAATGAGATAACAAATTTATTTTAAAATATTTTCATGGCAGTTACATTTAAATTAAACGCTCTTCCTGTAACATGTATTTTCTGAACAACTTTAAGAACTTCCATGCAGTTAAAACAAATCCTAGTTTTGTCTTCCCTTTTCAAGATAATAATCATGTTCGTAATTTATTTGTGGGATGGGTAATACTATCTATTAATTTTGGATATCATTCATGTATGAGTATTAATTATTCTAAAAATTTTGTACTTGTAGCCCTGAGGTACATATGATAATAATTAAATTAAGACTGTCAATACAACAAGTGATTTGATTACGTTTTCAAGTATACAATAAATGCAATTATTAATATTATAATTGTGAAAAAAATAAATAAAAAGGGGTTGCTTTTAAGACGTTACTTAACACTTTGGTAGTTAAGATGTTCTCTGAATCGGTATTTTAATGCAGTACTATCGGCTTACGAAAAATTAGTATATGGAAAGAATTTATTATATATTATACACAAAATGTATATATAAATAAATAACTAAAAATAGTACCTCTAGTAATAGCTCTTATAGCTTGTTCTTGAAGTTCACTTTTAAATTTTCGGTGACCAAAATATTGCATTAATTTATCCGTTATGTGATCCATTTTCGTTATTTTTTTGTTGATCTTTCACAAATGAGTTTCGTTAAATGGTTATTCCAAAATTGATATTTAAATACAGATAGAATTGTTAGAACATAATACATATTTCATACAAAATAATAATATTAGAAACGTACTATGTATAATTACAGATTATAAACACTGTCGCCATAGATTACACACTGTTGCATAGATTATACACTTTGAGACACTGTTGCAATAAACAACCTTAGATCCATTTTTTACGTATCTGATCTACATATTTGTTTGTTTAAATGGCTTTTAGGACTTTTTGGCGGGAACGCGAGGAGTGAAGTTGTGTGATTTGTTTTATTTTATCTCATTAGTGTTTCTTCAGGTTTAAATGTGTAATAACGGTGGTTTCTTAACTATTTAGTATCTGTAAAGTGCACAAATGTGGGAAAATAAAACAAAGCTACTGAACGTAACTTCTCGGGATCTTCCAAAAAGTCCAGTGTAAAAGTCTCAGTAAATGACCACCATTTTACTGAGATTATACTTCATCCCATATCATCTCATCACATTTCATTTCGTTTTCATTTCACTTCATGTCATCTTTCATAATATTTAACTTCATTTCATCTCATAATATCATTTTCATATAAAAAGTTACGTATTTTTTTAATTAAAATAAGACTTGACCTAAAGGTCTTAGTTACCAGGTCATAAAATCCCATATAAAAATGACTTTTAGTGATTCCCATAGAGTTCTTATTAACTCCATGGTGATTCCTTTCAACATTCTAAATGAAAATCGATTCTGATCTAAGAATGATTTGCAAATATGTTATCAAACCGAGATGGTTAACACTGTGCAACATGAAGTCAGTATATTTTTGATTTTTTTCTTCTCGGTGAAATATTGAAAAGTATATCGATAAAATATTTTTTATTACAACATAGGTATATTTAATTTGATAATTTTATAACGATAATGGATTTTGCTTAATTTGCTTTCTTTTAGTTTTCCTGCCGATGCAAATTTTCAAAAAAAGTGGATAGTTGCAGTTAAGTAAATGCAGAAAAGACAGGAATATAACTGGATGCCTGTGGAAACCAGCAGAGTATGCTCTATTCACGCTATCAAACATGCTGGACGCTAGCCTTCAATTGCCAGAAACAGTGGAGCAAACTGTAGGCTATATAGCCGGCACTGTAAGCCGAAAACTGCAAGCGAAAATCAATTGTCCAGAATGCTTATCATTGCTACCTGTTAATGAAAAATTGAATTTTCACAATCTAATTAGTTTGAAAGATTTCGGTGGACTCTCGTACCCATCTGTGGTGTTGTATAAAATATGCACACGCACAGAAACACTAATAAGACAGAAAATAAAAATACGTGATAACGGAAAATCACTTACTCGAACAATTATTCTGTCAGTAATATCTACAGTGTTTTTCTAAAATAATTGACAATGAAGATATTCTGCGCTTACTAAAAAACAGTCACCAGACAAATAATGACCATTTAATTTATTATATAAAATGTGTAATGGTTGAATTTCTCAGAATCCGTTCTTTACTCTTTATTCTACACACACAGTTAATACAATATAATAATTGCGAAAAGTTATAAAAATTGCGAGATTAACTCAACAATTGAGTTATCTACCAGCTACCCGTTCGTAAAGAGGATCGTCCGTCTTCCCTACATTGCGAAACAATTATTTTTTAATGTCTTCTAGGCAAAAACTTAATAAATTAAAAATATTTCGAGGGACGTAGAGTTTATTACAAAAAAAACAAATATATAAAAATTATACAATTATATTGTTTTATTAGTGACTTTGTCCGGTTCACTTATTACATAACATCGTCTACGCTGAAGTACGCTGTCATAGCAGATATTGCAGCAAGCACATGAACCAATCTCTGCTTTCGTTTTGAAATCAAACCAATCACAAATAATGTTTATTTCCAACCTCTGTTGTGATTGGTTTTTGTTTCATACGTCGTTTTGGTTTCAGGTGGGGCCACTTTTTTTGTGAAATTTGTTCAGAGTTAGACTTCATGACTTATTATTTATTCGTAGCTGGAGTGTACGGGCATTTAATAGGCCTTACCACCAATACATGATAGTTGAAGATCCCAGTATGCTGCCTATAATACACAGTATGCTACTGCTCATTCTTCTATGAATATCTTACTCACTTTTACAACACTCACAGCAATAAATGGGGTACCGTGAAACCTGGCAACTTTGCCACTTTTTGGCGGATAAAAAAGTTTGGAAAGGTTTTTCTCAAAAAATCTCTATGAGAATATAAAAAAGCAATCAATCAGCTTGATAGTGCATTTTATGCATAGTTGAAATGTAACCAAATATCTATTGTTTTCTTAAATATAATTGATATTTAAGTGCAAAAACAAAAATGGCAAAGTTAACCGTCACTTTTGGTAAGATTGCCATACCCAAATTTTAAATGAAATAAATGGAATTATTGTAAAATGCCACTGTTGTCATTGCCACAGGCTTGGTCACAGTAAAATTATACTAAAATTTTATCATATTCTCGGCTAGTAATGGAAATATCTACAATGTGGCAAATTTAGCCGCCCTTTTTAGATTTTTTCAAACAAAATAGAAATGAGAGTCAGGGTTGTCACAAGATTAAAAAATATTAAGGTTTTAAAAAAACTTTAATAAATATAGGGTACCTACATAGTATAATCAGTTATTTTAACCATATATTCAAACAAGTATAAAATAATGCTTAGGAGCATAAAATCTTTCAGTCTATCAGTAAATTATCTTATTAAAATATATAGGTTATAAAATACGCTTTAATAAAGATAGGATAAATTAAATAGTACTTTTGGTAATCAGTTACAATGATAAACTTATCCAATCTTATGATAGTGTTTAGGAACTTAAAATCTTTGAACTTATCAATAAATAAAAAAACCCTTAACGAGGATATGAGATCGACATAAATCACAATAACATAAAGGAAAGTATCAATTTTTTTTTGTAAGGTAAACTTGATAATTTTGTAAAACCAAAGACTAAAATGATAAGAGCCCAAGAAATTTAAAAAAAATATTTAGTGTTCAAGATAAAGCAAAGACTTTGTTAATCAGTTGTAACAAGAAACATAATCAAGCATAAGACAAAATTTGGGGTTAAATTTTTTTAAGTTATCATTAAATATGAAAATACTTAATGTACCTAATTATAAAATCATTCACCATTCATCAATCATTTAGGAATCATCATAAATGACATACCGATGGGCACATAACCATATTATTGAACATTATACTTTGAAAAGTCGATACAGTCAAATCTTAAAGTACCTCTTCGACCCTCGTGAGGGATTCCTAGGATAATTTCGATGTCACTTTTTACTGTATAACTAATGTCATCGATATGTGGCCAATAAAATTCTTCCTTTCTGTTCCTCATAAATTTAACATACATACCAGAATCATCAATAATATCCAATACTTTTCCAACATAGTATTTGTTGGTTTTTGGCCCACAAAATTTAACTAAAACGTAACTATCAATCCGAAGAGTTTCACATTTTTTCACTGTATTTTGTACATTTTGTTCTTCAAAATCTTCACATGACTCTGATTCCGATGGTATAAAACATTCATCTTCAGAAGTATCTCTTAAGGAATAACTGTCACTATTTTCGCTATTGTCGTCACTATTGTCTCTCTTTATCTTCTTTTTTGCATTACATGACTCCGGTTTTTTAAGTATCAACCTTTTATTATCTGCAGACGTTGATGGCATTTGGTTTTCGTAATCTATGTACTCTAAAAATTCTTCTTCAGGTTGAATTACGGGCAGATTCTCCTTACTTTCAGATTTGAATATGTTGTAGCTTTTATCTACCTTTTTAAGATTCTGTGGAAGCATCTTTGTCAAATCTGCATAGGCGCAATTATATGGACTAAATCTGACTTCTGAAAGAATAGTAACCTTTGGTCGGGTTTTTGAATTAGGCTCATCGATCACTGGCTCTGCATCAAGATTCGTTTCTAGATCAAGAAAAGTTTGTTGAGCTTCCTTAATGTTACTTCGATTTGTTTCTCTAGATAACTTAGATTTCTTTTTCGTCATGAATAACTGAACTTCTTGAGAGGAAATAGACTTACCTGGAGTAATATTAAATTTTTTGTTTCTTAATTTTTGTAGAGGGTTCGCTGTACGATTGGCTTTCAAATAATCTAAGAGCGCGGTATCGATTGTATAATTGTTTTGCTCTTCATAATCGGGTATCTTTCGTAATATTGTTTGGGGATTAAAAGGCACTATGCCTGTTGCCTTAAATCCAGCGCAGATATTTGCTTTACTATTTATTTCTATAGCCTCTAATAGAGATTTTAACAACATGGGGAAGTGGGCTTTGTTAATTTGAGGTTCTGCTAGATTATGTATTTTATATTGGGTCAAAATATCGCGCCATTTTCTTTTTAAGGGACCAAAAAATAGCTCTTAATGTGATACTATTTTATAGATCAGAATAATATATAGGATATAGTTATCTACGTTTGAGCAAAATCCGTTAAGTAGTCTTTACTTGAAAGAGTAACAAATACTTATCCATCCATATAAATAATAGAAGTATGATAATTTGGATTTGAAATTAAGTAACAATAAAAGTATTTTTTTTTAAATATTTTTGTGACAGCCCTAGCCTCATAGAAAACATGGCAAAGTTTACATCACCAAAACTTTGTATCTGGTTAGCAAATTTGCCAACAGTGATTTTAAGACTAAATTAATTTATAGAACGTAAATTACCATAACTTTGATAAAAAAACACTATTAAGAATGTTATTTTAAAATTTAACTTACCTACAAAACATAAAACTCACTTATTTACACTGAAGTTCTGGAGCACGTAGTTACCACGAACTTAGCAGTTGAAAAATGTAACGGCCAAAAATGTCAATTTTTCAAATCTGGGTTGTCAAAAAAAATAAGATGTTGCCAACAAAATATTCAAAATTATTTCAAAGTTATTGCAAACGTTAAGAAACATAAAGTTTTGACGTTATAAATTATTTTGTCTTATAAGTCGGGTCATGGCAAATTTAACAACCTTTGGCAAAGTCGCCAGGTTTCACGGTAGTGCTATTCTAGAGTGACATATTATAGAGCACCGTGAGTTTATTGAGGGTTAAAAGTATTTTTTGGAAGAAACTGAGAAGCCAGATCCTGTAATTTTCTTCAATTTTCCCACATTTGTGCATTTTCAAACTGAGTAAAAATTTAATGAGCCACCTTTATTACCAAAAACAAAAAAAACAACTCAAAAGGAACCAACCTTAGAAACTTTAAAAGTTACAGTTTTGTCTAATATGTTTTTGGGTTAAACTTTCCTTTATGGTCCGTCGATTTTTGGGTCGGGAGGGAGGGGAAGTAAAGGCTAACCTCCTGCACCATCCTCACTCCGCGGAACTCCATGTTTATGAAGATAGCCACGGTTAATGTTTTGAGGTTAGAACAGCACTATTTAGTCTCAGCATAGGGTTAAAATTTCAATTATGGTTCAATATTTTTAAGTTGAGGAGGGAGGGGTGTAAGGGCTTACCACTGCACCATCACCAAGTCGTAGATCTCCATGATTATGAAGATATCCATGGTTAATTTTTTAGATCAAAATTGCATTTTTTAGTCAAACTCGAAGGGAGCTTAAGTTTGAATCCGCCTTATCTTCGGCGCTGCGGGAAGAGCAGCCCTTCCGCCCTTGCGTGCCGAAGCACGGTCACTCGTGCTCCGTCACAGCGGGCGAGGACTGCTCTCCCTCCGCGCCTCCGGATTTTTTATATACACTCGGGGGTAGGGCAGACGATTTTTCCAATATTTATGGAAACTTTAAAAAATTATATCTCGTAAACCGTGAGTCTCCGCAACTGAAATTTTGCAAAAAGCTTTCTATTTATGAGTACTATCTACGAAAAAATGGTGAACTTCCAAATCGGACCATAAAGGAAAGTTTAGCCTGTTTTTGAATTTTTGTTAGCAAAGTTTTCTTTGTTTATAAATTTTGACAAAAAATATGAGTTTTCACAAATACATATCAAAATTTAAACAATATGAAGTAAAAAAAATACACAAAAAATTAATGATTCAAAACACTACTGTTTGGGTTATGTAGCTATTTAGAAATATATTTTTGAACTGAAATATGAATTCATTTATTGATTTTATTATTAAAATAACATTTTATTACTTTTAATACAAAAATCATATTTATATCACACAATTATTACATACCTAATAATTCAGTCATAATGAAAGTAATAATACTTAGCTTATTTCACAGCAAAAGCTCAATTTCAAATTATAACGTTTTAAACAAAACAAGTAATAAATAAGAATATTTTTGTCACTAATGTATTTGAAAAAAAAAAAAGTGCGTGCGTACAAAGTACACATGTCAGAAGTGAAACTTTTTTGGCGAACTAATTTATAAGTCTTGCTTATATTTATACAAATCTAAAACTTTAGATTTCCGAGACTTAGAGGAAGGAAAAAGGAAGATATGTTCCCACCAAAAGTCTGTCAAATGTCAATCTCAAACCTGTGTTAACAGTCACATTATGTTTAGATTTCTAAATTGTAAATGACTAATATTTTGCCAATTGAACTGACTAATTTAATTTCACGCTATTTGATTAATGTTCCAAATTCTTTTAATTTCATTTCAATTCCTATTAACATTTTTCACAAAAAAATTATAAAATATTAGGCTGTATGGTATGATACATTTGCCTTTCCAATTGGAAAAATACAACAACTACTACTACTGACATTTGACAAGTACTTAATTTCAATAGTAGTTTGATGTCACTTCCGTTGCATACCTGCGTGACGTTCTGTAACAATGTTACCCTCATGCGCCTAAAGAAGTTTCACTTCAAAAAGAATAATGATTTTTTATACATGTAACAATATTATATTGATATTCTTCATGAAACAAGATGTTATATCCTGCATTCTCAGTAGGCTGACCTGAAATACCTACTCACAAATGTTAACTTTTTATTTCTAATAATATGACCTAATAAAACTATTACGGCAATATCAAGTTATATCTAAATATTAACTATAATATTTATACATTAAACTGGGGTGGAAATCTGTAGTAGTCTAACTTTAGTTAGTGTTACTAAAATTAGACTACTACAGATAAAAGATGCAAATATAAAATTAAATGTAACGATCTGATTTACTGGGGATTCTAATTTCAAATCAATAATAACAATAATTTTATAATACTTGTGTAATCTTATACTAAATTACTCTATTTTCATTGTATCATTAGATCAAACATAGATAGAAGAGTGTCAACTTCTAAAAATTTAAATTTTACCCAAGTGGAATGAAACATGATTATTGTAATACGAGTTTGATAGAAAAAGTATACACCATAATAAATAAATAAGTTTTAATTGATATTAATATTATTCAAAATAAATGCTACAAAGGTAGTTAAGACAATGGTGATAATTCAATAAACGTCTTAATGGCGCAAAATGTCAACTACTGGGAAAACATAAACACCGCTTTTATTTTATTTCACAAATAAAAAATGGGTATCTTATCAAGACGTACACCGACAAATGATCCCACATAAAACACTTACAATAGTCAAACAATGCTGTCAATTTAAGGTAATTCATATTTCATCGAGTTTACATTCACCCCTCCAAGTAGGTAGTTTTCATTCGCCCTTGTAATATTCTATAGACACTTAACTCATAAGCTTAAGTTCGTGTGTCCTTTCCACGTACGTCTCAATTGTATTGCTCAATGGCCTCCCTAAATTTCAAACCGAAGCGAACAGTATCTTCCAGGTAAAGTAGGAATGTGATAACTAAACGTACAGTCTTCTAATCCGCCTTCCAATATACCACCAGTAAAATTTCAAACAAAAAAGAACAAAAACACACTAAGCTCTTCCAGGGGGACACTAGTGACTTGGTATTAACTATACTCGTATTTACTATAAATTGTTCAAGGTAGCCTGTCACTTGACCCTTACAAATAAATAAAGCAAACTATGTAATTACACATCTACACCTCGATTTTTTTTTTATTACCTAGGTGCGTGGCGAACTCACAGCCCACCTGGTGTTAAGTGGTTACCCGAGCCCATAGACATCTACAAGGTAAGTGCCGCCACCCACCTTGAGATATGGTCACAACGGCTGCCCCACCCTTCAAACCGAAACGCTACTGCTTCACGACAGAAACAGGCAGGGTGGTGGTGTTGTTACCTACCCGTGCGGACTCACAAGAGGTCCTACCACGAGTGAAAAAGCTTCGTCATAAAATTTTACAAATCATGTTTATTATTTTTAATTAAAAACTGGCGGTTTAGTAGTTATTTTTAGTAAGGTGAAAAGGAAGTTAAAAAACTAACATATCGGCCATGATCATTTGAAATAGGCGGCGGTCTAACGCAAATTTATTATGTTAAAATATAATCAATAATGGAATATTTAAAAATAATACAACAATGAAAAGAATGGGATTGTGTGTGTGATACATTAAATTTAGGAAGAATAGATAAAAACGGAAATAGAGAATACAATAAATTACTCGTAATTTTAGTTGATAATGAATTTAAAAGTTATATCTCATTTTAAAGTAAGCCAGTGACGCTAATTTTCAAAGACGCGTGTGGCTATATCAATTTATATTTACATCTATGTAACGTGGGTAACTATTAACTTTAGAATGAAGTGGGCTGGTCTCTGCCCATGTTACCTAATAATATATTAAGACTGTTTAACCTATATTAATTAAATGTGAAACAAATGAATGGACCAATAATAACAAGACTAGTTCGAAACTCAGTCTGATAATAATTTCAGAAAAAAATAACTTAAACCTAAAAACACTTAAATTAAAAATATACTTTTTTATCTCTACATTATCATATTCATTTTAATGCGGATCAATAAAAAACAATATAAAACAGTTAAGATTTTGAAAATTATCAACTTTGGCGAAAATACAATCAAACATGCGCATGCTCATGCTCATATACGATGCTAATAAATAAGAGAACTTATTGTGTACATTTTTACTTGAGCCATGTATATTGTTCATAAGAAAGTGGCATTATCCTTGTAGGCAGGCGAGCATACGACCCACCTGATGGTGAGTGGTTACCGTCGCCCATAGACTTCAGCAATGCCAGGGGCAGAGCCAAGCCGCTACCTACCGCTATCTATCTATGAAGCGTAGAGCATGTTGTAAAAGTAAGAGGTTTGATCGGAAAGCGCGTCGTCGGGCGTGCGCAGTTCCAGAACCTTCCCCCCGCCGAGCACGAGCACGCGCGAGCACTCCAGCACGCCGGCCAGTCGGTGCGCCACGAACAGGACCGTCGCGCCGCTGAACGAACACCGAATCGTATCAAGGATCAATCGCTCGGTATCTTGGTCGAGGTTCGCGGTGGCTTCGTCAACCAAAAGAACCTGTTTAAAAATTTTAATTGTCATTAATGTCACGTGTTTTTATCTATATATTAATACTTGAAGCAAAAACTTTGTACCCCTTTTTACGAAAATTGGCCGTCCGCACAATGTATGAAATTTCCCACAATTATAGAGAACGTAGAAAAGGAATGCAGAATGCTATTTTTTTTAAAGTAAGCCTAAGAATACATTAAATAAATAAAACATACACACACTCTACAATGTATTTGACATACACACGCACATATATTCGGTTTATTGTCAAACTTTTGTTATTGCTTAAAGTCTGTTGTCAAATTCAGAATAGATTAACTTTGTTTGTCTTTAATATTATCTATACTAGTATATAAATCTACAGTGATTTTTACGGGTGTTCCGTTATAACTACTGAACTATGCATCCGATTGATTTGAAACTTGGTATTCATGTAGAAAATACATGTACTTAATAGATAGTCTAATATTTATATGAGTGTTCGACTCTCTAATAATAATGACAATAAATAATAATGTTAATTTTAAATGCCCAGAGAAGCGGGCGAGTACGGCTAGTTTATCTATAATGTAGGTAAGTAGTCTTGGCGAAATCTGTGATTATAGATAAAATAATAGTATTTGACAATAGAACCATAATAATGTTCAAACTTATAATTTCAATTAATTATAGTCGAATTTCGACTACTGGCTTACCACTAGTAATTTCAAATGTGCGTCATTACGAAATTCATAATGATCCATATCCATCCATTCATATCGATTGTCGCTTATTGCGGAGATCTGATGAGCTAGAACACTAGAACAGAGTCCGACATAAACGACATCGATTCCATTTGTCGTCGTTTGCTTTCCAATTCAATACATTTAACTTCGATTCGTGCACATAAATAAACAATATGAATTTAATGATGATATCTTAATTATAATAGTGTTCAGATTACAGCATACAGAAAAATCTGAATCGTTTATAGGATACACACGACATGACCTCATTATTGTTGCATCCATTAAAACGACGCGATGACGTTATGATCTTATGCTAGTCCTAATAGGTGCAGTGCAGTACCTTGGCGCGCTGCAGCAGCGCTCGCGTGAGACACAGCAGCTGCGCGTGGCCGCGGGACAGCGAGGCGGCGGAGTGGTGCAGGCCGCCGCGGGCCGACACCGCGTCCCTCACCCCGCACGCCTCCAGCGCGCGCCACACCTCCGTCTCCGAGTACTGACGGAGCGGGTCCACGTTCTCGCGGATCGAGCCGCTGAATATGAACGGCTCCTGCGGTATCACTCCGATACGAGACCTGTGACGTCATTTTGCATTAATGGCTTCCATCGATCCTCGTACCTCATCTATATATTAATACGTGAAGCAAAAACTTTGTACCCCTTTTTACGAAAATTGCGCAGACGGAAGAGTATGAAATTTCCAACACCTATAGAGAACATAGAGAAGAAGAGCAGAACCCTAATTTTTTTTTTAAATTGTGCATTAAAAATACATTAAATCAATAAAGAAAACATTACACACACTACCATGTATTGGACACAACACGTACGTATAAATATACTCTTTGTGTATTGTCAATTGTGAAACTTTTGTTATTCTTTAAAGTCTGTGGTCAAATTGAGAACAGATTAATATTGTTTGTCTTTAATATTATTTATTTATAGTGAAGTTTTGGCAAAATCTGTATTATTATATAAGTATAATAGTGCTTGACAATAAAATCATAATAATGTTTAAATTTTTAATTTCAATTAATTATAGTCGAATTTCGACTACTGCGGGGACCACTAGTACATTTAAATTCGTATTTACCTGAGTGAATGCAGATGTAGCTTGTGTACGTCGACGCCGTCGACTCGCACTGTCCCCCGCGAGAGCGGCGCCAGCCGGAGCAGCGCGGCGAGCAGCGAGCTCTTCCCGGCGCCAGTGCGTCCCACGACGCCGAGCTTCTCGCCGGCCCAGCTCGTGAACGACACGCCGCACAACGCAGCCGTCGCCCTCTCGCGGACACTGCGCCGAATTCACGTACAAATCGATATCATTTTTTTCACATTACCGTCAATCACTGGTGGTAGGACCTCTTGTGGGTCCGCACGGGTAGGTACCACCACCCTGCTTATTTCTGCCGTGAAGCAGTAATGCGTTTCGGTTTGAAGGGTGGGGCAGCCGTTGCAACTATACTGAGACCTTAGAACTTATATCTCAAGGTGGGTGGCACATTTACGTTATAGATGTCTATGGGCTCCAGTACCCACTTAACACCAGGTGGGCTGTGAGGTCGTCCACCTAACTAAGCAATAAAAAAAACCAAAAGAAATCAGACTAGATATATCATCCTTTCTATTTTTACTGTCACACGTACGTATCCGAAATGTGGCTCAACCGTTATAAAATTAATTAAAACTTCCGACTCATATCACCCAGACAGGTGCTGTGCATTCCTGATTTTTATCGGCACAGGACATCACTTAAACACTAAGAGAAACATGAGCTCATGTACCCACTGAGTACTACAAAAAAACTTGAGGAATAATTTCATTTATGCTTAAATAAATAATTCCTATATTGCTTAATAATACTACTTGCCGAATGAAATGATTATGTATCATTTACCTGTAGTTAAGGTGGACATCATCAAACTCAACAACGCCATGTGACGGCCAACCGTATGGAGGAGATTCACCGTCGACACTCTCAATTTCAACCTAAAACAATTTAATTATTTACATACATATATGCATAAACACAGCAATGCGCTTATTTCAAAATAAAATCTCCTCCGCCCGACTGCAAAAGGAGTTCACACTGGAGATCTCAATACAAAAAAAGAACCATATATAACAATGCAATATATTTTCTATTGTATATATTTAAAAAAACGTACCTAATTGTCTTTATTCTAATGCTTTATCATGCACCAATGGTTACTATTTCTCTACTATATGCTCTAGGCACAAGCAATAAAAAAATAATAAATTTACACAGTAAACATAAATATCAAACTCATTCACATCAAGAGAACATTTTATTATTAACGGATTTATAAATTTATAAGAATATACAGGTTGAGTAGTAGTAGTAAGTCGTGTTTTTTTTTTTATTGCCTTTGTAGGCAGACGGGCATACGGCCCACCTGATGGTGAGTGGTTACCGTCGCCCATAGACTTCAGCAATGCCAGGGGCAGAGCCAAGCCGCTGCCTACCGAAAAGTGCCTGAGTCGGTAGGGGCCGCAATATTTCCTATATCTGTTGAGAAGCGCCCATGCGTTCTGATTTCAACATTTATATTGGATTACGACCGCATGTCCAATACATGGCTGAAGGCATAAACGTTTTAATATCTGAATAGTTCGGCAATGATTTAATGTCAGCTATTTAGTTCGCCATAGTTCGCCATAAAAATGCGTATTGGAAAAATTCCCAAGAAACGAACATCATATATCTGATAGTAATTCTGGGGATAAAAATCATAAAAATGTAAATAAATAACCATCACTAACGTTCTGTTTAAAATTAAAAATCACTACACGTTTCACTGCAGCCTAATAAGGTAGATATTTATTACTACAATGACTTTAGTAAACGATCATCATTTTCCAGTCACGTTATGTTATTGGTTAATAACCGCTTAAATAAGCATTACAGTTTGTCTTAGAAATTCTTCGTGTCATAAGTAAAAAAATCATCAATCAGACCCAAGGATTTCTGGGAGGATTCTCCGACTAGTAGATATAGTACTAACCTGTCTAATATATTCTCCTACCCTTTCGACGGCTATCATTTCTCGTTCGGTTTCCGTAAAAGAATTGAGCACATTGCTCAACATCGAAGTCATGGATAGCGCGTAGGATATCGCCAGACCCACCAACCCTGCATGGTTTAACCACAATTAACATCCTTCTGACAGCCTCTTCATAACTTTAAATATACAAGAACAGTTCGGGCAAACCACGAATATAATACTTCAAAGAGCCATATTTTTATTAGACCTATCTTACATCAGCAATGAGATTGATGCAGTTCGTTTATTGCTGAAGAGACTTATTAATTACCAAACGTAGCCCATTTAAAGGTCTGAATACTAAAGGCTATTATTATGCGCTAGGGTTTGGGATAAATAAAATTTTACCGAATTACAAGATAACACTGTATTAGCACTCAGAACACTTAAAACACTTTAAAATTCTCAATTCACTTCTTCCGCTTCGCTTCAGGTGATCCGTTCGCTGTTTCGCTTCGAGTAGTTCTGATTACTAACTGACTGCGTGCCATCTCTGCAACGCTTTTATAGCCGATACCACAATCCTGAATTATCGAGAATATTTCACACAAGTCGAGTAATGTGTTTCCACTATCTGACAATAGATGGCGTTGTACTTCTCGAGCGTTCTAGATGCTACTAGATCCTTCGATATTCGTTCGACTATTTGGCGATAGATAGCGTTACTCTTATCGGCATAACACTATATATAGTACTTGCTGCTTAAATGGCTTCAGATGAAAGATACACTTATAACATGAATGTCAATATGGAGGTCGATGCAGCAAAGAAAGCGATATACTAAGAAGTTACAATTATCTGTGAGCCTTTTAAAACACTGTAACCTAGCAGAAAAGATCTTAGAGTGATAAAGGAGAATACTTCGTTCTACATATAACCAATCCGTATTACTTTGTGCAATATGTACTGTTACGCGCTGGCGTTCGAGATAAATAAAAATTCTACCGAAGTGTAAATTAACACTGTATTAACATTTAGAAGACTTAACGAGCACTTTAAAATTCTCAGTTCACTTCTTCCACTTCGTTTCAGGTGATCCGTTCGCTGTTTCGCTTCGAGTAGTTCCGATTACTAACTGACTGCGTGCCATCTCTGCTACGCTTTTATAGTCAATACGATATCCCTAGATTTATCCAGTACATTCTGGGCAAGTCGAGTAGCTTCGATAGATTCATAACATCGAGAAGTACACCGCCATCAATAGATCAATAGGATAATAGTACTTTCGTTGTTCGTTCGGCTATTCGGCGATAGATGGCGTGGCGTTACTCTGGTGGTAGGACCTCTTGAGTCCGCGCGGGTAGGTACCACCACCCTGCCTATTTCTGCCGTGAAGCAGTAATGCGTTTCGGTTTGAAGGGTAAGGCAGCTGTTGTAACTATACTAAGACCTTACAACTTATATCCCAAGGTGGGTGGCGCATTTACGGTTGTGGATATCTAAGGGCTCCAGTAAGCACTTAACACTGTGTTAAGCTGTGAGCTCGTCCACCCATCTAAGCAATATGAAAAAAGAAACTCTTACTGGCTTAACAGTACTTTTAGTTTATCTAAAAATTGTGTAGGTACAACTGAAACAGAGAATAATACGTATGTAGTACCTGGGTCGGCGGTGTGCAGCGTCCTCTGCAGCACAGCCAGCGCGGCGGCCGCTACCACGAGAACGGCGGCGGCGGCCTGCAGTCGCAGCGCCAGCCACTGCGCCGCGCCGCTCGCGCTGAGCGCCGCACGCTGCCACGACTCCACGAGTTCGCAGCCGCGCTCCTCCCACGCCGCCGCGCCGCCCAGCGCGCGTATGCTACTCAAACCTGCATAGTGCTCCTCGTTTCAATTCATATTTACTTACAACTTACTTACTTTAAATTATGCATAAAAATACTTTAAATAAAAAAAACATTACACACACTACCATGTATTTGACACACACACAAGGTTGCATACTATTTGTTTATTGTAAAACTTTTCTTATTGCTTATAGTCTGTGGTCAAATTGAGAATAGATTAATAATAATGATGGTTATATAACTTCTACAATAGCCGGCAAACTTCTTGAGCATTAGTTGACGTAGTGAGGGAAAGTTTGCGCTTGGTACACTCACGCGCAAAAACTTTATTTACTCTGTGTCATATTGCTATTAAGGTATTAAAAACAACGTATGTATTTATTTATATATTTATTAAAAACAAAAAATATAGGTCAATAATTGTAATAATTTAATCTTGGGGTAAAATAGATATTCCGTCTATTAGGTCAAAACTAGAGCTGGCGCCACGTCTTGGTTCAGTTGAAGCGGAGCTTATATTTGTAATTTTTTCTTCGTTATCATAATTTTGACCATCATCATCATCACTGTTTTCATCACCCGAGTCGCTATCATCATGATGAGTCGACATAAGGCTCATCGGTGTAAACTATAGGTCTTCTTTCTTATCTATATTTAATTATTTTTTGAAGATATTTGATTCGTAGTAATCGAATGTTATTTTTTTCAATTACCAGCTTCCGATTATTTTCTGTTTTTTTTTTTCATCTGAAGCCTAGCTCTTTCATAATTCGTCGTAAACTTCGTTCCGAGCCATTACAATTTATATCTTTAAATTTTTCGAAGCCTTTCGGTACGGAGTTTCGCTGCTTGTTATGTAGTTATTATGATCACATCTTTTTATTACAGGTTGATCGAAACTATCCATTCCGGTAACTTCCTTCTTTCCTGATCTTTTTACCCGAAGTCTAAAACATGGCGAGCAAGCCAGAGCTCTTAGCTTCGTTAATAATGCACCTAACAGTACTCGCTGATGTTTTTTTGCTTCCGAAGTCTGTTTTATTTTTTCCATATCATTCTTTCCCTATTTTATAATGAAGCAATATACGTCGTACACCATTTTTCTAGCCAGTTTGTCGCGGCATAGCGTATTTTTTATAAAAAATCAACAAACACTCAACAAATAGCAATGACAACAAAGTCAACAAGCAATAATAACAAATAACTTCAAAGATTAATAATGATAGTTTTCACTGTACGCAAGTGTACTTTTAGACTTTTAGAAGTGTAAGACGCGGGGCGGGGTCGAAGGTTCGATTGATCTACCAATAACGCGCTCGATACGATCTCCTCTGCCGTCGCGCCCCGCCCTCACCACCAAAGTGATATTAAATTCGGTTCTGCGCAGTCAAGGTCATTTGCTCAAAAAGTTTGCCGGGTACTATACCGCGAAGTAGTTTCCCGTTCCAGTCTGACGTTATTACAATGTAAGTGTAACTTTAACCTGATGCCATTCGGAAGAGTATAATCGTCAGGGCTGCTATGAATGTAGGCTTATAAACTCGAAATAGACCAGGAAGATTAAGAAAAAAGATAAACAATCTTTACCTCCACTACTCAACTACAATAATAATAATTTTTGCATAGTTTGTTGTGGCTTCGGGCAATTCCAATTAATGTGTGATTATTCAATTCTATTAGAACTCTATTCTATCTGGCGTTTTATGCAGTATTCACAGCTCGTGTCTCTAAATTGACCATAGTCTGCCATTATGCTTTTTGCTAGCTCAATAGGTATGGGTAATAAGTCTTAAATTTTATGTAATTTAAAACATCCGGGAAATGTATGGCCATTACGTTATAACATCGGTGTTCGGTGACCAGAGACGTTCATGATGCGTTGTGTATGCGCTAAGTAAACAATTAAATTCAGGCAAACTAAGCGTGTATCGGCTTAATAAAACACAATAAAACAGCTGGACCCCTGTCAGCGCCTGTGTGCGAAACCCATGAAGCGCCTCCTATTTTTACGAATCGTCATTTTTCAATGTAGTTTTTATTATTATTTGTTAATTTTGACGTAAGCCTTGGGATGCTTGTACTAAAAATGCATTATGTTTTGTTATTTACAAGTTATATGTTGTGCCTATTGTGCCTACTTACTTATCGATAGTCCACTACAAAGAATTTGTTGTTGTGTAACGTAAATAATTTCGATGGCGACGCCCTTATTGTCTTTTCTTTTCTTTTTTTTGACAACCGTCAAAGCAGTGCGTTACTGTTTCCGCTAACATAGGTCCGAGTCTTTTTACATCCAGTTCGTATTTAGTTCTTAACTTACGCCCTGTCCACTCTACTCCTTTGGAAGATCCTACTTTTGGCCTACTATTGTTTATTTTATTTTTATTAATATTTCGTTACTGGCTACTAACAATATTTCATCTTATTCTAATAAACCCCACCTGTCTTACATATTTTATTATTAATTTATGTTCATTCTTACCATATCCTTATTTCTCTTACTATTTCATTAATCCCTTATTGTTTTGGCGCCTGTGTGCAAACTTCGCACATAGGGGTGGCGCGTCCCTGAAATTAAGACGTACAAAAGACGTACAAAACGTACCTTCGAGGGTGTCGTTGAAGTGCGTGTAGATAGGGGAGAGAGTGACGCTCTGTAGACGTTTCAGTTGTCGCGAGGTGATGCGGTAGACGCGCTGCAGCCGGTAGTACACGAAGGCGAGGGGCGCCACGCCCACCAGCAGCCACGGCAACCCGTATATTGTCACCGCCAGTGCGCCTGTCCACATCAACAGTACACATCAAGGCGAAAAAAAATATCGTCGTTGTCAAAGCAAAATCTGCTATGAGCACTTTTTGAGATTTTTACTTTTTGACCTTTTCGTATAGTTCACAGCCCTATCTGCGGTATAAAAAAACGGTTATGTGTCTATAGCTTTAATATATTTTTTTAGCTTTCACTATGATATGGTTCTTAAAAATTCAACTTCTTATAACATTTTATGCGAAAATGTTTTTACTCGTTATTTTTTTTTTTTTTATTCTTTATTAGAGCCTTACACCTATTAGGTTAAGTCGGCTTACTCGTTAATTCAAAATAGAGTTTTTGCACATAGCAGATTATGGGTTGGACAGCAACGATATGTTAAAATCAAACTATTATATTTATTTATTTAATTAGTTGCACCAACAAAGTGATCATCAATACAAAACATTGATAAATTGACAATAAGTACATGGCAATTAAATTTGATTACAGGGTATGTATTACATAATATAACTCGTACTTATATCTTTAATAGAACATATTTTAATATAAAATAAATTGTCTTATAAACTCCTTCGCGGCACCAATAGTTCCCGATTACCCAATTACCCCGCAGGCTTACGATACACCAAAACCAGTAATTAAGTAAATTTAGCGAATTCTATTTCGAGTACCAATCCTCGTAGGACAATAAGCGTGGCTTGGAGTAATAGTGGTTTCGTAGCCAATTGACCAAGCGCACATATCAGATTTTTGAAGAGAAAGTGACATTGTAACAATATCTAACAATAACACGGGTATAGTGACCGAAAACATAATAATTAATTATAATGTAGCCAATCTTGAACACCATAAATTCAAAGATAATATTATGTTATTCCTGAGCAAATTGTATAGAATTATTTATAGGTTTAGCTTAGCAATAGGTCACTGACCTTTTCGCGACCTAACCATACGTAAAATCGTGTAATCGAAGATGTGAATGCGGTTAACTTAATTAATGCTTTTGAATTTTGGCCTTCAAACATCACAACTGCATTGACAGAGTTTGATTCAAGTTTTTTTTTCTTTTTTCTTTTTTATTGCTTAGATGGGTGGACGAGCTCACAGCCCACCTGGTGCTAAGTGTTTACTGGAACCCATAGACATCTACAACGTAAATGTGCCACCCACCTTGAGATATAAGTTCTAAGGTCTCAGTATAGTTACAACGGCTGCCCCACCCTTCAAACCGAAACGCATCACTGCTTCACGGCAGAAATAAGCAGGGCGGTGGTACCCACCCGCGCGGACTCACAAGAGGTCCTACCACCAGTAAAAGACCTCCCCAACCTCAATATATTTTACAATCTTATTATTACCACTTACCAATGAGAGAAAAGAATTGAGCCAAAAGTATATTCAAAATAAAAGGTAACGAATCGTCAACTGTATACGTGTCAGATGAAAAACGATTAACAATTCTTCCAATAGGAGTGACGTCAAAAAATTTCACTTGTGCCTAAAAACAAAAAACAAAAAATTAGCACCACTTTAATACGGGAAGTTAGTACATATTATGAATTATCTAATGAAACGCTTATTTCTCTCACCCTGACAATAACTTTCAAAAGCACTTTGTGTATTTTAGTAGCTGCTTTCACGCCTCCATAAGCGAAGAGGAAAGCCCTCATTACAGTGAACACAAGATTTAATCCAGCCAATCCGAAGTACGCTTCCAAGTAGAAGTTGTCGTTGTACTGTGGTATACTGATTTCTAGTGTCGCACGGGCATTAGTGAGGGTCGAGCTTAATGATGGCTCGCTGACATTGTTTTTATGCCCGTCAATAGAATTTATCAACATCATTGTCGTGTTGATGAGTTTATGAACGATGCCGTCTACAGCGTTAAAGCTATGGTCTAGAACAGTCGTGTTCTCGTGAAAATTGAACTCAGAGTCGGTCAGAGCTGTAGAATTCTTAGTTCTGTTCTTCAACCATATCGTTAGCCAAAAGAATGTGAAATTCTGCGAGACTTGCATTAGTATTAGAGATAGCGTTATTGCGACAGTGAGAAATATTCCAACTGATTTCAAATATAATCCAATGACCCAAAAACCGACGGTTCCTTCTGACACTGTTTCCTGAAAATAATTGAAATTTAATTTAATTTCTAGAAAATTTATTATAAACATTATCATTTTAAAATAACTCATTGATGAACACTAACTTCATCATCCAAGCTATTTCTGCTGATGTTATCTTCATCAGATTGTTCAATCTGTTTTTGCCTAGGAAGATCGTCTCCCAAAGATTCTGAATCACTTGGCAAATATTCCTCAATATCGTGTAAGATCATTTCAGGGGGTCCTATAAAAATGTCAATACAAAATACAAATGAAAACTTATTTTATAATATATAACATTAGTAATTAAGATGACGTATTTTTTTAGGAATTTAAATTCATATTCTCGGCATTAATTTGTGAACTCAATAGTGTTATATGCGTTCGAGAGTCGTCTGGTATTTACAACACCTACGTCACAAACATGGATGTAGTGACTTATCATTATAATTTCGAAAACTTTCGTATAAAATGCATTACACATGCATATATTACGTGAGAAGACAGATTTTATTAGCCGAAAAAAGGTCCTAACCGAAGAAATAAAAATAAAGAACTTTATGCACTAAATCCTAAGGTTGGAGTAACATAACGTATTGGTCGTAATTTACGTGAATTTAGTTCAATAAATCAAAAATGACAAAATATTTTCTTTCTGAAAATATTGTCTTATTATTCTACGTTGATTACCTTCGTTAACTATACGGCCTTCACGCAGTACCAGTAGACGTGAGACTCTAGCTAGATGTTTCGGTGATTGTGCGACGAACAGTCGCGTCGTGTGTCGCAACAAGCCCATCAGGCAGTGTTGTAACACGTGCTGCGACACACGGGCATCCAGACCCGCCAACACATCGTCCAATAAGTATACTGTAGTACATGAAAATTATTAGTTATCAATAATAATTTTTACTCGAAACATACTATACTGAGACCTTAGAACTTATATCTCAAGATGGGAGGCGCATTTACGTTTTAGATGTCTATGGGCTCCGGTAACCACTTAACACCAAGTGGGCTATCACCCACCCATCTAAACAATAAAAAAATCCGTATTCGGAACATTGAGATAAATACGGTAACCGCGCAACTCAGAAAAAATAGTATTATTATTAATATTATAATTAGTGCAATACCATTATTTTGTTTAAAAAAATATCATTCTAAATCAATGTTTCATATTAAAGTATATATATTTTAAATTTTCGTTACCTTGTTTATCTTGATATACAGCTCGTGCCAAAGCGATTCTAGCACGCTGTCCTCCGCTTAGCGTACATCCACCTTCACCGACATACGCGTTCCAACCGAGTACATTTAAATCTTCTGCAATACAAATTATAAAAATAGTACCCTTATAAATACTGTACATTAAAATCAAATAATTATCATACGGTTATACTGCCAAACAGATAGGAATTTACGGATGTTTCGCGAATTAAATGATATGATGGCGGTACCGACCCATAGCTCAACATAGGCGCTACCGAACAATAATTTAGGAAGAAGTGGAGATTTGACCTTAATGATTTTTAAACTTTTTTCCCAAATGAAACATTGACGCCATCTAGTATACGTTTGACAATGCATTATGTGTTGTGCAATGCTTTTTTTTTTCCTACCTAAGCTGATAGCCTTGAGAGGCTATATCAGCGTAACCTTAACTAGTAGGGGCTCAAACCTGACGACATTGCTAACACGAACCCTAGCAAGAGCCGTGCTTCGCAGAATCTACCATCGGATCGGAAACGCGACCCACTGAGAAGATCCGGCGAGAAATTCAGTGGACTGTGTCTGAGGGTGCGTGCAATGCAATGTTGGATGTTGACATGTTTCACATGCATGGATTCTTACAAATGAGTATGTCGTGAAATATTCGCATCTAAAAACTAGTAGTTAAGCTTCAGTACAACAAAAAGGTAGCAAATGTATCTGATAATATAAGGTTTTTCAATATGGACGCTCGAACTTTGACAGGGAATAATGGCCATCCAAAAAAAAACGAAGATGTCATACTAAATTGGTCCACCAGGATACACCACCTACAACGGAGTCGCGGCGGCCATTTGGCCGAAAGTAAGTAAGTAAGAAGAAAGTAAGTAAGTAAGAAAGTAAATTTTATACATAATCTTATCGAATAAGTAAAATAAAAATTGTGGCAATATCACTTATACAAGTTTTTATTTATTTTATTTTTAAGTTCGAGGGCTCTTAATGAAAAACCCTTTTTAAATATCTTCACACAATACCTGTTAAAGCACATGCGTCGATCACCGATTTAAATTTTGTTTCGTCATAAGGTTTCCCGAACAAAATATTATCACGAATAGTCCCACGTATTAACCATGGCTTTTGTGCTACGTATCCAAAGCCTAAAAAAGATCATACACAAACACAATTACACGAATATAAAATTGAAGTTATAAAAAATATTGAAGGTAATAAATACTATGTAGTAAGTATTATATTGTTTAAATTAAGTTTTTGTTTGATAATGGTTGTGTGTGTTATATTTAATTGCATATATTTATTATCTATACATGTGTATATATTCTGATTAAGCATTTTTATTATGTCCTTCGATTACGTCAACTTTTGTCATTCTCTAAGTCATCTCCGTTGAAAGGTTCTCTGGAAGACATCGTCGCTGTTAACTATAAGTCAGCCCATTGTACTTTATTTTAAGTTGAATTTTTCTCATTCACTTTTCTGTATGTTGTTATTATTTTGGTGTACCTAAGCGTCATAAAGTAATTTGTATTATATTATTATAATAAAATGCATTACTGTTGAGACTTTCTGGAAGTTGAAGATCTCCATTTTTCTTTAACATTTCACCAATAACAGCCAGCAGTAAAGATGTTTTTCCGCTACCAATAGATCCGGTCACACCTATAAATTCTTCTCTTCCAATTTCTAATGATATATCCTTCAATGTAAAGGGCGCATCTTGTCCGCCTTCTTCGGACGTGAGAGAATCACTCCTCTGAATATTAAGCTTTCGTTTATTCTTATTCGACTTCCCCTTTTCTTTATTTAACTTCATATTATCTCGTTTCATAGGTCTGGCCCACGCAAAAGTAGCGTTTCTGAATATTATTATTTTATCTTCATCTCTGTTCACGTTGACACGGTCGTAGTACTCCTCCGAATTCATGTCCGGTAACTAAAGACAAATGTTTTGGCTGTTATTTTATAGAGAACTCACGTTAATTTGATAACATTTTGCGAACAGAACTTACATCCAAAAGCTTCTGTATTCGTTTTATTGAAACCCAAGCCTCTGTGAGGCCGTTCAGGACCCAAGGAAACGCATTCAATGGAGCTATCAACATATTTATTAAGGCAACTGTTGTAAATACCTAAGGATGAGAAATAAAATGAAATATAAAATTCGTCCATAGCCTTAAATCTAATACTAGACTAGACTAAATGACGGAATAGTTCCTTAGTTAGTTAACTGATGGTCTTGAAGCCCGATTGGTGGCGCGTGCATACAATGAGAGACATAAAGCCTGATGATTATTTTTTTATTTTTTATTAAACCACTTACAGTCGGTGCTTCTAGGGGTTGTCCCCGCAGCGCATGTGTACCAAGCGTCAGTGCTGCGACCAGCACCGGTGTTGTAGCCCACAATACAACACATACCGCGTCCAAATACTTGCGGCCTCGGAGGTAACGCATCTCTTCTGCACGTGCCCCTGCAATGACAGGTTAATTTTTAAACTATGTACAATATATTTTTATTCAGGACAATATCCAAAAAATGTAATAGAAGGGATAGCGGTCGACCGTAAAAGACATGGATGGAGTGTGTGAATAACGATATGAGACAGAGAGGAGTGAGTGTTGAGCTGAAGGCTGATAGAAGATAATGCAAGAAAAAAATTAGCAGTGCCGGCCATACCTAGTGGGGTAAGGTAAACAAAAAGAAGAAAAATATGAAAGAAATCCAATGTATTATTAAAATTAAATAAACTTTCAAAATAAAGCACTTTATTGAGAGTTTCATCTCAGATGAGACAGTTTCTGTCTGCTTAGCTGAAGCCTTTCATACAATAAGCAATCAAACTGAAGAAGCAAACCTATGTGCTCACTTTTTGGTGAATATTTTTATTATACTTAGTGGAAACAGGCCATGCTCTTCGGCGACCATTGTTAAATGTTTGATAAACATTTATTTGTTGATACTACACATTAATCACCTATTGTTACGTTTAGTGTTGATGCCAAAAAACTTCACTGAATTACCAACAACAAATGGATAAAATTTAACCTTAATCAAGTAAAAGATACAGGAGTGCATACATAACATGCACATTTATGAAGCACTAGACGATGACCGAGCTTCGCTCGGTTTTTTTTTATATAACGCCATCTTGTTGTGTCTTTAAAGCGGTTAGTTGCCCTCAATTAAGAAAAATAGTATTATTATTCACCAATAGATGTCGGGAAGAGTTGATTATTGAAAACGGGAATAAAACAACATTTTCTGAAAATAAATCGTAGCTAGATCGATTTATCGCCCCCCAAATCCCCTGTATACTAAATTTTATGAAAATCGTTGGAGCCGTTTCCGAGATTCAGATTATATAAATATATTAATATACAAGAATTGCTCGTTTAAAGGTATAAGATTGTATAAAATATTAAATGATCAATCAAATTGAAATTCACATACCTGATACTCTGTCCACAAAATAATCTTCCCAAACATGAACCTTTACAGTTCTAATTCCTTTTAGCAAATCACTGATCAAACTGACTCTAGTGTCCTTATGCTTCATCAACTCTGTGCTTAATTGCCCAATTTTATTTGCAATAAGTTTGTTTATTGGTATTAGAATAACTGAAAAGCCTACTCCAGCAAGGAAAGATAGTCCCACTTGTTGATACAATAAAAACAGTGTTATAAATAACTGAAATGAAATGAAATAAAATGAAGATTTTTAATTATAAACTAGTTGTCTATCGATTGTAAATACATAATATTTTATAAATACCTGTAATGGTATACTCCATAGAGCATGAAAACTAGGACATGAATTCACAATCCTATCAGTATCAGTAGACATAAAATTTGTTATTTCACCAACAGAGAACGCTTTAGTCAGCTCAGTTGAAGTCACACTTAAGGTTTTCCTTAGAATGGTGGTGACTAGCGCACCACGCATCTTTAGTCCAATTATGGACATTAACCAATTAAATTGGACAATAAATATGGTCGATCCTAATGTTGCTATCAAAAGACTAACTGCAAAAGTATACCTAAAATCATAACATTTTGTAAGTTATTATTTTCGACTCATCTATTTTATGCGTTTTATCTTTTTATCTTACCCAATATGTTCATCAATTGTAGTATCTTCAACAAATTCAACCAACTTATTCAATAAAAGAGGTCCTGCAAAACCTGCCATATCAGATACCAATTTAAGTAAACCAATACTGTAAAACTCTACTGCAAAAACCTTATGCAGTGCTCGTAATAAGGAAACATTTTGTCGTCGTACGGGGTGGACCCGAACTCGTGATGTTGATGTTACAGGTGTTGAGGCTTGTGGCACTGTTTCACCTATAGCTCCATATCCTGTATCATTGAAAGAAACTATTAAGGTATATTTGAGATATAAACTGTTTATTTTATTTATTTTATTGGATAATGTTAATTATATCATTTTACAGTATATTATTTTCTCATAGGCAGCGGCTTGGCTCTGCCCCTGGCATTCCTGATGTCCATGGGCGGCGATAACCGCTCCTCATCACGTGGCCCATTTGCTCGTATGCCTACAAGGGGAACAAAAAATATATATATCAGTATTTCCTTCTGGATTTCTATGAATACATAATTAGAACTGCTTTTAAAATTTAATCTAACATTTCTAATGTGATTATATTATTTCCAGAAAATATTCTAGTTTTGACCTCATCCTTGACCAAAACAATTAACTGCAATATCAATAAAGTTTTTATTTGTGTACCTGTGCTTATAAAAGGTTCATGTGGTATATCAGCATATTGTTGGTGATGATCAACATTTCCAACCAATGCTCGATCCATTCTGGCACCAATATATGAACTACGATATTCTGCTGGTATGTCGAAAAGTTCTTCAGGATCTTTTAGTTTATTCTCCAGACCTTTAGACATATATTTTAAATATGGCATCAAATCCACAAGTATTTTCGTAATTAGACTAAACATTATATGCATATATTACCTTTTTGTAGCAAAGGGTTCACCCAAGTAAACATCAACTTTGAAAAAAAGCTGTTGCCCTGCATAGCTGTACCAAGAACATCATCATCTACATGGGGTATCAGTGGAGTGTACTCGCTCTATTAAAACAGATATTTAAAATACATTTATTTGCCTTGTCAGTACTCTAAATACACAAAACTGATATAAATTTATACTTACATGAGAGTGTTGGGAGCCTACTAAGCATGGCGAGTAAAATGTTGGTCGTGAGTAATTTGAAGGAATCAGAGTTAAAAAATACAGTACGTGACAACATAATGCAGCTGTATTGAAACCTGTTTGTGAACCAGAAATGATGTTGCTACGGAGAGCTATCAGGTTTAAAAGAACTGTACAGCACCATAAAAATAATTGCATTACTGGACCTCGAGAGCTACGCCCAAGACGGTGTTTCAATGCTAAAACATATCCAAAGTGCACCAGCCATGCTAAACAGGATGAACCAGCAGCAAAATAGTCTACTGGATATAGAGTGAAGTCAGGTTTGGTAGTAAATATATATATTTCTATGATCGGTATGAAGGCTAAGCCTAAAACAACAAAACTTCGAAATATTATGGCACGTTCTTGAGTTTTTTCTCGTATCACCCAATCTTTTCGATATCCAACAAAATACCCTGATACTATAGCTATTATAAAGTACACTGGTACTTGTAAGAATAGCTCTTGAAAACACACGCTGAAGTCTTTCGTGGCATCATTCCATGGATGAAGCCCTCCAGGCCCGCACATATCTTCCCATTTCCAATTTATATTCAATATAAAAGACATTCTGGTCTTCTATTATCTCTACGATGTTCCGCAATAAGTCACAAGGGCACTGTTATAAGATTCTACTATTTAATTAGAAAGGGTAAGTATGTTCTTTGTAGATTTATAAATAAAACACAATGAAACACGCAACTAATAACCATTTTTCATGTTTCGTCTTTCTATTGTTGATAATTATTGTATTTCTACTGTACGTATCGTAAGTTATCAGTTTACTGTTTAATTTTTATCTTTTTCCTTTTATTTTGAATAATATTTGTTGATTTGAACAAGCACTAGTTTACTTCTCATTGATTTGATGTTAAAAAGTTCAAAATTAATAAATCATCAAAAATAATCAAAATTCAACAACGATGACACTGATGACATATTAAGTGTATAATCTATGCTGATGACAGTGAAAGCGGAGTAGTTTTTTTAAAGGGATTTTATGACCTCGTAACTAAGACCTTTAAGTCAAGTCTTATTTTAATTTATATTCTTATTTTTATGAAAATGATAACATCGAGTGAAATAAAATGAAATGAAGATTATTAATTTGAGACATTAATCAACTGGGATGAAATTAAATGAAANCATATTAAGTGTATAATCTATGCTGATGACAGTGAAAGCGGAGTAGTTTTTTTAAAGGGATTTTATGACCTCGTAACTAAGACCTTTAAGTCAAGTCTTATTTTAATTTATATTCTTATTTTTATGAAAATGATAACATCGAGTGAAATAAAATGAAATGAAGATTATTAATTTGAGACATTAATCAACTGGGATGAAATTAAATGAAATGAAATGAGATGATATAGGATGAAATATAATCTCAGAAAAGTGGTTGTCATTTACTAACATTTTTTTCAGTGGACTTTATGGAGGATCCCGAGAAGTTATGTCCAGCGGCTTTGTTTCATTTTCCCACATTTGTGCACTTTCACAGATATTAAACAGCTAATAAACCACCGTTATTACACATTTAAACCTGAAGAAACACTAAAAAGACAAAATAAAACAAATCACACAGCTTCACTCCTCGCTTTCCCGCCAAAAAGTCAACATAATAGCAAATAAAAAATAAAACAGATTAGTAAAAACAGACAGTATTATCTAATAGGTTGGGGAAAAAGTATTATCGCATTATAGCATGTATGAATAAGCAGGCAAAGAGCGTGGCTTATACAGGCTAGTCTGTCGTAGTTATATTTTTTTATGTCATTAAAAAGCCGGTGTATCTCTTTTTATTGCTTTTTGGGAGTTTTGACGTCAACTCGATGAATAGCACATTGAGTGAGCGTGAATTTCCGCAGACCTTTTATCTTGAAAAAAAGACAGTTATATTAGCCACAGTTTTATTCCAATGCCCCAACAATCGTGAACAACGATTATTGACATTTAATACACAAAACAACACCCATTTATATATTATACATCACAATAAACTATTAAAAAAACATTAAAATAAAACTTCAAGTGACGCTTAACTCGGGTTGCTGCCAAAACTCTGATCATTTAAAATAAGAATAGAGTAATGGTAGGCCATTGAGATTTTTACTAATGGAATCATTAACATCTAAAAATATTAAATAATTCATGGTTTTATTTAAGTAATAATTATTATTACAATATATAAATATAGAATTGAACAAAAATAAACTTAAAAGTCTGTGAATTATAACCATTAGCATTTTTTTTTTATTTATTGTTCAAGTCACAGACAACTCTTTCGTTTGGCAGTATATACTTTACTATAAGGTTTACTATAAGGCTGTATGGGCTAAACCCTTTGCCTATTGACGAATTTAAAAACCATGGCACTTAGTTTTGGGATGTTATCAAATAAGTAATTTATTTTTTTGTAAAACAATGCCAGGGTGAAAGAAATGTTGATACATAAACTAAACAACGTGAAAAAATAAGACATAGTTTTTCAAGTACAAATAGTTTTGACATAAAGTTGGCCCACTTTTGGGCATTGTCCTTTCTATAGTAATGGGATCATGTCTCTACCTACAAGATGGCAAAAAGTTATCGAACAAAATGGTACTTGCATACTTTAGTTAAATGTAAATAAACTATTTTCCTATATTAAAAAATGTTGTGAATTTTCTTACAAAATGCGAAGAAACTTTTCTCCCAACCTATTATGTTACAAATACTAAATAGCTTGTGCTATATATATAATATCTAAGATTTGGCTTTATGGTGTAACACTTTTGCCTTTCCAGTTGGAAAAATAAAACTACAAACTACTACTATTATGCTCTACATAAATAATTATTACTAGAGATTTATTGTTATGACAATGGAAAAAATCAACATTAATTTAAAAAATAAATTCAACGAAAGTGAAGTGAATCCTGTAACTGATATCATTGACTACCTAGTAAGAAGTGCAAATATATCCTTTAAGAATTCCCATGCTAATGAACAACCGGTAAGGACATGTGAGAAACTGCAAATGGCCCTTGAAATTTATAAAAGATCACCTGTAGAATTCCTCATGCAATTCGGAAAATATTTAGCTCCTAATCACATAAAATACTTTGAAAATATCTCTAGCTCCAAAGATCAAACATTTAGGAATTACGTGCACTATTTGAGTGACTATCATTCGGAAACAAGCAGACGCAAGAGGATAAAGAACAGAAGATATAAGGCATTACAAAAAATGAAGATTAAAACTGATTATTTTAGTGAAAAACAAATGATGTACAGAAATCCTCTTTTATATGAACAGTTGGTTGGGCAATATTTAACAGATGAAGAAATAAAAGAAAGAGATCGAATAACTGAAAACGCCAGTTTTCTTAACTTAATATTGGAAACTGTAGATCACAACCACATGAGAGAGGTGAAGAATGTGCAAATGCTCGAAGAAGGTATTCATGAAACACCAGAAGCTTCTGAATTTTCTTTGAATGATAGTACTAATGAAAACATAAATTTTCAACACAAAAGAAAATGGGGTGAATTCACTACCCCAGATACGAAACCTGACTATATTCCAGAAAACAGAAAACACAGAGTTATTAGTGCTCCAGAAAAGAAGTTATTGTATGATGAGTTCCTTCAAGAAATGTATAGCAGCTTTATAGATGGTAATGATATTGACATTGATTATAAAACTATTGATAATGATGAGCAGTATGATGATTTAGAGCAGGAGTCACAAGATGCAGAAGATAAATATTTTGATTCTGAAACAAATGATGTTGAGAACTTAGAAGAACACATGCACCTTGTAGAGGAATATGGTCAAAGTAAAATAAATAATCTTGAAAAAGATGACCCTCTTGATGTGTTTATGGAGCATATATCTAAGAAGTTTCAACTGAATTAAATGATTGTTTACTAATATGAAAAGTTCAATAATATTAAAGTAATTATAATCTTTAGGTTAATTTCCCAACCAATGTCTTTTCTTTTCTCATAAACCATCAACATTATTATCAGTTAAAGTTTCTGTCTAAGTTCAACTAGTAAAAAATGAGATGAGAGATTATTTCATAAGATGCAAAACACTGCTCATCCACACTATTTTCACATACTTTTTTGTTGTGTACCATCCAATTTTGGACTCTTCTGAGCACTATAACATATATTTCTTTAAATGAGGTTTGAAAAGAATCCTCAGCAGTAGGTAGTGACCAAGCGATGTACCTTTGAAGTCACAAGCATTAGAATGAAAAAAATAATTCGCAATAAAAAGTGATAGTATTAAAATACAGAAAAAAATCAGATCGGTCTGTCTTTAATTTTGAATAAAGACTATTTTTTATATTACTTTGTTATTTGTACTGAACAAAAATTTTTATTTTCATTGCAGTAAGCTTAGGTAAGAGTTTTTGGTTGACAGCAACTTGCCTGCGTAAAATAGCAGAAGCACATAGGAATGGCTAGTACTTATGATCAACAAGATAGGTTAGGAATATTTATTGTGTTCATGTGAAGCAGGGCACCTAGTGTTGAGTGGTTACTGGAATCCAAAGATGTTACAACGGGAATGCCACTACCCACCTTTACAATTTCATTGACAATAGTGTGTCATCCACAGAAATGAATTAAATTAACGTGGCTCTGGTAAGTTTGATCTGAATGGCAGATTGGCTCTCTTTTTTTTTGCCTGTAATATTTCCCTCATGAAATAACTTAATTCCAACATTTATGAATCATAGGGCCAAAATCTAAGACATGTGGGCTCCCATATAATGTTATGACACAAGACAGTTTTTTTTAAAACCTCGTATAGTCATATGCTCATCTGTCAATAAGCGCAATAAAAACAATTGTTCGGGCCTAAAGGATAAGAATTTATCATATCATTCAGATATGATAAGATTTTTTTAATGAAATACATATTGACACATATCCACGAATATTTTCCACAATACAAGCAAACTGGCGAAAATTATAATTTGCTTTACTAATAGAGCGTCGATAAGCGTTCCGGCTGGAAGAATGGGACAGTCATTACACAATTTGGTTTTCTTTAGCTTAACACCAGGTGGGCAGTGAGCACTTTCAACCGTTAATCTAAAAAAAGTAGTTAAAAAGTGTATGTATGCAATTTTAAGTATAAAATATATCACTTATTTACTGGTGGTAGGACTTCTTGTGAGCCCGCACGGGTAGGTACCACCGCCCTGCCTGTTTCTGCTGTGAAGCAGTAATGCGTTCCGGTTTGAAGGGTGGAGCAGCCGTTGTAACTATACTGAGACCTTAGAACTTATATCTCAAGGTGGGTGGCGCATATACGTTGTAGTTGTCTATGGGCTCCAGTAACCACTTAACACCAGGTGGGCTGTGAGCTCGTCCAACCTAAGCAATAAAAAAATTATTAGTGATCTCGCGTCAGGTACAGCCAAAATTGCCATCCATTTTTTGTTTCCGGACGTTTCTACATCCTGTTTAAGTCACATTTGATAATTAAAAATAATTTCATGTTAATAATCCGGAGAAGCCTTGATATTGTTCGCTATCTATTTATGCAATTGTTACACAATATTAGTCGTTAAATATAGAAATGTTACATAATATCTTTATTAAATATAGAAATGTTACACAATTAACTACTTTCTTACTATAAACGTATCGAATTAATCGTTTGAAACAAGGTATGCGTTTCACTAACGTCACTTTTCGTTTGCTGTTGGACACTTCCTCTTTCTGGCACGATCGTGGTATGCATACCTACTACGCTTAAAGTGCAAATTTCACATTATACCTACGCGAAATGATTTAGAAATAGCTGAACAATCTAACACTACCTGCTACAAACACTAATACACTATATAGTTCTGTCCCTTAACTGTGTAATGTAGATCATACGGATAGTAATAAGGCGTGACCACCGTTTCATGTTGCATTAACTTAATAAAATATTAAATGAAACAAAACACCAGTCTGCATTAAAAATACTAAAATGCGAACAACATAATAAGACCAATATAAATGCTTTAATATAACTATAACTAAAAAAAGTATTTTCTTCGGTTTTCGAATATAATTTAATGTAGGTACTTTTACACTTTAATCTCGCTTATTTTATTGTCATTATATCATCTTCCGTGACCACGAAAACCTTACAGTATTTGAAAGGTTGGAAATAATATAATGACTATTAATGACACAAAAAAGCCAAGACTAACATTAAAAGTAGCTTTAATTATGTAACTGGAATGTTAATAGAGGTTTTGCCGAAGGGCTTTAAACTCCCCATTAAAAAATGTTTTATCTCTTTTCTTGTCCACGCGTGTATAGTATAGTAACATTCAAGTTATATAATATTAGGGGTTAAAGTATGAAATTTGCCAATTTGTACTGAAAAATTAAAATTGTTTTTTTTTCATTGAACATATTTATTTAATCAAAACATCTACCATTATTATCTATACATTGCTGCCATCTAATAGGAAGGTAATTTATGCCTTTGCGATAGACCTCTGGTAATCTAGATTCTACAAACTGTGTGAAAGCATNATTCAAGTTATATAATATTAGGGGTTAAAGTATGAAATTTGCCAATTTGTACTGAAAAATTAAAATTGTTTTTTTTTCATTGAACATATTTATTTAATCAAAACATCTACCATTATTATCTATACATTGCTGCCATCTAATAGGAAGGTAATTTATGCCTTTGCGATAGACCTCTGGTAATCTAGATTCTACAAACTGTGTGAAAGCATTTTGTACTGCCTCCTGGGAAGAAAACTTTGTATCACGTCAAAAATTGTCGAAATCACGAAAAAAATGGTAGTCCGTGAGGAGCAAGGTCTGGCGAACACGAAGGGTGACTAATGGTTGCTAATTAAAGTTCCTGTAGAGTTAAAACGGTTTCTCGTGCTGTATGAGGTCTCGCGTTATCATAGAGCAATAATGGTGAAGATCGATTCATGAGTCGGGACTGTTTCACTGCAAATTTGCTATTATTGTTCGGTGTTCATTAGCGGTCCCCTCTCCAAACGCAACAATGATATTGCGAGCTGTTCTGCAGCGTTAGTTCGGCGTCGGAATTCGTATTCAAAAACCACTCGTATTTTCGAAGTATCCATGTTTCTTGTCTAAGCTGAATAAGAAAAACAACTGAAAGTCGATAATCGAATGTTGCACATTTTTTAAAAGAAGAGCCTCATAGGTACCATTTGAAAAAAGTTTCACTCAAAAATCTGAAACCATGAAGGTTCTATGTCAATTCGAAGTACCTACCTATTTCAATAGAACGGCAATTTCATACTTTAACTTCTATTATAACTAGCGGACCCGACAGACGTCCTGTGGATGCATACCTACACAAAAATTCACTCAAGTCAATCCAGCCGTTTAGTTGCAGTATACATAAATAACCTAGATACTGACTGCAGCGCCATCTGCCGGGCTGATATTTGAATCTAAACCGGTCCAGCCCTTTAAGGAGGAGTTCAGTGACATACCTACACACGTACAGTAAAATTATATATATGTACCTACATCGGGGAAAACCGAATTTTATTGCTTATGTGGATGGACAAGTTTAAAGCCCACCTGATGTTAAGTGGTTACCGAGGCCCATTAACATCTACGATGTAGATGCCGCCACCCACTTCGATATATGCGTTCAAAGGTCTCAACCTTCGAACGCATATCTACAACGGTTGTTCCACCCTTCAAACCGAAACGCATTACTGCTTCACGCTTAAAATAGACAGGGTGGTGGTGACTACCCGTGCGAACTCATAAGAGGTCCTACCACCAGTAATTACGCAAATTATAATTTTGCGGGTTTGATTTTTATTACATGAAGTTATTCCTTCACCGTGGAAGTGAATCGTGAACATTTGCTAAGTACTTATATCATTAGAAAAATTGGTACCCACCTGCGGGATTCGGACACCGGTGCATCGCAAGATACGAATGCACCAGATGTCTTATCGTTTAGGCCACGACGGCTTCTATGCGTGCCTTACGGCGTCTCGCAACGGCGAAGTCCGAGAACTCGCGCCCTCTCAAATCGGATACGGTAGTAACTATGCCCCCGCCCCGGGGGGGGCCCTCAGGCCGACTCGTGGCGTTCGATGATGATGAAAAAGCAGAGCTGCTGGCCGATAAATTGCAAACCCAGTGCACGCCCAGCACTCAATCCGCGGATCCTGTTCATTTAGAATTAGTAGACAGAGAGGTCTAACGCAGAGCCTCCTTGCCGTTACTAGCCGTCAACCCGATGGAAGTTAAGGATCTAATCAAAGACCTACGTCCTCGCAAGGCTCCCGGTTCCGACGGTATCTATCTATCTATCTAACCGCGTCATTAAACTTCTATGGGCCCAACTCATCGTGATGTTTGCATCTATTTTCAATGCCGTTATGACGAACTGCAACTTTCCCGCGGTGTGGAAAGACGCGGTCGTTATCGGCGTACATAAGCCCGGTAAACCCAAAAATCATCCGACGAGTTACCGCCCGATTAGCCTCCTCATGTATTTAGGCAAACTGTATGAGCGTCTGCTCTACAAACGTTTCACAGACTTCGTCTATTTCAGGGCATTCTCATCGATGAACAATTCGAATTCTATGCAAATCATTTATGCGTACAACAGATGCACCGCTTCATGGAGTACATTATCGTAGGGTTTAACCGACCAAAACTGTCCAAAACCCTTATGTACTTACGGGAGCTCCCTTTTTCGACGTCGCAGAAGCGTTCGACAGTCTGGCACGATTTTTAAACTATTAAACATGGACGTGCCGGACAGTCTCGTGCTCATCATACGGGACTTCCTACGTTTTTATTTATGTTTGAGTTGTAATAAGTGAATTTGCAATAGCTACCGAGCAGCATGACTCCCTGAAGGTAAGACGCATTGTACAGCCAAACGAGAAAGTACTACGGTACCTATTTCAGCTACGAAGCGCACATTTAGAAGAGAAGGTCTTCCACGACTGAAATTGCTCAATAGACTGGTTCGAATATTATTGTTTAGTACTCGTTTATATGTACATTCATGCATATCTTTATACCTAATGTTGTTAGCGCGATTCAGACATTTGCCAAAATAGGGTCTTTTTTAAACCACGGCAATTGGCTTCTTGAAAGCCATTGCTGTCAATGTCGAGTTTATAAAATTCTTCAATTTTTTAATACATACATATTCTATTATATGAAAAATGAGATGAAGTTGATTAATTGGATTAATCAATTGGTACCTATGAAATTTAATATAACGGGACGGATCTAATAATTAATTAAATGAATGATGAGATGGGATGAAATATAGTTTCAGTGAAATAGTGGTTATTTACTGAGACTTGTTCAGTGGAATTTTCGGAAGAACAGAAAAAGCAACGTCCAGCAGCTTCTTTCCTTATCGAGTATTCAAGGGCGGATCCAGCTTTGGCGCCAGGAGGGGGTCACATAGTCAAATTTAGATGCGTTCGTTCCCAAACGTTTGCCGTTATACAATGTTATTATATTATATTAAATTAATTAAATATTGAAGGTATGTAGTTACATAAAATCTGTATGGTGACAAAATATATAAATAAAATCATTATATTCAATTAGTGGTCCACCTAAGTCCTGGACCCAGCTCAGGGGGTGGTCATGACCCCCATGACCCTCCCCCTGGATCCGCCATTGCGAGTATTTGTGTACTTTTACAGATGCTATACAGTTATCAAACCATCGTGAATACACTTTTAAACCTGAAAAAGTACTAAACTAAGAAAATAAACAAATCACACAACATCGTACGCGCGATTCCGACAAAAAGTCACCAAAAATGTTATGTTCTATGATAACTGTTGCTACATTATTAGTACATAATTATAAAACCTTACACAGGATCGAGTTCGAAAAATGCGAATTCATGCCGTCGCTGCACTGTCACAGAATAATTAATGATGTTATTGAAGCGCTGCAAGCCGTCCCAATCTCTGAAATTTACATACAATGTCCGCCCGAGTAGCGGTCCCTAAAATTTATAAAATGAAAATCCCAATCTTTTAAAACGAATATAAGCATTTTTTCTCCGGTACATTTATAAAGTAGGTCACTGGCTGTTAATAAATTTATGACTTGTTCTTTATTTTTAACATTATCTACATTATCGGCACTTGACGTCAACGAATACCATTGATTCAGATAAAAGAAACTGTTACATCCTTAAAGCTTATTCCATTATCGGGTAAATTACTACATATATACCTACAGATTACCTATTCCATTACATAAAAGAAAAAAAAACAACTTTTAACCAAAGGTTCTAAGTAACATTTGTAAAATTTCAAAGATTAGATTAGAATCCTATAAAATCGCAATCTTCTTTTCAAATTTTATGAAAACATTTTCCTGACTTGCTATGATTGTCTATACTGATATTATAAAGAGAAGAGATTTAATTGTTTGTTTGCATTGAATAGGCACTAACTACTGAACCAATTTGAAAAATTATTTCACTGTTGGGAAGCTACACTATCCCCGGCTGACATAGGCTATATATATTACATTTTCAAAAAAGATAAGGATCCTTAGTAAAACTCCAATGTAACCCAATGAGTAAAAAAAATCCTAACATATTCTTTACATCACGTGCGCTGGGAAAAATATTGATGATAGAATAAAATAATGTAACTACTAAGACTTTGCAGAACACATTACTATTTACATAAAATATCGCAACAGCTAACTACGAGTATTATATAAATATCTATAAATATAAATGTCTAACTATTAAATATAGTTGTGCCACAATAAGATAATTAATTTTCCTATTACTCTGTACTGTCTTCTTTTTTGTGTGTACATAAATAAATAAATAAAATAAGTGACTCAATAAATTCTATGACTTTTGTTTTCTATGTATGTATGACCTTTTCAAGAAATACTTATTGAAAATAATAATAAAATAATACCAAACAATTTCATTCAATTAAAAATAAAAGTTCATTAAAATAATAATATTGAGACTTTCGTTATAATTTTCTTTCAGTAACATGACTCAAATAGAAGGCTTTATGTGTGTGTATTATAATTTTTAATTTTGAGTTTTAAATACCCGTGCGAGTCGGGGCGGGTCGCTAGTGTCATTGTCAGTTTTCATTGTGATCAGAGACAAATACTATTTAGTTTCGCACTTTTCATGATAAAGCCTGAATTTTTTTTGGTAGGCCAGACTAGCTGTTGCTACGGTTCTAATCGAAACTTCAACCCGAAAGGCAAAATTCATAAATTTGGGATTGATTCATTACACGATGCACTATATTTCTTCATCATGAAAGTCACTCGTGAACACAATATAATCTATTTAATAATTTAGAAAAGTTTGCAACTTCTTCAGAATTTAACATGACTAAGCTATACTCACAGAGTACACGTCTAATGGACCAAAAAAAGAAATATGTTTTTCACTTAGAAAGTTCAACCCTCCATTTAATAAATTTAATTGTTGTTTAAAAGACTATGGAAATAAATTATTACTCTATGATAACAATTAAGTTATCCATGTCACATTTTTGGCATGAAGCTAAGTAAGTGATTAGATGCGGCTTATTGACGAGCGACAAGGTTATCAAAGCATGGTAATAGTGAAGCGTGCCTGATACGCGAACTAGTCTGGGCGGTCGAAACAAGCTTTATGAATGATTTGAAGAGCTTCTACGAGCCTTCTAGTGTATACAAATGTACGGTATGCACCAGACGCGACATAGACATCGTGCGGTATACGCGCCCGCGCCCGGTTACAATCTTGGTTGCTCGCAACGTGCTCAGATCGGCTAGTGCTAATGATTTAATATAAGCTCCATGATACAAAACAAAAATGAATTGGGTAAGTCTATAAATGTTATCTATTACGAATTTGCCAATGGTTTTCCCCTAAATCTGCAGTTTTTCAATTAAAATTAAAAATTAATAAATGATCGTTTCAAAACCTGGTTCTTATTTATTTTTTCTTAATTGTACCATATTTATTAAATAATTTTCATAAAATTGAAATTATTTTGCAGCGGTATAAAATATACTTAATATTTTCACTTGTGCTTTGTGTTGGATTACTCAATTGTATTTTAAGATCGCGTGTGTTTTGACAAATAAAAAGTATTTTCACTCTACCAATTAATTTCTTCATGGCTCTTTCGTGACAAATAATAAAACTGCAACATGCAGCACCCAACGTAATCCGTCATCTCCATTAATTCATCATAAAATGAGGTTATTAACATTGATTTTGCAATATTTGAATTTTAAGATTAATTTAAATCTTTCAATGCTGTTCTTTGCAAATGTTCTTTTAACGTTTACGTATTTATTTTCCCTTACGGATTTCTAGAAATTTATAAAACAAATTATTAATACTTTATAGCGTAGATGATCGCAATGACAATTTTCTGTTCGAACTTATTTGCTTTTCATTCTTTGCTGTTGATGGTCTCGCGGTTCATTTAGTCATAATTCGTGACCGGATTTCATAGACATCGTAATTTGTATGCTACCTTGACACAAATGGTCTAAATCTCAATTATATTGCTATGCCGGCCATCAATCTACCATTCTGCAAAATTTTAATTTTCCAGATTTGATTTTGTTTCGCAATTTCCTCATAGTGGAGAAGAGGTTCAATAAAAAATGTTAAATACGAACTTACTATAAAAAAGTAGTACCTACATACTTGCCAGGATTTGATTTTGATAATCGCATCACTTAAGATAAGTACAACAGACACATTAAGTTACGATGAATTTAGTAGCGCCCCTCAAGCTACTATAGATAGTTTTATATCATTCGTATGCGCATTAAGCTCATCTATTTTCTTACCTTCATTACTTCAAAACGAAATGCTTCGCTGCAACTGTTTACTTTTTCAGCTACGAATAGGTTTAGTTATTGCAATATCCCGTTGGGTTCCCGGATCCACTATCGGTGCTTTTAGGCTCTTCAAGCACCGGTCACCGTCCTCGTTGAACTAGTCGATCACGATGAAGAGTTCGACGAGCGAACTAGCCCATAAGTACAGCACGCTGAGTTTTTCTCCGGATCTTCTCAATCGGGTCGCGATTTCGATCCGGTGGTAAATTCTGCGAAGCACTGCTCTCGCGAGGGCTCGTGTTGGCAAATTCTCTCAGGTTGAGTCCATGAGCTTACCTATCCGTCCGCGAGAAGCTGGAATAGCCCTTAGGCCAGCGAAAAGGTAGAAAAAAAAGCAAAATCATTTATTTATATTTTTTATTCATATGGAGGTTTATACTAATGTTTATATGTTATTTATAAAATATTTTAAATAAGCTGTCCGTGATCCCAAAAACCTCAGGTATCCAGTGAACTCAAGAAAACAGTTACCACTCCTGATATATTCTAAGGAGATTTAAAAAAGTTGTAACTGTTGCAATCGTGACAGTGTTTGTAGCGTAGGCACATCTTCTGTGACGAAGTGTCGCACCAAGTGCTGTCAGGTCAACGACACACGACGTGTGAAAGTGTTATACCTTTCCTGCTGCACCCACTTTGCTAATACCTGCTGGACAGTAGACACTATGTTGACAATGTAATTTGCTTATACTCACTAAATATAAACTAAGTACTCAATGATTATAATAAACATTGAGTTAATTTAGTAAATAGATTAGTACTAGATGTTACCTAAATAATTTAATCTCGTTTAAAGGCATTAGTTTTTGGATCATGATTTAATCGTTTCCAACTAAAGTAAAGGTACACAGTAAAAAATCAAGTAGGTGATTATAAAATGATATCCAAATAGATCAACGATGAGTGAATAAAAGTTTGTTGAATCATAAAAATCCTTTGTCTGTTGATTTATATTTCTGTGGTTTAGGCAAAGAACAGCGCGTGGGCGTAAAAACGCCCGTGGCGCCACTCGGTCTGAGGCGGCGACGTGTTCTCACGCCCCCGCCCCGCAACCCTCCGCGGTAACTCTCCTTCATCAAATTTAACGTTTATAAAATATATTGCCTTCGAAAACTTTCACTCCCAATATTTTGTTAGTAGGTACGAGTTTTTCGGAAACGCGTGAATAACTCAAGCGTAAACCGGTTAAAGGCGGTGGACGCAGACGTTTTCAAGCGAAGGAGATCCAAAGAACAATAAATTTACGATGTTTGTATTTTGTGCCTAGCATAACTCTTTATTATTTTGAATATTTAAATTCAAGCTACCCGCGTGAAATACGATCAAAAATTGCTTTGGTGCAAGCAAGACTTTATAAGGCATCTAAGTCTCATCAAGTACTTACATAATATGTATGAGCTATGGTAATAGTGAATAGTAATGTAGGTACATTTCGTTTTTAATAAATACGAATTACTATACCTATACCTAATACAAATATGTACGTACGTAAATAAAGCATCTTGATTGTTGATGCACTCTTGGAGCGATCGTGATCGCCGTATGTACGATATAAATTTTGCTGTGGGCTATTCACGTATTAGAATGATTAGGTACCTACAACTTAGTTTATCTGAACATGTAGGAATTTCGCATCATAGAAAGGAAACAGTGAAAGGAAAATACGGAAAATTAGATGTAAAAGACTATGGTATAATTCCCGTCGAGTAGATACTCGCATTAACGATTCGAATCACGCTTCGCTTTCACTGCGGCACCACGCGTGTCCTGACGGCTTTAACTTTTTACCAATATGTACTGTTTAGGCTTTCACGAAAATTCCATCACTCCTGTTCATTTTGTTAATAAATCTGATTCTTCAGGAAGAAATTGTTTAGCAAAGCTAAGCTTTAATTTGATATAAGTTGTCTTTGCTGCCGTGTCTACATTTTACTAGGTGTATAAGTCCCAGGTTTGATTATTATAAGCCATAGCAAGTTCATATTTCCAATTATTTATCACGTCTACAACCCAATCTACTCGAGGTAATAAAATTACTCCACCATAATTAATCTGTAATAATATTCTCATCTTTTTTTCTTTTAAATCCTATCTCTAATTCTTATCTCAGTACAGATACGTACTGTGAGTGAGCACGGCTTAGTCGCACGTTTTGTCTATTTCCGCTGTGATACAAACAAATATTCCAGTTTAAATCTATTTAGATTAAAATGAATTGCTGTTCGTTAGTCTCGCTAAAACTCGAGAACGGCTTGGCTAATTTTGGCCTTGAATTATTTGTGGAAGTCCAGAGAAGGTTTAAAAGTTAAATAAATATGAAAATGCTCGGAATTAAATAAAAATAACGATTTTATTTCTCTTTTGATGTGTCCCCCGTCGGACGGATTTCTTTTATTTGAGGCACTACGAAGTCTGCGGGGTCAGCTAGTAGTAAATAAAATAGTTGTTATTTTCTTGGAACCTTGGCACCGGAGGCTACCGAACTAATGTAATTAAATAAAAATCCAAAACAATGTTGATTAAAACTTTGGTAATTAGCATTTCTTGTTTTTATAGTGACCAAAAAAAAACTGCCAATATTGTATGTATGAGCAGCAGAGTGCTCTAATTGGATGCAATGAAAATCATGTGACATGATGATCGTTAACGAAACAAATTAACAACGATTTCTGAAAAGCGCCGAGCGGCTCATTACATTTTAAATCGGAAACGTATATTATAATGAAGTCGAAGCCCCATATTCGACCGATCTTAAAAACGAATAGGTGATGGACGATGGCACGATAACATTATTTATAGCTTCAATTTTACTCAAATTTCGTATTACGATTCAAGCGGCATTAAGTCGGACCGGGTCCCTTTGACAATAGTGTTAGTACTAAAAACCTCTAATACCACACTTGCATAGTTCATGATTGGATGTATACAGGTTTTGTACTTTTCTTATTAGGAAATAATTCACTACTCCGCTGGCAGATCATCGGCTTATTCCGATATGCTTTTTTTTAAGGATATAACAGATATTTAACTTTCCTGTCCCAAGTTTTTTTTGGCCAAATGTATTGTTTTTTTAGAGTAAAGAAACATCATTCATGTTCTGTATGTTTTTATTGAGTTTTATTCACACAGATTCATTCATTCAACGTCAAACGGCAACGTGCCGAAATATAAGGTGGAAATCACAGTAGGCCGTATTGCAATACTGCTATACTCTATACTATTCAGATCGGAACGTGAGCTTAAAATACAGGCATTAAAATATGGGATTGATAGACTACCAGTGCCAATAGAACAGAAAAATAATAATATGAATTTCGACCGTAATGAAGGATGGGATAAAGGATAATTCAAAATTACCAATTTTCCTTTAATTCAATTTCAGAACAAGGAGAGCTGCGTAATGTTGTTCATCGTTTCATCAGTGGTCGCGTTAGGATCAAGTTAGTATCAACACAATATATTATTCTTAGCTTAAAACAATTTTTTCCAGATATATTTTTTATTATATAGATGGGCGATTAATTCAGAGGCCATATTGTGTTACGTGATATCACAACGTGAATAGCGCGATGCGTCTTGAGACTTGCGGTAGAAGAAGAAGTCGTCGTGGCCTAAAGGATAAGACGTCCGGTGCGTTCGTATCTTGCGATGCAACGGTGTTCGAATTCCGCAGGCAGGTACCAATTTCTATTTAAATACGTACTTAACAAATGTTCACGATTGACTTCCACGGTGAAGGATAACATCGTGTAATAAAAACCAAACCCGAAAACTATAATTTACGTAATTAACGGTGGTAGGACCTCTTGTGAGTCCGCACGGGTAGAGTATGCAATAAAAAAAAATAAAAAGTCATATAATTTATTTATGGATAGAAGTCTCAATGTAAATGTAACAACATTTCTTTAGGATTCCATACTCGGAGACCGCAAGCAATTACGCAAACTTCCACGCCGCCGTCGCCATTAGCAATGTAAATATATTGTTAGCAGAGTAACGACGGTAACCATTGGCGTACATACATTACGGTATGCACTTGAGGACTTTCAAAAAAACTTAACTAGATACTGTACTGAGACCTTAGAACTCATATCTCACGGTGGGTGGTGTCATTTACGTTGTAGATGTCTATGGGCCCCGGTAACCACTTAACACTATGTGGGCCGTGAGCGCGTCCACCCACCTAAGCAATAAATAAAAAAACTGGTATATTCTAGGTCTTGCACCTGCGTCTTTTCATAGGAATAGCAGGCACAATGTCGCTGTGTCACGAGGGTTCCGAAATATTTCTAAATTCACTTCCAAAATCAATAGATCTTGTTTACTCACGCTGCTATTTTTACTTACATACATTTGTTTCCAGCTAACGCGGCCGAAGCTCACAGCAGTAGCTTGATCTCGAATTTTTCTCCCCGAATGGATTTTGATCAATGGAAACCTTTAACTGGTCGTGGAGACCCTTTAAGAAACGATCCGACCTATGATTATGAACCTCCTATTCTCGAAAGAGTTCATTATTGGGCTGATGATACTAGGGTCGAACGTGATCATTATCCAGAACGAAAATCTGAAATTTTAATGTTAGGGGTTTCTTCACGAAAACCGAGCATAGCAGCAACACACCCGCCACAACAAACCAGGAGACCGCTAATAAGACCAACTACTCCTAAGTACGAAGATTTTGCCTACAATCTTAGCGAAAATTATCCGATGACAATACTTGTACCACCTCCACCGCCACCTCTAGGACATCAACCATCACTCTTCATATTGACAGAAAACAATTTGCCAACCATAAGCAGTCAAATGAAACAGCCTAAGCCACCAAAATTTTTCTCGAAAAATTCAACAACGCGACCTGAAATGATTACATCATCGTATGCGTTACAAGAATCCAATTTAATTTTTCAATCCTCAACAACTGAAAATTGGCTGGTTGACTCTAACAAAACGCTGCCTCCGTTAAGTAACACTGTGAGTAGCGACTATGCTGGATGGGGTCCAACAACACCTATTGAGGAAAATAGTACAGTTAATGAAACACAGAATCTTATTCAAACGGAACGTTTGAAAGTGGTTGAATTACCATTTAAATTTTATACACCAATGTTGTCAGAATCACCGCCACCAGCAAAGGTTGCATCTAGTCCGGCAGTCTTACCGACATTTTTACCGACTGTTTTACCATCCACAGAAATGGAAACAACACCCTTCACACAAGTAACTTGGCCAACTGAACAGGCCACTTATGAAACTACTCCAAAATATGACAGTTCCGAAGAAGACACGAATAAAAAGCATACATCCGAACTTCAAGCTACTCCACACACACAAGATTTAAAGCTTAAACCAGAAATTAGTTTATTGAATATGCTTGGTCCAATGATGTCTATGCCTATGATAAATGGGCCGGAAAGACCAGAAGACAATCTTTATGCTCACGCAACAGGAAACAGACAAGTGTATCAGATTCACGAAAAAGAAAACATTGTAAATCTAGAAACTATGCAAACTTTGCAACCACCACCACGGACTACAATTAGTGAGATTGAAACCGAGGATAAGCAACAGCAAACATTTTACAACCAAAACTTTAGGAAACCATCTGTACATACTCACGATCCTTATTTACACATGCGTTATACACCGCCAATATCAACATTAATAGATGTGGACAATAAAGACAAACAGAAATCTACAACGGAATCACCAACAACTCCAATGAACTTAATTATACAAGGTCATTCGAAGGTCAAAACCTATAGTTCCAAACCGAATCCCGTTAATGAGTATCACGATTTCAAAAACGAAATTCCAAAACCAAACGAAACAACTGAAGTGAAACATCTGCATCCATTTAAAGATAAAAGTTCTAAAAAGATTATCTCTGAAAACATAAGCAAAAAGAACAGAGCAAAGAATCTGAGAACATTACTAGATCGAGGACTAGGATCCGTCGAAATTCAAGAAGCAGATGTCGGTATAAAATACGATGTTAGTGATGGGAGTGACGTACCTGTCGAAATCTATAAGAAAGGGATAGTTGATAACGATGAAAATGCTTATAAGCTATACAGCAAATCATCTAATGAAATTCGGCCAAGAAGGCAAATCGATCTTGAAAATATTTTTCCTGGAGACGATGATAGTTTTGAAGAACTCTTAATCAGTTTCTTCGAAAACAATAATGCATTAAAGAGTAAAAAGGTGACTAAAAATGTTAATAATGGTCAAATTAGTACCGGGATTAATATCCCTATAGGCGATGGAGTGACCGATAGAGAAGAAGAAAGTGAGAGATGAGTTTGGTTTATAAGTTGTTCAATGTTTCTTATAAACACCTGGCAAATATATATTTTTTTTTTATCCCCACCGACGTGAATTGTTTTTTTATCTAAAACCTATTCTAATTGCTTATATTCAAAGTACCTATTAATCATATTCCCAAATCAGCTTCATTAAAGTTCACAAAAAAAGACATTAAAATCTAACGAACGAAGTAACTTGTAAAAAAGTTGTTATTTTATTACATTTTAACTATTTATTATTTTATTCGTGAATGGAATTTTATAATTTATGTATTAGTTAAGTACATTAAAATAAATTTCTTACCATAAGGCCTTCCAGTTATTACTATCACCGGCTCTCCTTCCTAGAATTTGTTTTTTTCTTGAAAAGGCGTAGATCTATAGATCGGTGACAATTTTCCATTTTTCTAATTATGTAGGTTTAGATCGCTTCTCTGCAAAAAACAGACTTGCAACGCAGCGGACGCGGCCCACTGACACACACATTTCTTACCGTCCTTTTCGTAGAAATAGACATAGGCACCTCAGATGAAACGAAAGTAGCTCATAGATTAACAAAGTAACATTTATTGCAATGCTATAGGTACTTTTGATACAGTTTCATAAATAAAGCAAGAGATGTTCAGAGTNTTTAGATCGCTTCTCTGCAAAAAACAGACTTGCAACGCAGCGGACGCGGCCCACTGACACACACATTTCTTACCGTCCTTTTCGTAGAAATAGACATAGGCACCTCAGATGAAACGAAAGTAGCTCATAGATTAACAAAGTAACATTTATTGCAATGCTATAGGTACTTTTGATACAGTTTCATAAATAAAGCAAGAGATGTTCAGAGTTACAGATTTAATTTATTCAACAAATTAATAAGTTACGAGTTAATAATAAGTATCTAAATTTGATAGTATAGTAGTGATACACTAAGTACTAATTCTAGCTGGTAAGGATTTACGGAGTTTCCTGAATTACACCAATCCGCTTTACAAAGACAAACTTTATACTCAGCATCAGCAAGCCTAAAAAAGGAAAAAGGTTTAAAAAAATCACCGCTGATTAAATACATACAGTAACTTATTTAAGAAAAGGTGGAAAGTTTTTTTCCTATAAGCGCTAAATCTGGACCACGAGCAATGTTTTGAAAAATTAGTAAGAATTTCAATATATTGCTGGATGCTTAACGTCACACAACGAACACAATTCATTGTGTGTATGTACAATGCGTTTTTATTGCATACATGGGCGAACAAATTCACGGCCTATCTGTAGTCAAGCTGGAACACATAAATTCTTCGTGGCAGAATTAGGCAGGAGTGTGGCAACTGCGGGATCACATAAAAATTCAAGTAAAATATCAGTCCCATAAGTTAAGCAAAGTTTGTTACTGATAAGAGCCTCGTTGCCTCGTGAGCCTACTAAAATTGCTGATTATCACTACCGTATAATCAGCTATTGATAGTTAAATTCCAAATAGTTATATTTTCTTTTAGATACCCATTTAGTGAAATACGGATCTTAGCATCCTCTCGGAAATTTAAGAAGTACGTGAGTAGGTATCCCTAGTGGTAAGTAAGTAAGTGGATATTGTATGATAGACAGCAGGTTACCATTGACGATGTTCATAGGCGGCAGTGACCGTTTACAATCAGTTTATCTGTCCGCTCCGCTATCTTCGACAGTAATACATAAATAATCATTAATAATGCTCACAGTTTCTGTGAAGCCATTCAAGACTCGGTATGAACCAGGGTTACTTAATGTGAAAAAAGTTAGGTACCTTTCGTGTTTACATGTCATAGCTCTTGTGGGTAAAGACATTGAATGCGGTAAGGCGTCGTTTTTACTGGGTAGATAACAGCCTCGTTGAACCAACCACGAATTATGTGCCCTTGCCATCCATGATCTTACGAAGCACATGGCATTTTCTGTCAAAGAAACATATCGGATATTCCTTCTCGTTAATTGAGATAAACTCAATATATGAAGTTTAGATTGATTTGACATAGGTACAGTTTAACGACTGGCGGCCACACTGACGACAATCATCCACGGGAAAGGTAAGCGTATTATTGGCTAAACGGGATATGAATTCGTTAGACAACATTACTCCGGACGAATGTTGAAAAACATGATCGATAGCCGAACAAGCTTTTGTCGCCTCACCGATATATTTTTTTTTTCGATATGGGTTTTGACATTTTAACAAGATCGCAAGTTTGAGATTTTAATTAGTTAAATGAATGGATGCATAAGGCCACTTGAGATGCACACCGAGCTTGACACATAATCAAACGCAAATAAATATTTTTCATCAAAATAAGTAACCTACCTTCTGAACAGTTAACTAAGAAATGTCTTGTGCTATTAAACAATAAAACCGAGTGAACAAAATCACCACCACATCCATTCCATTCATTCTGAGTGGCAGAACAATTATAACACAGCAATGATACACTTGTTTTTATACAACAAAACATCAACAACAGAACAATATGTTGAAGAGATTTTAAAGAAGTATAATAAACTTTTTTGTCCATTATTCATACCCAATAATAATAATCAGGTATCATAATGTGTATTATACACAAAAGTGCAAACAATGTAAAGATTTATTATGCTTTATTTTGATGCTCAGAATTGTTCAATCAAATCAAGTTAGTTTAAAGGTGAATTATCTATGTTGAAAAGAACCTTCTTTCCAAAGAAAAGCCAACATACAAAACGTTACAACTTCATTGCTTTACGTCATTTTACGCAGAGGCTGTTTGAGGTGTAGGTTCCAATCGGAAAGCCAATGGTTTTACGTGTGAGAATTGGTAGTGGTTATAATCCTTAGATCAATTATTCTTTTTGCGTATGACCCACCTACGATTCAAGTATCCAAAGAGAATATAACTAACAAGTAAACTGCGTTACAAAACTTAACATCAATACAAATATGTTTTGCAAAAAAGTTTTGCATTAACCGCCTTACTAAAGAGTTTAGTGAATAAATGTGTACTCAGTTAATATTAAATCTATTTAGGAACCTACTCTACAGAGATCTTCTGCGAGTGCACTATCTCGGAGAAGGAGGTAGCGAGGCGCGTGAGAGATGCACAAGCCCGCCGCCGTCGAGCGGGGGCCAGTGAGGCGGATATCGCCTAAGCCCTGGCCCTGTAAGTGTTTTAGGTCCCCCTCGTATGTCAGTCTGGGGACCAGCGTGGGGGTCCTAAGAAGACGACTATCCAGCTGCTCTTCAAGCGTTTTACGGAAGAGCATCCGGGTGATGAAAGACCGGCTATCTTCGGCCCACGCTGTTTCTGACCCAGCGGGGTATTCCGTGGGATAACCCCTTCTAACCGGCGGCTTCGGATAGCCTGCAGACGGAGAGGGCTGCTGGTCGTGGCGCCGACCGCCGGTCCGGCGTCCCGAGGGGGAGGATGATGGGAGAGATGTGCTCCTCACTAAACGCTTTACTTTCCCCCTTTGCTTTTTCATAAGTTCTATCTCATTCAGTTCGGACGTGGGTTGTTGAGCGACAGGAGGTTATACTCGGTTCGACTCCGACATGTCCCGCCCTCCGTCCCCAGTGGAGGGCGGAAGTCAGGCGATTTCCTCCTTACCCAAAAATAACCCTACAGAGATCTGTAAATAAACACACATATACACATAGACATTTCAGAGCTGTGTAGGTAACCGTGGTATACTTTAAATTGGCCCCATTTGTCGCCTGCTTAGCTTCAGCCTTCCGTAGGAAAACATGATAGGAATCAGTGGGATAGATGGGTAGATGATAAGATTCATCAATACATATTTTGCGAGTATACTGTTTTAGGTAGTACAAGCTTGGCCTCATGGTGTGTCTAAATTTGTGGGACTTCCCAACTTTTTTTGCTATAGATGGGTAATGGCCGAGCTCACCACCGGTTCACAGCTGGTAACTGCAGCCCAAAAATAACACAATGTAATTACGGTCGCCCGCATTCTCAGTTGTTATTTTGTATTGCTTAGATGTATGAGTGAGGGTTGATCTGTTGAAAGGCACGAGACTCCATTGGATGCGGGCAGCGGAGGACCGGTCATTATGACCAACCTTGGGGAGGTCTATGTCCAGCAGTGGATGTCTATGGGCTGATGATGATAAGTGTTAAGTGGTTGAGGTCGAAATCTCGATTCTATTATAAACTATTTCTCCCTACACACTGGTATGAATAAATGATTCCTGACAAAAATAAGCAGGTACTCAGTACCTACAAGTACGCGGAAACAATACGCCCTATCACGAGTAAATCTCGGTAGGCGTTTGACGCGCGCTGGTTTAATACAGGGAATACTGTTGTCCATCCTCCGGTGAAACCTTTAGTCGCCATTGACGACATGAGAAGAGATGAGGTGTTGCTTTATCCCACAAAGCCAAAAATCCCACAAAGTTCGACTGGTATTGTAATAATAGCGCATCTTATCATTCAGACTTCTTCTGCCAATCTTTTCTTTGGATTTTTCGCACATTCGACCCATAGTTGCTCTAACATTTAGAACTAATTGTAAAATATTTTTTGAGCTTAATTATTAGTACCTATTTTTAATTATTAAAATTTTGTTATGTACTCTTTGCCATAAATGGGTTAAGCTTAAGCTTAAAGGTGGCTACCGGAGCCCAAACCTATCATCACTTGAGGCCTATAAAATCAAACGCAGCTAAATCCAAGTCTGTCAAATATTCAGGTAAACTACAAAAATCCGCCCTAAACACGTCATTACGGATCCTCCCGATTCATCGAAGTAGGTACTGCTCTTGCTAGGGCCAGTGTTAGCAACACTCCCGGTTTGAGAAACTGAAATAACTTTGTTCAGATAGCTACGATATTCTTTATTTTAAAGCAGATTTATAAAGAATGAGAATATTGCTAATAATCTGAATTTTAAATGATAAAACTTCGTTTATTAGTACTTAGTACAGAGTAAAAATTAAATTTTTGAACTGAATTTGTTAGAGATTTAGCTGCATTTGTTATCATGAAAACACTAAAGCGTGTTCAACTAACTAAACAAGATAGGGCCATTGTTAATCCATTTTACGACATTAAGGCGTTTAGCTGCCTTTGATTTTATAGGCCTCACTTCATATCGCCCTTGCTTGGAAGAGCGGGTCTAAAATTTTGAGAACTTTAATCTCTATGAGGTTTCAATTTTTATTGTACAAAGGCGGTCGTCCCATAATTTAAACTGCAACACATGACTGCAATAGGCTAGATGTTGGTACTTACCGGTCGTCTCAATACGGTTTATGACTAGTAATCACACAAATTTGATAATTTTCGGGTTTCGATTTACCTGAACACGAAATGGTTAGAGAACAACGCATCCGAAATATTGCTTTGCGGTCGGAATTAAAAATTACTTTAGAGTTCAGAGGGTCTTCACCATACTTCCTATAAGAAAATGTTCCGTTGAAACATAACAAAGATTTAGTTAAAACAATTGTTTCTAAAATATTTATGACTATTATGGGTTTCAAAACACACATAGCACGTTATTAAAATTCATAATTTAAATGACATCTTCATGGCCAACTAAATAACTTTAAAAGTGCGCACTATGTAGGTGCCATACTTTCGACGACCTAAAAGGATTAGCTTATAAATAAAATAATAACAGTTATGTAAATTCTTCAAATAATGTATTTCGTAGTTTTCATAAATTGGTATCTAACCACTATCGGTGAGGTAATAACTCTCTCGAAACCGTCTTCGTGAGCTACCTACATTCTAAATTTACAATCTAACCAAGAATTTTGCGGGAATCAAACACACCGAGAACGATACAATCAACATAATATTAAGATTAAATGTGTCCAATACAAGGCAATAGTACTTAAATGCAAATATTTTTATATGCTCTGTCCACAGGCATACCACACCGCTGCACAAACTCGACAAATCTTTTAAGTAATTTACCCTTTAACATCAAAATTTATAAATTGCTGTAGCAATAACAAATTGATAATGATGAGTCAGCACTAGGGATAAAAGAAACATTCTTTCTTAAGCACAACTATTACCCAAAAATGTATTATTAAATTCCCTAGAAACCACAGTGCCTAAATTACTAGGACCAAAAGATTGAAATTTCAATATTTTTAATGTGGATCTTTTCATAGTACCTCATATTTCATTCTTCCCATTTTCGTACATAAAATATGTCAAAATATTCAATATATATTTTAGAGAAGTAAAAATCTTTGACCTATGAAAAAAACACAATTCAGTCCAAATAACTAATAATTTACCATATCTACTAATACAACATTTTTTTCTTTAACAGCATACATTTTAGATAAATAGATTAGTAAAAACATTTTAATAAAAGGTTGGTTCATTTAATCTATTTATCTTTTATACAAATTTATTATTATTATCATCGTCTAAAATTTTATGTTAAGAATTACAAAATAAAGATGACAACAATAATAATACCAATCTTCAAGTGTAGCAAACAAACAATTTTATTCCTCAAAGCACAAAGTAAATAGATGTCTACTTAAATACAACAAGTGATATATTACCAATTTGCTTCATTACATGTTGTACTGTTGATGAATAAAAGAATGTTTTGTATTAAGAAAAAACACTGCTATGCTAATAGCACTGAGGTTGAGAGCATAATTAAAAATTAGAAGAACCAGAGCAACAGCCCTTCTGGTAGTATTTTTTATTGTTTATTTTAATATTCTATTCAAAAAAATTAGTCCCATAACATAAATGTTGATTGAACTAATATCGAATGGGTCCATTCTGCTCAGTAATTATTATTATTTTATTTGAATTTAAAAGTATACATTTGAAAAAAAAATATATTTTTATGAAGCACAACAACATAAGAATTTTTTAGGCAAGTCTGAATTATTCTTGGTGTTGTAGCTACCAACGAGAACATCTCTGGCACTTATGAAATGAACATTTAATGAACTTAATATTCTCGTCAAGGTTGTGGAAAGCTTATTTTGAATCTGTTTAGCTCACTGTCCAGTCTAGACCCCAACGCTCGGAGACCTTGAGCTGAGCTGCAGCTGCATCTTTCAATGAAAACAAATGAGTCATTTCTAGTTCAGTTTTAGCTAATGCAATGGCCTTTTCAAACAATTCTAGTGATCTTCTTAGGTTTCCCCTGGAAATAAAAAATAAACATTATGTAACTCACTTGCATCTGCTTACTTGAAAACCTACAACAGTATTTTGAGATATGACTCAATCATTCAATATTTAAATAAGAATGTATAAGTATTATTACGAAATAAAATACAAACTTCCTATCTTAGATTGTTACATGCTTAGTGATAAATACTTGATAACAAAATTGTCAATAGTTTTCATAAGATACATTTCAAAGTTATTTTTAAGCTTATTATATAACAGAAATACTGTTAAGATGTGTTAAAAAAAAGATTATATTAGAGTAAAATTATCTAGATACCTTTGTACTTCAATGGTGCCCAAGGTTTCATAGGCAAAGTCACATTTGTCATCCATCTCGATTGCTTTATTTATCAATTTAACAGCTTTATCAAAATCTGTGCTCTTTTGTAATTGAACAAGTCCCTTATGGACATACAGAGTAGCATTATTTGGATCTACAGCAAGTGCAGCATCAAACAATGCTTCAGCTCGACCCCACTCTTGTTGATCTGACAAAACTTGTGCATACAAAATATAAGCTTCAGCACATCTAGGAAATCTTTCCAAAGCACTTTCAAAATCTGCTCTGACTTGAACCAAAGCACCAACATTCTTATTAATCTGTGCATGTCTATAGTCAGCATAACATTTTTGAATATAGGCAATGGAAAAATCTGGATTAAGTTCTACAGCTTTAGCAAATTCAGCAGTTGCCTCATCCATTCTCTCTAATAATAAATACACTTGTCCTCGGTGATGATAAATGTCAGAATTGTTAGGATCTAGCTGTGCGGCCTGAGCAAAATCTTCTAAGCAACGTTCTGTATTTTCGAGCTGAGTAAAAAGTGAAGCTCGTTTAATGAAAGCATTGACTTTGACTTTTGTAGGAGCATCACTTTCAATAACTTTTCCAAGATCTGCCTGAGCTTCTTCATGTCTACCTAGCAATAGGTAAAAGGTTGCACGCAGCAATAAAGCTTCATTTTTAAAAATTCCTTCTGCATCTATTTCTTCAGTACAAGCATCAACAATTGATTCATAATCTAAATTGTCAAGGGCTTTCCTAGCTTTAGCAAATCCATCAGTTTCATCATCCACTTTTATTTTTGCAATAGGGTCCTCTGAGAATGCAGAAAAGTATGTTTTGATAAAATGTTTTGAAGGCATGACTGGGCTGCGTTTAGCAAGTGCTTCTCGGGCATGCTGTCGGCCTAATGCTTTAAGAATACGATCAGCATTTACTAAGGAACTCTGAACTTGGAATCTCTCGAGGATACATGCAGATGTTACATCTTCAAGAGCAAGCACAAGATCGCCACTTTTTTCCGCAGCACGAGATCGACGCAGAAATGCTTTTACATACTTTTCGTTAAGTTTTAATGCAAAAGTGCAATCTTCTTTAACTTGTTCCCACATTTCTCGTTTTTCATAACAAGCAGAGCGGTTTTGGTAAAATGTAGCAAGATCGACAGGACGGTCTGGGGGGCATGCTTCAATTGCTTCATTGTATAAAGCAATGGCTTTGTCATATTCTCCAGCATGAAAAGCCCGGTTACCAGCACCTTTTAGTTTCATGGCGCGTTCTATGGCACTTTCGGATACCTTAGTAGTGTTTTCTTCATTATCCAAAGATATTGTCGTTTTTGCTTTAAGTTCTGATGCTTTCTTCTTTTCTGGGTCTTCTAATCTATTTCTTAGGTAAAGGTAACCTAAGCCGATAGCTATAGGTGCACCGAGAAGGATTGCCAATTGCCATTTCGGAAATGGTGTACTACCGGTAGAAGCCATATCCTCAAATTGTCACTCGGTTTAAGCAAACATTAAATCGAACGTTTGTTCGTAAATAACTTAGTTAATATTGTTTTATAGTTTTAAAGAATTTTGCTACATTTCCTTTTTTCTTTACATCTCCTCGACATCCCGTGCACGAACGTACATAGACCAGAGATTTTTAAACCATAGATTTTTTTATTGAATTCATTCACAGAGTACACAAAAGAAAAGGAGCGCATAGAGCCAACTCTTTTGTGATAAAATCTAACGCCATGTCTTTGATATGAAAAATGAAATGGGACCTTTCGGTCATTTAAATCAATTCAGATATATAAATTAACGAAATGCAATTAAACGTTAAAAAAATAAATTGTAGGCAGTGGCTTGACTTCGGCCCTGGCATTGCTGAAGTCTATGCGCGACTGGGCGACAGTAACTACTCACCATCAGGTGGCCCGTATGCAATAAAAAAAAGATAAAAAACCCTGTAGGTGTTTTATCAAATAATCTCACAGTAAAATATGTAATAAACTTTGAAAGAATTTGAAAAACGTAATCAATTTTGTATAATTTATGCACTTGCATCAGTGTGGGGAAATTAAAGTTTACACGGCCCAACAACGTTGTCTTATCTCTCCTGATTCAATTCCATTTTGTTCACTACAATATTCACTTTTCACATAACAGACGTAGCTTCGACCTCTATTACAAAAGTTTGATCTGTATGAGAATATGACAACGTACCTTTTGTCATCCATTTTTTAGATGGAAGGATTACTGCTGGTCTTTTCTGTTTCTATAGGACAGGCGGGTGAGCACGGACTATGTTCAATGAGCGAATCGAATGAAAAAACATCATCAGGACAATGTCACCAAGAATTGAAACAAAAATGGTGTGACTTGTTGGACGGTTAAATTTGAGGGGATTGGGTTCTGTAGGTGATGAGGGGCTATTTAAAAACACACTGCTTCATTATAATTATATTGCAGATAGTTTGAACACTGTTACACCATTATAAAATTATTATCTTTATATTTTTATAAAACTATTATATGTTTCTTTGACCGTGTCAAGATGAGAAGTACTGACTTTTCTTAGGATAATACAATTATCTGTTTTTTAAACATTTAAAATAATTCTAAAATTCGAAATCTGTAATCATGTGTCAAGTGTTGCCTACCATTACATTTATATTCAAACTCCAACATGACTTTTTAGGTTCTTCAAAAAAGCTTACGGAAATTTCAGTAAATGGCCTCTATTTTACTAAGATTTTATTTCATTTCATCTAATCTCGTTTCATATAATTTCATCCTAATTGATTAGTTTTAAGTAAATTAATTTGACCTTTTTTCTCTCTATCTCATTTTTCAATATTACAAAAGAGTTAAGACGGTATGGTACAAAATCATCGTCTTTCCTGTTGGAAAAATGGAACTGTCACCAAAAAAAATGTCAGTTAACACCACAGAGTAAAATAATTTAGTGTGAGTGAAGCCTTGATTTCCTCTAAAAGTACATAATTTGAATATATTTTAATTATTATATTATTTTTATTATTATAAACATTGCAAGTTTTTGTGTGACGTACATACAATAAGAAAAATTAAAATTGATGCACTTTGAGAGAACATGTATTCAAACATGCTTCGAAATAATTTAAAAAATTTGGTAATACAATTTATTATTTATTAACAACGATTGTTTGTTTTTAAGTTCCTTATAAACTGAAATGAATCCTTTATAATTTTCATAAATATTTATTCGAAGGGTTGTGTTTCAGATAAAAAGTTGTCGGAGTGTACAACTTAAAATAATAGATTCTGTTGGGACAAATCATATAATAACAAATCAAAGAAGATTTAAAAGTGACCTATATGAACCTGATTACCTGATTGTATGTATACATATTTTTTTTTTTGTAACTTGAAAATAAAAAGTATCTAAAGTATCTGTCTTTCAACAGAGCTTACAACCTGATGAGCCAGTCTATGACTGTTTGAACTTGCAACTTAAAGGTTATGATTATGCTATATTGGAAGCATGCCAAAGTCAGATCCATAGATATGCTGAAGTGATGGGATTACAAGTAGAGGACTGGTATGGTATATTTCTAGAATTACCAATATTGATTGATGTTAATGTTCACTTTGTGTTGAGGATGTGTAAATAGCAGGCTACATGTTCAATAAAAGTTGTCGAGCCAAACTACAGCATATATTCAATTATGGAATTACACTTCTAGTTTACAGCTTATATCATTATGTTTTTGCACAGAAAGTCTTATCTCATTTCCTTAATTTTTATACAGCACTAATTTGAAGGAGGTGATTTTAGGAAGGTGTCTGACACCCATGTGCTTAAGACCGTAATTGCAGAGTAACGGGGTGCACTCAACTGCGAGCTGGGGCAATAAATGGTTAAACTGAGATTTTTCGCGGCACCAGTCTGTTTGTGTTCCAACAAAAGTAACAAATTTAAATTGTAACATAGTCCATATTGCTTTTGGTAGTCCAATTACACAAATCATACAATAAATAGGGCTTTCACTAAAAACTTTTTGTACAGTTGGGCGACACCTGCTCAGCAGTTAAAGGTACAACGGTTCAAGCCAAGTAGTACTGCTCTAGATGCTGAATACCAATTGAATGTATATGAGCGCAATGTTCAGGTAAATTTCAAATACAATATAAAATTGTCATGTAACTGTAACACTGATTAAAATGGTCTTAATCATATAACTAAGCAATGAAGATTACCAATAACATCTTTGCTCTCTCTTTCAATAGAATCTTCTTTTTTAAAGCTTTAATACAGCTTCCTTAGTTTACATCAGTGATTCTCAACCTTTTTTTCGTTGCGGCACATATTTAACGATTTCAAAATTTGGCGGCACACAAAAAAAAAAGATAAAAATTATTTACTTACTACAACACACTGCATAAATAGTTTATAAAAAAAAAAAACTTCAGAGGTGTCAAGGGACACCCGGATGGAACGTAGTTCCTTTCGATTAATTAGTGAAGGAATTGTAATTATTTTTTTTAAGTTATAATAATAAATTACGGCGTTATGAAGAAGAAAAAAACAATACTATGAACTAAATTACTATTGTTGAAACGCTATCTCGAGAAACTGTACTCATTACGCGGACCAATCGGATACGAGCAATGTCACGCGATAAGCGCCTACACGTTGATTGGTCAGAATGACGTCTAAAAAGTGTCGTGACAACTTTTCGTAAGAATTTTTTCCGTCTAGCCCCCTTTCACAACGCGCGATAAGGAACTTCGTTCCAAAAATTTTAATATACGAAATAAACTAAAACATACTATAATTTTTTTTTATTAACATTATTATATATTCGCAAAATTTGGCGGCACACAAAAGTGCCGCGGAACAGTGGTTGAGAATCACTGGTTTACATATTCTTGAGTAGGAATGATCACAATGATAATAGTTTAATGATTTTCAAGTTTATAATTTTTTGTAATTGCTGGTATGTTTGTATTTCTTTCTGTTTCGGAAGAATCACACTATCCACTATAAATTTACCACCTCACCGGCTAAGCTATAGACTATCCACAGCATTAAACAAACCTTGATAGATATGTCAAATTATGTCTTGATATAATAATTTTCATTTTAGGTTGTTGATGTTCCTGCATGGGCTTTGGGTACTCTGCTTCGGGTATCAAGGGCTCTTTTACCGGAGGGATGCACTTTGAATGTTCATGAACACACTCCTGAACATGAAGAGATTAGATATGTGCCAGACAACCAACTTATTGATCTGAAACAGCAACTAGAAGGCATGGGTGGCAGTCGTGCCGATAAAAAGAAAAAGAGATAAAATACAGAGTAATAGTTAGTTATTTAGAGAATAATACTAGTATCGTTTTTATTATTGCAATAAACATTGCCATTGTTGAAATTGTGTTTGATTGAATTATGAAAGGTAGAGGTAAGGAGAACCATCTCTGTGTGTGAAAAAGTGTCCGTTAAAATCTGCTATATAAGGGCGGCGCTATAGTAGCAACCGGGTAAATTTTAAAAAAGGCGTCGAAAGTTATTAGAATAAGATAAAGAAATAAAAAAGGACGAAAGAACTGTAAGCACTACAAAATCACAAAAAGTATTTTATTTAAAGCTGATAACAAAATGCAATCGATGTCTCCACGTTTTACCACGGGAATAATTTTAGGTTATATTGACGAAATTAGTTTGAACTACGTAAACATGTGAGATCTTGTATATTACCATGTCACTTACTACTCTAGTCATTAAATATCAATTCCTAACTCAGCATACTTCAATCAGTTAACAACTGCTCAATTCATATCATACCCTGTGCCTATGCTAGCGCCATTTTGGAGGATTTTTGAACTGTTATTCTATGCTGGAAGTGGGACACTTTTTCAAGCTTCTCCCATATGAGACGGTTCTCCTTACCTCTACCCTCCATAGACTGAATATAAAGCGGCACCACAGACACTATCTTTTGAAATATATAACTTAAATATTTTTCAAAAATATATTTATTATTATTATTTTATTTATATAGAGCCGAAAACGTACCTACACACACGATGACGACAATTAAAGTTGGATACCGAATGCCAAACAAAACTGTATTTTGATGCCGTCGTGGCCTAAAGGATAAGACGTCCGGTGCATTCGTATTGAGCGATGCACCGGTGTTCGAATCCCAGGCGGGTACCAATTTTTCTAATGAAATACGTGAACAAATGTTCACGATTGACTTCCATAGTGAAGGAATAACATCGTGTAATAAAAATCAAACTCGCAAAATTATAATTTGCGTAATTACTGGTGGTAGGACCTCTTGTGAGTCCGCGCGGGTAGGTACAACCACCCTGCCTATTTCTACCGTGAAGCAGTAATGCGTTTCGGTTTGAAGGGTGGGGCAGCCGTTGTAACTATACTTGAGACCTTCGAACTTATATCTCAAGGTGGGTGGCGCATTTACGTTGTAGATGTCTATGGGCTCCAGTAACCACTTAACATCAGGTGGGCTGTGATCTAGTCCACCCATCTAAGCATTAAAAAAAAATTCAAAAATGCCTGTTCTGTAAAGTTAAGAGTCAGTAGATGCTGACTGCGATCGGAAACCAAAAATGGATTTCGTGGTAGGTACAGTTTTTTTTACCTAATCGTTGGTATCCTGAGGGACAATTCCATCTACGCGGGGACTGGTAGATAAGCTCACAGGAATAACACTAGCCGTAGAGCAGTGTACACTCAATCTACCAACAGGTCGAAATCCAGATTCACTGAGAATATTTCACGATAAATTCGGTCGGTTAGATACAATAGTTAGGATTACTAGTCACTAAATTGATAGTGGACCGATGTATTTTATTAGAGTTAATAACAAACAATTTAATCGCCCAGGAAGAGTCTATTTATGTACCTACAAACTTGAATGCCGCCAATAATCTTGAAACTCAAGCGACAATTTTATTTGCATAACGGCTATTCAACCTTTTGAGCCAAAACACATGAAGACCCCACAGCAGAAGTAGTCAAAATTGTGGTCTAAAAGGTAGTTCGTTAGCATTGGCATAGTTGTACCATCTGAGGATCTTGGCAAATTCATTTACCCCAGTAAACTGGTCACGTACTTTAATTGAATAAATCACTGAAGTATTTAGCACTCAATGGTACCTATTACTAATATTATGTGCACTTTAGTTATATACCTATCTAATAAATTTGATTTTCGAATGCATGCATACGTATACATATTTATAATTTATAAAAAAGTATATGTGATATGATCTTTAGTTACATCTAACTTTCATCTAACATCTAAATTTATAATCTTTACTAAATTTTGTAAATTTTTATTTGTTTTTATATTTCTTAAAGTTGTTAAGTTACTTAGTAAATGTTAATTTACTTTGAAATCGCAGCCCCTCAGACCACGTACCCGTGGCGTTTTGCCCATAGATTATACACTTAATATATTCGAGGTTTTGCCCGCCCTGCCATCCCATAGGTACGCCACTGCTCATAAAGTCGCAAACACAGAAACGCCTCTGTATATATCAATTTTACTTATGTCCCTGAAAACAAGATAACTTTTAATGATAGATCACAATTTATGTTGTAAACGAATTAGATGGGCTAATCGCGTCCGTTCATTCGGCCTTCATTCACTGGTATAATGATTACAGCTGATGTGGATAAAATTATGTGATCAGACTTTCGGTTTGCCGTCAACATTATTTAATTTTTTCAAAATATTAGTGTGCAACGCTGATTATATGTTCAAATAAAAGATTCAAATCAAGAAATCACTATGCGATAATATTCGGTCATAAATCAGAGGATACAAACGAGAATAGCGACCAATGAAAGATTCTACATATACTACACCCCTAATTTTCAATCACATGAATAGATGAGATAGTAGGTCTTCCCTAGCACCAACCTATCTTCCTTACTTTGTTTGACAAATTCGTCCACTACTCTGTTTGAATAATAGCGGTAGTGCACGTTAGGAGTACCTACCCACCGGCTGCTACCTCATTGGCACACAAAGCCATTGATAAAATAATACCTGGCTCGATAAAATTACTTTCCCATTAACTGGTTAATGTAGTCTTATTTTTTTATTCGTATCGGGCCATAACCAATATAAACAGTTTATCATTAAATTCTTAAAAACAAGTATCATTTTATTGTTAATTAAGTATGTCTAGCGGTCGACGCCTGTGGACTGAAAGAGAAGGAGAAAGAGAGATGTATTCTAGTAACATTTTAATTTCTGCAATTAAGTAGAGTACAGTGGCAAAAATCATAAAATAAGAAGTATAACAACTACTGCAACTATTTGCTTAGCTTAAGAGAAAATTGCGGAATAAATGGCCAATTTAATTAAATTAAATTAATTAAATGAATAAATAATATAAAATAAAATACAAATAACTAATTTAATTAAAATTTAAAATGGCAACTTGAAATGGTTCCGTATACTGGTACTAAATATTGAAAATGAACAGGGATGTAGTACGGACGGTAGAAATATTAGAATAATTTGTTAATTAGTACCTATGTTGTAAAAAATATTAGCTCGAGTCATTCAGACAGAAAACGGGAGTACATGAGCATGGGTTAAACGCCACCAAAACTCTCTCTTAAGCTCGATAGTGAATAATAATAATAATAAAGTATTAGATTATATAGAGCAGTACATACACTCACAGATCGATTTACCCAATAAGCCTTATTAAGAAACGTTACCCTTTTAAAGTTGTGTTTATGCAACGTAATACAATATCGTGCACTATAATGACGTTTGCTTTACTAGTCAATAATCAATCCTTTCTCCGGGCAGCAAAATGATCGCCTGTCTTGTATTTTGCGACACCGGCTAGTTTAAAATTTGTACCCTACAAATATGCAATAGGTTCACTATCATTTGTAAATAAATTATAATCGTATCTAGCTAAATCAAATTGTTCAAAGTTGGTTTTAGAATAAATAAATAAACAAATAATGACAAGGTCGTGACCGTAATTAAAATCATTCCGTGACCCCACAGAGTGTAGCAGTAAGTGAATAATTTGTATTTAGTCACATTTAAAACAAGATAAGTATTCAGGACGCGCGTCAACATGTGTACGTAGAGCCTATAAGCACGAGTACGCACATCATCTTCAGAACAGTTAAACTAGATGTCGAAATAATTTAATTGTGGTTTCTATCGAGGTTATATAAGTCAGTTGCAACTTCTAAACCATCAAGGTTTTCAAAATCACATTTTCAATTTTGAATTGGTAATAAACTGCGTCTGTGTTTTTCATTCCAGAAGATAAATTATAAAAAACTGCGAGTTTATTTTTTGTAAGATAGGTAGATAGATAATTATGTTAAAAGCTCCTTGTGGCGAGGTTTTAAGTAACTGATACGGCTGCTTTTCAGATTTGTTGATTTATTTTGGTTTTGTTTTGTTTTTGGTTGGTTTTGCAAAGTTTTCAATTTCTAAACCAAATATGATTATTTTACTATACTTATAATTGACTAACGTAAGCACAACTAGCGTACAAAAATTGGCTACAGTATAAATACAACCAACAATCGTTCACAATGGTTGCAACTTGCTTGAGAAATGTGGATGAAGTGAATGACTGACTCACGTTCGAAAGAACGATCATGTTTGAACAATTATAATTATCTTCTATCTGTATAATTATGTACCTCTCCATCTAACATTTATTTATAAATATTAGCGGTTCTCCCGAAAAAACTACTTGTGTAACTACAGCTGACCCCCATAGACACAGCTCACTGAGGTTTTCGCCGGATCTTCCCAGTGGGTCGCGATTCCGATCTGGTGGTAGATTCTGCGAAGCATTGCTCTTGCTATGGCTAGTGTTAGCAAATTCTTTTAGGTTGATCCTGTAAGCTCACCTATCCCGTCCGGGCGTAGCTGGAATACCCCCTTAGGCTACCAGCGAATAGGTAGAGAAAATTAATAAATTATATTTGAAGTGCCATTGAAGTTCTAGGTAATATTAAAAGTTGTTATTTTTTAATGAAAAGCGAACCCGTCGAATAACGTTCGTATTGATGTTATACATCTTGTGTTCTTGTAATACCAAGATGATTCGGGGCCTATATCTTATACTGTATCTACTATAATCTAACTACATAGGACGTGCTTTTGTTAGCAAAAGATACCAATGGCAAAGTGAAAGTGAAAAAGATATACTTCAACAATTGGAAACAAAATACACGCAGTCATCGTGGGAACTAGAGTCTGATATACACTTTTATTTATTTATTGCCCCTGTAGGCAGACGAGCATACGGCCCACTTGATGGTGAGTGGTTACCGTCGCCCATGGACTTCAGTAATGCCAGGTGCAAGCCAAGCCGCTGCCTAGACATACGTTTAAATAA